AAAATAAATTTATGCTTTAAGCAGTCAGAAACCTTTGTAATCACATGTGACTTGAAATCTATAGCATCGTTACCCTACACATAATAAAAGCTCATTCAGTTTATGCTTTTAATGACAAGTGATTCAACTGAACATAATTGAGCCAAACAGTTTTATTTAAATTGTTTTTATGCATTGGATATTTTCTCGAAAATATCAGTTTTAACATTTTGATTGAGATTATATTTATGTTGCAATTTGAACTTATGTGCATAGAAATGCAAAAATGTTGTTCGTAAAAAATTTTTTGCGAAAGCTTTCAAAAATTCTTTGATCGATACTCAGAAGTTGTAAATTATTTTTGACATAGTCATATAGGCAATATCAAAGAATTTAAAATTTTTCACCAGTACTTAGAATTCAAATTTTAATGTTACATTTCCAAACGTCATCATACATCAATTTTGAATTGGCTTTGTATCATAAGACAAAACGGGTCATTCATGTCTTTGGAAATCGACATGAAGAACAAATGTTTACTTACGCAGAAATTCATCTTCACATAATAGACATAAAATTATTACCGTTCTTTTACCGAAAAGAAAATAAAGTGATCTAAAAGTAATTTTCAAATAGAACAGAACAACGTCAGTCAGTGAAGTCTATGTTTCAAACTGTTCTTTTAATGCACTGCATGAATGCTAATTGAATTTGAAAACGATTTCACTTTCATATGTGTTTGTTCTACTCGATGTTTCAGTTCCCATTCTGCTTGTTTATGATTCATCCAGTTCCAGTATCGTGGGAAACAATTAAAGTTTTGTTCTTTAATTTTATTATTTTATTTATTTTCAAGTGCCTTAAAGTAAATTTTATTAATGAAAATATTTTAGTCTGGTCCTTACCCGTGAGATTTGACTGAAGAAGATGATTAATATCATTTACATATCGCTCTAGTTAGAAAAATATAATTAACAAGTTTCCGCCCAATTTATCAAAGAAATTCAAGAAATGCTCATAAAATCGTCATGCCTTTTACTTTTGGCAACGTTCATCACCATAGCAAATGCAATTGACAAAGGAGTTCATGTGGGATGCTTCAAAAGATCTTCACATAGTATCTCAAATAATTTGAGATATGTGAAAAACTGCTTCAATTATTGTGCAGGTCAATTTTACAGGTGAGTGGTCAGCACGATTCTTATTTCCTGTTGAACAATGAAAACAATTTTATATTTTTAACTTTTTTCCAGATTTTCAGTTTTCTCTGATGAGACATGTAGTTGTGAAAATTTTCTTAAAGAAAGTGAACAAGAAGGAACGAATTGCTCCAAAAAATGTCTAAATGAAGATGAAGAAGTTAGTTGCGGGGGTGATGAGACTGAAAGTATTTACGAAACAGGCAGCAATGCTCCAGGTGCTGTTAAGAATTTGAAAGTTCAAGATACAAAAGAAGATAAAATCACGATCATGTTTGAACCTCCTGAAAGAAATGGCACTGAACTGAGTGGATATGAAATTAATGCAATGGTGATGAAGACGTACTCAAACACACCTTGGGCAATGCGAAATCAAACTTGGAAAGCTCAAAAAACTGTAAAGAAATTTGATTTATCGAATCTCACTCCATCAACTCAATACAAAATTTTCATAAAGTCCAAGAATGGTGATGTTGATGGTGGAGAAGATCAAATTGTAGCATCAACAAATCTTGCAGCACCTGATCCTAAACCAGAACCTCCAAAAATACTTGAAGAGTCAGATAAAAAAGTTAAAATAGAAATCAAACGAGCTGAGAACAACAACGGACCTGTAACGAAATATTTAATTGCAGTTCATTTTGTAGACAATGAATTAATTCATGACTTTGACGAAACACTTTTAAACACTTTTGAAAAGGCGCAAGAAGATGGAATAAATTATTATATCACTGGTGAGATTGATCCATTTCGTGAAGAAGTAAAAACATTTGTCATTGGTGATGGTCGACAGTACGGCCGCTATTTTAATGCACCACTTCCTGACCGTCACATTCATGTACGTGCGGGAGTCTTCAGTCGATTGAATAACGAAGAAAAATCGAGTTTTTCGGATAGTTCTCATGATATTTCACACGATGCTGTTTTTATTCTGCCACCTGAAGAAAAAGAAGCTGGAGATGGCTTGGTCACTTTCCTGACAATCGCTTGCATTATTTGTGGATTAATTTTACTTGGAAGTGTTTTATTCTATGGATATATTCGTGTTACAAGAACCAATCCACGAAGAAGAAGATTTGAAAGACATGAAATGTCACTACAAGGTCCAATACTTGAAGTTGATAACAATGGATTTATTGCTGATGTCAGTGGGATCAACTTCAAAGATAAACTTCAAGAAGTTCTTTTAAGTCTTGACGATGATCAAAAAATTATTCGGAAGAATCTCGCACTTGATATTGACAATATTCTTGGAATTGGATCTTTTGGTGATGTCATCAGAGGACAATTAAATGGAAATATTCCATGTCAAGTTCATGTTGTGTCAGCTGACGATATGGATCCACCAATTCAAATGAAGTTCATCCGTGACTTAAACAGCCTTCTTCAATTTGGTTTCCACAAAAACATGTTGAACTTTATGGGAATTTGTCAGACACACGATTGGTTCTTTGTCATCTTTGAAGATACTCCAGCAACACTTAAACAATTTCTGTTGACACATCGTGACGATCAAAATCTGTCAAGCAGAAGATTAACAAATTTGGGTGAAGATCAAGCACTCAAATTGATGTTTGAACTCTCAGAAACGATGGAATATCTGCAATATAATAAAATCGTACATAAAAATCTCAACTCTTACAATGTTAGAGTCAAGCGACAGAATTCTGTTTTCTCAATCAAGATTTCAACGTTCGGACCAACGCTTTACAGTATTAATGATGATGGCACAAAAAGTATGGTAGATGAAGACAGATGGTTTGCACCAGAAGTTCTTCGCTTCCAAAAATATTCACATGCGAGTGATGTTTATTCGTTGGCTTTAATTTTTTGGGAAATTTGTTGTGTGGGTGGCACGATTTATGGTTCACTTGCAACGAGTGATCTTTTAGTTCGCATCAAGAAAGGAATCCGTCCAGAAAAATATCCTTTCATCTCTGAAGATTTGTATCAATTGTTGTTGAATTGCTGGGAGTTGGATCCAAACGAGCGTTGTGACTTCAATGATATTGTTGGACAAATGAAGCATCTTCAATTGTCACCGCAATATTACTTAAACTTTTCTTTAGATGGACCGCTGCCTTACCACCTGCCATTGTTGGAAGTAAAAACTTAAATCATTCATTCTCCTTAATTTAAGATTATCTAACACAATTCTTAGATATTGTTTTTTAGAACCATAAGAAATTCTCTCTAAATTTCTTTTTAAGCAATTTGTAACACAAACCATTCCGTCCAAATGTTTTTAACATAATATTCTTAAGATAAAAGATAAATAAAAGCTTTTCTTAAAATTTTATTTGATGTGTTGAGTTGTTTATTTTTGTTAGTTTTTTAATCACAATAATTACAGATGCATCCAAGCATGCGAAATTGATATGTTTAGAATAGTACTAAAAAGCGTCTTGTTGTTTCTTTCTCCAATACATTGTCATTTGTTTTGTTTTACACAGATTTGCATTCCAACTATTTACAAACGAAAGTTGATAGCCTCAGCAAAAATAATGAAATAATCATTTAAAAAATAACTTAAATGAATTATTGTTCAGTCTAACTTAAACCTCCGACCGTGAAGTTCAATTTTAATTTTTATATCCATAAAGGCAAAAGTTTTTCAAATGTCATTTTTAAGATTCCTTTCCAATGATGATAATCGATCAAAAATTAAGTTACCAACTTTTGATGGTAACAAATCGAAATATCAAACATTTATGTTAACTTTCGATTGCATAATGGATGGTTGGAAAATGCCAGCAGAACTTCGACTCATGTATCTACAATTTAATTGTTTGAAAGGACTTGCACAAATAGTTGCCGGACCCTATCAAAAAATAAGTGAAGAGAATTATCACTTAGTGAGGGAAAGACTGCATGAATGTTTTAACGATCCTCGTTGGTGTGTACAAGAAAGTTTACAAAATATTGTAGACAGCAAAATCACAAACTGGAAAAGTGAAAAAATTATGCAGCATAAGATAGAACTATTGAACAATCATGACACAATAATAAGAAATAAAGCAACTCTTGAAAATTTGTTAGTGATGTTACATATCAAAAGTTTGCCACAAAAAATTCAAGAGAAGTTTATTTTAAAAAGAGAAGATTCCAGGATAATGTCAACATTGGAAGAATATGCAACGTTTTTAACTGTTGAATGTAATTCAGCCGTTTCAAAAGAAAATTCTAAAAAAAATTATGCACAAAAGTGCAAATTATGCGACAGTGAAGATCATGTTACAGTAAAGTGTGACATTTTTGAAGAATCGGAAGACAGAGTCAAGTTACTTAAATGTGAAAGAATTTGCATTTTCTGCGTCAAACATTCATACTCTCCCAGCTCTTCATGTCGGATGAGAAAGAAATTATCTTGTAGTGTATGCAGAGGCAGACATATTGATGAGATGCACGAACACTTCAACTTACAACGATCTTGAATTATTTTGTTTTTGTTCATTTTATAAAACTTTCTTCGAATAATTTGTCTATTTTCATTTTCAATTTTTCAATAAAAACAATAATTGAAGCGATTTATTTACAAACTTTTACTTCTTTTAAAATTTTGTTTATTTAATTTTAGTGCTTAATTCTGCAGATGTAAAAAAGATCACCGAAAATAGAACTAAGATGACCTCATAATGCACGCAATGATGTTCGATGTTTGGACTGCTTTTGTTCGAAAGTTTCTTTACATATGATTTGTGGATGTGCAGGGTGACCACGAGATAACAAATTACAATTGAAATAATGTTAAAATTGCCATGTAGCACTGCGGAAGATTTAAGAAATTTTACTCAGACTAAAGCGTACTTAAAATAATGCTTTATGTACTTTTAAAAACTCTCTTAAGCATAGATAGAAACAAAAACCCGTCAAGATAATTTCTGCATCATTCGTAAACAAACATTAAAAGTTTTATTTCCAGAAAGTTTCACACGTTGAAAGGAGAAACTTTTGCATTTTTTCATTATCATTTTTGATGTTAATTTTAAAGTTTTCACAATTCTGACAAGCAATGTCAGTCAGAATGTATACATGACAAGACTTGATGAATTATTTTCAGAGTCCTGTAATAAATGGAGAGTATGAAAGTAATATAACTGGCCGACTAATTATTTAGACGAGAAATTTAGTTGCCTTGTCATAAGTAAAAAATCAGATTTGAATTTCGGTTATAAGCTTCAAATTAAGTGAAAATCCATCATGGAAAGTTTTATTAATCGAAGCAGGTCAAGCCCCATCAGTCAATTCTGTTGTGAGTTCAAAAATGATTATTTTTTATGTTCCAAAGCAAATTATCTTCATTAGCCTCCAGGATTTTTTCGATTTAAATATCTAATTCTGGTGCGTGGAAATACAAAACAGAAAATGTTGAAAAAAGTTTAGGACAAGCTTTTATTAATTTAAAGAATTTCATCAATATTCTTCACGTTTTGAACAGAGGCGGATCAGCAGGAGTTAATGTCATGATTTACACTTGTGCTACTGATCGTGATTATAACGATTGGGCTGCACAAGGAATTATCGGTTGGGATTATGAGACATTCTCCCATTCATCTTAGACTTGGGAGATAATGAAAATGAAACAATAATTCAATATGGTAATGGGAAATATAATGCGACAGGAGGTCCATTATCAGTAAGTGACTGGAAGAAAAATGACAGTTTTAAATCTGTTTGGATATTAGCATTTAATAAACTTGGTTATAAAACACTTATCGACTTCAATTCAAAGGATGAATTTTAGATTGCAAGCAACAGTTAAAGATGGAGAGATGCAGCGCTTCAAGTGCTTTTCTTATGTCTGTTAACGATCGAGAAAATCTATTCATCATCAAAGGAAGTCTTGTGACAAATATAAACTTTTATCGTACATCAGTGAAAGGTGTCAATATCCATATAGATAATATTGGCTAAAGTATACTTTCCGTGTTCGTTCATTAATTAACGTTAACGTTAATTAACGTTAATTAACATTAATTAACGTTAACGTTAATCAATTAATGTTAATTAATATTCAGCGCATAGCACGCAGAAAAACATGAGAACATTAGAAAAATTTAACGCTTTTCAGGAATTTAAATGCTCTAACGTGGACTTACGGGGCACGAAAGAAAACAAAGAAAAGGAAAGTTCAATATCGGGTGAAACATCAAAGGAACTTTATTTGAATAATAAATTAAATNGAAAATGAAACAATTATTCAATATGGTAAGGTAATGGAAAATATAATGCGACAGGAGGTCCATTATCAGTAAGTGACTGGAAGAAAAATGACAGTTTTAAATCTGTTTGGATATTAGCATTTAATAAACTTGGTTATAAAACACTTATCGACTTCAATTCAAAGGATGAATTTTAGATTGCAAGCAACAGTTAAAGATGGAGAGATGCAGCGCTTCAAGTGCTTTTCTTATGTCTGTTAACGATCGAGAAAATCTATTCATCATCAAAGGAAGTCTTGTGACAAATATAAACTTTTATCGTACATCAGTGAAAGGTGTCAATATCCATATAGGTAGATAATATTTATTGTAAACATATTAAAGTGCAGCTTTAAAGGAATTCATAATCTCTGCGGGCGCTTTAAATTCCCCAAAGTTGTTAGTGCAGTCTAGAATTGTAAAGAAAGTTGATTTGGAATCACATGGGATAAATTTCATTAAGAATGCACCTGTCGGTGAAAACTATCGAGATCATGCTACAGCTGCATACTTAATAAAAGTCAATCCCAATGCACCTGCACAAGNATAATGAAAATGAAACAATTATTCAATATGGTAAGGTAATGGAAAATATAATGCGACAGGAGGTCCATTATCAGTAAGTGACTGGAAGAAAAATGACAGTTTTAAATCTGTTTGGATATTAGCATTTAATAAACTTGGTTATAAAACACTTATCGACTTCAATTCAAAGGATGAATTTTAGATTGCAAGCAACAGTTAAAGATGGAGAGATGCAGCGCTTCAAGTGCTTTTCTTATGTCTGTTAACGATCGAGAAAATCTATTCATCATCAAAGGAAGTCTTGTGACAAATATAAACTTTTATCGTACATCAGTGAAAGGTGTCAATATCCATATAGGTAGATAATATTTATTGTAAACATATTAAAGTGCAGCTTTAAAGGAATTCATAATCTCTGCGGGCGCTTTAAATTCCCCAAAGTTGTTAGTGCAGTCTAGAATTGTAAAGAAAGTTGATTTGGAATCACATGGGATAAATTTCATTCATCATCATCATCATCAGATCAAGGACAGGCCCATATAGGAACCACCATCAAATGCCGAAGCATTTGAGGGCAATGGTCATAAATGGTCATAAATTTCATTAAGAATGCACCTGTCGGTGAAAACTATCGAGATCATGCTACAGCTGCATACTTAATAAAAGTCAATCCCAATGCACCTGCACAAGCTCTGTCAGATATTAATTTACAAACTCACTTTTATTACACACAACGTACTTATAGGTGAGGTTGGTCATATGGGAATGTGCAACGTTCAAGCGTTCATAAACACAAAAGACCCTAAAGCAATTTATCCAGAAATCCAATATTGGAGTTATCGATTTACAAAGAATCAAGTGGAGTTTGGTAAAATATTATCAAATTATGGTTTCAAAGATGAATTCATGAGTGAAATTCAATCAATAAATCAAGATTTTGAGATTCTTTACATTGTGTCTGCATTATTGAATACGAAATCTCGTGGAAAAATTGAATTGAGAGGTGCTGACCCGACACTTAAACCAAAAATTACTTCAGGTTTCCCAACAAATTCGGATGGTGTTGCAACATCAATTCGTGGTTATAATGTACTGAAAAATTAATTAGAACGTCAGCAATGCAAAACACTTCTACTGAATTTGTTCGTTTCAACCTTCCAGAGTACAACGTTCATGAATTCTTGTCTGATGACTACGGAAATGTTATATAAAATGTTTCACTACAAGTTTGTGGCATCCAAGTGGAATTGTCAAGATGGGAAATGCGTCTGATGCAGGAGCGGTTGTTGATGAAAAATTAGGGGCCAGGAGATTGAAAAATCTGAGAGTTGCTGATGGCAGCATGATGCCCACAGTTCCGTCAAGTAACACTTATTGTCCAATCCATGCGATAGAAGCTAAAGCTGCAGCAATGATAACAAAAGAATGAATGAAAGAACATTCTATGAAGACTTATAGAGCTTTCATGGAATCAATTCAATTACATGCTAACTTTTCAATGAAAATCTGAAAATTAGAACTCGACGAAAATTACGAAAGAGTTTTGAAAAAGTTTTCCTTTCATATTGACGAGAAACTTTATTTCAATTCGATTTTTCTATGAGCAACTCATCACTTTATAGATAATTCAAACACAGCAGTATTGGAAAGTATTGTTATTAAAGAGCGAATGAAAACCTTTCATGAAATTCATAAAATAAAATTGTTCATAAATTTTGTTCTTGGTTTCAAGTTGAATCTCGGAATTGATTTTTATCCAAAACTTTAATTTTGGACGAGCATGTCTAATGATGAATGTAAAGTTTCAGTATGCTTTTTATTTTCATTTTCCGTTGAAATTTTTAATTATTTATTCTGTCAATATTCAGTTCAGCTATCAAAATTATGAATTACGGAAATTTTTGTGGAAACTACGACTTTGCAACAGCACAAACATTGCAAGAAAAATGTATTGTGAAATGAAATATTCGATTAAAGATTTTCTTAATAACTTTCAGATATTTTCAGGTCTTTGTAGTTGTTGGTGCAATCAATTTGCACAGAGACCTGCTCGAGCAAATGTTATTGGTGAGATTCATTTTGTCAACATATCGATGAGTGTTCAAGCAATTTTATGTCATTTTAATAGCTTTGCCTGGTAAAAGATTAGAGGAAAATTCAAAAAATGTCAAAAGCAACTTGAATTCAACGGCTGAAAAACCATTAAAAGATCTTAAAAATGTTATCTGTGAAGCTGATGAGTCATCAGAGAAGTCGGAAAATGAAATAGGTAAGATGATTAATTAAAACAACTCTCACATCAACTTATTTTCCCTTCCTAGATGAATGTGATAATTATGAAGAATCTGATACAAGTGAAGACGATCAATCTTGTGGGGATGTCAAAACAAAATGTCCTAAAATCGATGAAGAACAAACGTTTGATGACTTTAGAATGAAATATTGGATTCTAGAATGCCCCAAAAATTTCGATCCTCAACAATTAATTTGTTGTGAACTTAAAAAGCAAGACAATAAAGGAATAAAATTTGAATGCATGAGTGAAACATTTAACAAGAGCGTAACATTTGCTGTTGTGCAACCAACGAAAGTCGCTGAATATCAATTATTATGTGACGGGTTTAAATTTGTAAGAATTCTTCATAAAGTCTTTCTCAATTTTTTCTCTTATCAAATTTTTGAGTTTCAGCTTGTTCCTGTTGGAAAAATTGTTGTGAGTGAAACTAATGGCAACCAACAAGCAATGAAAGAAAAAAGTCAGAAAAAGATTTTGGATACTGAAATTTCATCTTGCCTTCAAAAACAATCAAACATTTATGACGATGCAAATTCAAATAAAATAACATCAAAAGCGAATATGAATGATAAAAAATGTGAAAAGAGGGCTTCGAAGTTACAAAATTCTCTTGAAGTTCAAGGGAAAGATTACATCGAGAAAGATTTAAATTGTTATTCTGATATGAAGAAAGCATTGAATTCTGAAAACAAGAAAGATTTAAGAAGGAAAGCAGAACCTAGAAAAATTATGGTCGTGAAGGAAAAGCGTTGTCCAGCTGAACTTAACAACTGCTTCTCAACAGAAATGGAACTCACAGAGAATCTTTGTAAGCCGAAAACTTTAAAATGCTTGCCATTTTTACCACCAGCTCCTACTCCAATAAAGAAGAAGAAAACAGACGCAAGAAGGCAACGGAAATAAAATTTTCTTAAAGAGTCTTTAATATAATTTTATTTGAATCTCTTCGCATAAAAACCTTTCGCTAGATAATAAAAACATTTTCAATGAATTCGCTTTTGAAGAATAAGATGGGAAGGAATTTGAAATGTTAAATTTCCGAGGTAAAAATGTTGAAATATTTTGAATTTAAACATAAATTCCAATGAATTGAGATCGACAGATATTCAACGTTTTGTAAATTTTAAATATCTACTTGCTGTTGTTCTCTTACTTATCATGTTGCATAAAATAATTCTTTGTCATGAAAATTCCAAATTTTACATCATTTGGCAAAACGTGAATCCATTGATGCTAAACTGTATGTAAAAGAACAACATTGTTTCTCTTTTCAAACTATTCTGCACAGCTTCTTCGTTTCCATAACTCCATTCAACCTATTTATCTGACGATGCTAGAAGTCGTGTAAAACGTGCAATGAAGTTTTTTTTTAACTCGAATTTATGTTTCTGAAAAGTTTGATAAAATTTTAATAATTATACTTCCAAAAATTATGCATAAGAGCAACATTTCACTTCGAAACTTTTTCCTAAAATTCCTAGTTCACGTCTTAAAGTTTTTAGTAAGTCGAAAATAATGAAATAAAAAGCAATCTCCTTGGAATAATGAAGTAAGCAAAAATGATGAGAAATTTTGTCACTTGCTATATTGTAACCTTCATAATTAATAATCGCTATAAGCTTAATACAAATTTATAACTTATATCCTGCAATTTACATAAAGGTTCTAAACATTTATGTTGATGATATGTTGAAACAATAGAACATTAATGAAACCTTTATCAAACATAAGTTATTATTTCTTTTGATACCTTCTAATGTTTCTATGAATAATGTTGTATTGAAAATTATGTAGTTTTGCTTTCAGAGGATAACTTACTTTTAATAGAACATTAGCGTACGGTTAACATTGCGCATCTCATCTTCATAAGACTTTTATCCTATAAAATACAAAATTAGATGCATAAATCAAAGCTTATTTAAAACTTTTAAGTTGAAATATATCCACTAGATAGCATTACTCTTCCATAACTTTGTTTACTGTTCATAAGATTGCATTAGAGTCAACGTAAGTCAATGAACGTGAAAGCATCGCATGGGTATCTAGCTACAAATCAGATCAAAATCAAACCTCCCTTGCTAAATCATTTTACGCTCAATAAACAAATCATTGCCGAGTCATGTGATGAATATTGAAGCTTATGTGTACATATGAAAAATTCCATTTTTTTACGGTTTTACGAGATTATCATCAAATTACAACCCATTCAAATTTGTCTTTCACTGAACTTGATAAACCTTTTTTCTTTCGTAAATCTATGAATGTAAAAGTAAGATTACAAGAAAATTCTTTTGAAATGCCTTTTCATCGTCGGTTACAAAGATTCTGAGAAAAGATGAATACATTATAAAAATTAGAATTTAAACCCCCAACATGAGAAATAATGATGAATGACTAGCAATGCAAAACGTTAGAGACAACATATGTATTTAGAAGCATAAGATTTGGAAAACATAAAAGCAAGAGCGAGTTTTCCCGCTGTTATATGTTATCATTTGCTGTAAATTTTCCTTTCTTGCTGAAGATGGTGTCGTAGAATTTTCGCTCTAATGCTCTAAATAAGTGAATACATTGAATTACCTCGAAAAAAGAAAAAAAAACTTAAAGGAAACCAAAAAACAACTTGATTTCATATTTAACATCAGTGTACAAGCTGAGCATTCCATAAATCTTTTCAATTTTTTAATTCACCATGAAAAACTAACAATATTCGATGTATGTAACACACAAAACATTCTCTTTAATGGAAAATTTCATATCGCCATAAGGAATAAATCTTCAACAGAACATTTATTCGTACTATCTATGATAAAACTAATTTTCTCATTCAAAAGGTGAATAAAGGAAAAAAGAAAAAAGACAAAAAAATATTTTTATCGAAGGCATCTTCGTTCTCCACTTGAATGAAGAGTATAATAAACAAAATGTTTGCTGGTAATATAAAAATATGCATGGGACATAAAGATTCATCGCCAAAGCTTATCGTCATCCGTAAATGAACTTTTTCTGTGCTTGAGTGGCTGGCAAAATAAATATACGACTCTGCTATCTCGAACAAAATAAATTTCTATTTTTATTCAAGCAGAGGATCGTGTATTGTCTAGAAGAATTTCGTAATAAATTATATAATCATCACTTGCTTCTATCATCACATTAAAGCAGTTGAAGAAGAAAGGAAGGTCAAATTGGTGATACATTATTTATATTTTAAATAATTCAACATGTTTTCAGAAGTAAAGAACAATATGAAGTCTTTGTTGATGTTTGATTTTGATTTCCGATCATTTGTTGTATTATTCAACGATGATTTTTGCATATTGAATAATTTGATCGCTTGTTTAACAGAAACATTTTTTTATTTCATATTTCATCGATTAAAATAACAATTTCAAGAAAATTTCATGAAAAGCTTCATATCTTAATCTATTCATATTTAATGATACGCTTTATTAAGCCCACATAATGAGTTTATTTGTGCCTCAAATTCTAATTAAATATTCAATGTTCCTAAATTCCTGAACCGAAATGCTTCAGGGAATAAGTGTTTTTCACATCAAATGTGTATCTCTCTCATTTCGCCCATTTTTTGCAATTTAAAAGTTTCCGAGCTTTGAGAGAAGATACCTAAATACAAGAATTTTAAACTTTTCAATAAGGATTTTAAACATGGAACCTCTCAATGAAAATTTAATGTCAGTATCCGTCAGTATTTCAATAACAAGATTCAGCTTTAAATGGATTCTATTTTGCTTTAAGTTCAGTATAAAATTATGTAAAAGTGAAAAAGTTATAAGGATGTTTAATAGAAGAGGAATTTAGATAAATAATTTTTAAGAAAATTTCATGGAAATAGTTGAAAGAATGAAGTGGACATAGAGTAGAAGCGATTGAAGTATAAAACACAAAAAGCACATATCGAAAACTTTATTTTTTCCAAGATTTTTTCTATGCAACATTCTCTCAATGTTTCACTTTAAAATTCAATTCTCAATGCAACATTGAAAACATTGAATTTTAGAACAAGAACATTGAGAGTTTGCACTTTGTTCTAACCAGAAACATTGAGAATCTGATGCTGTAACACAAGGCATCAGATTATATCTTCGTGCAAATAATAAAATTCCTCAGTCGTGTGTGAGCTTTCATCAAAAAATTGTTGAAGAAAAGAAGAGAATGGAAACAGACAAATAATATAAAAAGCATAATAATATGTTGAGGAATACGTATCTACATTGAAATATAAAAAATTCAAATAATTCAACAATCGTGCAACGAATGAAATCTTGGATATAAGTGCAATGTGCTATTTCTAAAACATGTGAGAAATCATCTATCAAAGTGAAAATTGATATAAACAAAAAATAATGCGGAAGAGCTTAGCTTTAGTTTATCTTGGAGCTAAATCAACAAGTTGAAATAATTCGAAAAGTTTTGCTGTTGTCTTACCGACATAAAAAGAAATATTTTGAAGTGATTATGTAGCACAATTGAAAAATTTATGTTGAAGGATATTTGTCTTTTATTATAAAAGCAAAAAACGAGAAACTTTTAAAGATTTTTTTTAAAGTTTATTACCCGAAAGTTCATTTTCAGTGAATTTATTTAAGTTTATCAATTAAATTGAGAACAAACAAAAACATAATAAAAAAGTAAAAATGAGGATTTCAGTATTTTGGATTAACTTTTTTGTATTAATATTTTCAATCGTAATCGGTAAGTAAAATCAATTAAATGTTCTTTTCGTTCTCGATTCAGTGAACAGAAAGAAATCAGCGTTTTATTAAAGTTCCTATTTTTGGATTCGTTGAGTATTATATCGCCTAGCAAAGTCATCAAAATTATTATTACCATGCTAAAGTTACACATTGTAACAAATGATCTCAATTAACTTCCAGAACGGTATTGATTATTGAGATGTGTAAAATATTGGATGAAATATATAATAATGTTAGAAATATCCTCGGTTAACTTCAAACTTCTTTAGACTTTGCTTAAGATTTTCCTACAAATTCCATTGAAGCGTTAATCGTAAGAAAAATGTTCAACATAACTTTCTAACAATCGAAAGGCGGTGGAATTTCAAACGAAAACCATCTTCTTACCATCATTCTTCCTAATATCATTAATTTAAAATGCCTTCAGGTTTAGATATAAGAAATGAAGGAAGCTTTCATCTATGAAATACCAAAAATTTCCTATTCATATTTACTTAACATTAAAGTGTTCTCAAGAACAAATCGTCTTTTTTCTGTAAAGTTGGAGAGAATCGGTAATGATATCTAAGTATGTTTGATCAAACGTAGGAAAGGCAAAGAAAACCGCATTTCAAGTTTGGAAATTTTATAAATTACTTTTTCTTTTTCTCTCCCCAAACTTTTGTTGTTTACCTTCAAAATAAATCTTCCGCCTTATGTTGTACGAAGTTTAAATTTTTTATAAACCAAAAGCTCATTTTTCATGATATGAAGCCCGATCCTTTCTAGCAGTAAATTTACATCATCATTCTCTTTATGATTCATCTCCAAAAATTCATTTCACTTTTTTTTCCATTTTACCTTCTTTCTTGTTAATGCTTTTTGTGAAAATATTTTCTTTCCTCTTCTACATAGTCTGATGAATAAAAGAGTTATCTCCCAAAGTCTTTCTAGGGAAAAGAATAAGAAAAATAAATTTTGTGTACGAAAACTCCCGAAAGCACATAAAATCGCTTTATGAGAAAACATTAAAACTGTTTTTAAAATGAGTAGAAATCTTCTTATAATAAATTTTTCTTACCAGCAACAACACATATATTCATGAAATTCGTATTAGAACTTTAATTGAAATTCTTATCAACTAGGGATACATATAAGTGGAATGGGAAGATACATATGGCAAAAGATTTAAAATTTCAACATAATTTCACTTTCAGCTCTGATATATCTATTTTTATAAAATGTAATTCTTCTTTTTGTTCCCTTTTTCCTTTTTGCTCGAGTATTGCGAGGAACAAAAAAAGAAAATGCTGTAGACGCGCTCATTTATTTTTAACCAAAATCACCCGATTCCCACCTACGTAAAAAATATATTTGCCAAAAAAAGCTTTTACGCTATTGTCGAAATAAATGGAAACTCTCATACACATTTCAAAGCCTTCGTGCATGACTGTACGGTTAGTGAATACGATGTGAACCTTTAATTTCTTCATTTAGGTGCTGTCACATCCATAACGGAAAATCTTTACCTTCATGATGATGGTAAACTGAGTAATCTCGACGAAGTAAAATCTCGCGATATCTCATACAACAATCAAAAAAAAGTTATCAACAACGATAACAATTTTAAAAGTGATAATGCAGACGACAGAATATCAAATGATTTTTACATAAGCAACGATAATATCTCAACAGATTTAGACGATAAGTAAGTTTACTTTTATATCCTTTTTTATTAACCACAAATTGTTATAGTTATGTTGGTTGAAATTTCGTCTCATTCCATCCTTTCGCCTTCTCACCCATTCCAACTCTTCGACTTCAATTTAAAACCATATCGGATAAAAGTTTTACATTTTCACTCTCGATTGTTATTTTAACACCCTCGCATCATCATTGAATCAGAATCTTACATAAAAAAAGCATCTACTTGTGAGAATTCAGAAGATTGCTTGCGTGAGTTGAAATCGTTACAAAGTTCAGATGATGGTGATGTTAAGAAGAGTCGGGGATCAGAAAAATTTGCATAACATTTACAACCGGCGAATTAAATTATTTCTCTTTGACTTAACACAAACGAAGCTCTTAAACCTTTATGATATTCACGTTCATGTTAGAAAAACATTTTGTTATGAATTAATTTCTTCTTATCGCTTACAATAATAATAAGAAAAGAGAAAATGTAAAAGCGATGGAGGAAATGAAGTAAATATACAAAAAAAAAGTTGGAAGAGTGGGTGAAAATGTAAATGAAAATGGCGTATGCAAATAAATTCATCAACCGAGCTTTATATATCTCAGTTGTTACATTAATCTTCTGAGAGGATTTCGAAGGATTTTGTGAGTGTCAGAAAGCTCCACAAAGTTGATTCATAAAATTTATTTCCAAAACACAATCCGAGTCTCAAGAATTTTCTTTTAAAAAAAGTTTAACAGAAGCTAAACCATCACAAAGATGAGTAATTTGTGGGGAGAGCAACAGCATTACCAACACAATAAATAAATAAAATCTCTTCACAATCGAATTATTAATGATCTTGTATTGTTTTTTTACGCCTTCTTATTTGCCATCCTTTTTCTCCTTCAATTTCTTATACTTGTGAAACTACAACATCATTTCCAACAACAATTCAGAGAAAATATGAAAATGAATGGAAAATCTTCCGATAAACTTTCCTTCGAACATAACACACAAAACATTCAGCTTCAGCTGAACAATGACGAATTACCAAAGAGGTCCAAAAAGAAGAAAAGTTTTTTAAAGAAGAAAAACAAAAGAAAGCGAGACAAACAGGAACAACAAATTCAGGATATGAAAATGAAAAGTGAAAAAATTATTCAGCAAAATCGTCAAAAGAATTACAATTTCATTGCGCGTGAAGAAGAATGTAATTATCCTATTTTACTAGAATAATTGAATGCTATCGCTTTAAAGAAGAAGGAATTGTTTGCTTCTCAAACTCAAAATTGAGTTCACATTAAGCTCTCTACTTGTCAAAGGGAAATAAAAAGCATTCGTGATGCTGAGCATGACATAAAGGTGAAAGAGAAACTTTTTTAATAAAACATACATTAAACTTTGCCTTTGTCATATCAAAATGAGAACTTAAAAGCTTCACGAAAAAAAAACTTACAATGAGTTTCATCTTCTTTCAAGCGATAATAAAAAGCTTTATTCAATCTTCTTCAAAGAATTTGCATTTTCACATTATTTCTTTTTTCAACTTACTCAGCGTTTCCAATAAGGAAAAGCACTCAAAATCCTTCGCTGAACAACAAATCAGGAATCGTTATGGAAATGGTGGAAGCAATTATTGACAACAACTATGATGAAGAGTCAACACGATACGAAAAAGAACAAAAGAATCCAAGGATTACACAGCAGACAGCGGAAAGTGATGGTGAAAGTAATTTAAAGATGTCTGAACGACGTGAGCCATTAGAGCCGCAGATGCTGTCGACAGTAAACGACAACGACGTGGAAAATCCTTTAAAATCTTATATTCAAGGTAAATGATGACACAGATGACGAAAACTCATTAAACTTTGCTGTCAAAAGCTAGATATAAAACATTCAAATTTGCATTTCATTGCACAATTAACATTGTTACATTTTCTGTCAATTTCCTACAGATTCAAGTGACAAGAGCTCAACATTTTCATCTTCCACAATGGAGAAAAAGCTGAAAGTTAATAGACGATTGAAACGTAAAAGGAAACTCTTGACTGGAGATTTGTCGTGTATGAAAAGTGACTTCATTCCAGCTCCGCGCGTTGCTCATGCTAGCATCAAGTACATTAGGTAAATTAAATAAAAAGAGAAAAGTTTGAAACGAGAAACCGAGAAAAAAGTTTTAAGAAATATTATCATTTATCACGTTCACAGAAACGAGAATTTTGGAATAGAAAAAAGTTTCCTTGAGGCTGAATACCATTGTCATGATGGCTACATGTTAATAAAAAGACCGAAACGTAAAACATTGATGAAAAATAAAAATATATTGTGCAAAAATCGTCGATGGTTGGGCATTAGGCCGAAATGCATTGAAATCAAACCGAAATCGGAATCGATTGAGCAACAATGTGATATTCATGAATCGGAAATTTGCGACCAATTATGTAGCAAACGAGAGAATTCAACGGATGTGACATGTCAATGTCATAAAGGATTCCGTTTGAATGACACTCGCTGCTTGGGTAAATTTTGTTATTTTTGTTTTATTAAAAACGAAAAGAATTTCTGATGAGTTGAAAACAATAAAATTATACTTTTGTCCGGTTTTCTGCACAGATATAAACGAATGCGAGACTGATTCTGATATTTGCGGAAAAGGAAAATGTATCAATTCAGTTGGATCCTACAAATGTCTATGTCAAAAAGGCTTTCGCTGGAATGGAAGTGGAAAATGTGCTGGTAAGTTTCTCTCCCAACAGAATTTTCTCATTAAAATCGATTCTCCGTAATAAAGCGTTTTGTACGACAAACCGCGATTGTCAATTTACGTAATCCATCTTATGGAAAGAGTTTTCTAATAAGAGCTTTAAGAAGATTAAATTTGTAGAAAATTGATGATGTTAATAAAGTATTAAGGCTCAGAAAAGCTTTTCAGAATTTTCCATAATAATTTTCTATTTTCTGCTGTTTGACTAATTTACGTATAATCCTTTTTAGATTAACTTTATTTACCCTCTTTTTGTTATTCGTTCACTTTATTGAGTCCCTTAAGTATTTTCTTGAAAACTTTGTCCGAAAATATATTTCCTCGTCAAATGTTTCACAAATGTAAATATTTAATTAGGATAGCGTCAGGAAAAACTTGTTATCAGTAGAAAAGTCGCTTCGGGTGGTTGATTAAAGAAAAACTTTTCTCATAACAACAACACGATCCGAAGAGAAAAGAAAAGAAGAAGAACAATCTAAACCGTTCATAATTTGTCAACTGATATTTTGAGAAGGGATTAACAACATCTGATAAAAGATTTATCTTTCATTCCTTTCTCTTTTTTTTATTCCTTTCTTTTCTTTTCCAATCTTGACTTCCTTCGTTCGTCTCTATAAGATGTGAATGAATGTTTTCTACGTGGCGGACATGGACCATGTCAAGATGAATGTGTGAACACCGAAGGAGGTTACGAATGTTCGTGTGGAAGTTTAAAAGGCACGAAACTGGCAGAAGACGGTCACAGCTGTGAAGAAGTGGATTTGTGTTCCATCAACAATGGCGGATGCTCGCACACTTGCCTTGATACAATCGGTAATTAAAGTCGAGGATTTCTCCTCGTTAAACTTAATTAACATGATAAAAAGCAGCAATAAAATCAACAAGAAAACTTCTTCATTTCATTTCTTTTCGTATCCAAAAATTAGGTCAAGTTTTTTGTTCATGCCCTGAAGGTTGGAAGTTGGATACCGATTGGAAAAATTGTATCGATATCGATGAATGTCAATCACAAGACAAAATGAAACCAGAGCAAAGATGTAATTACGATTGCATAAACACAATTGGATCATTCCGATGCATTGATAGCTCGAATTTTGGAGCTGATCAGCCTTCGAACAACGACGACTTTATCGATTATTCCGTGATGAAAAACGAAATTGAAAACGATGACAAAGACGATAAAGATTCTTACGATGCTGATGGTAATTACGATATTATCGAAGGTGGAAGTTTCGTCTCAGAATGTTTTAACGGATACTATTTCAACGAGACAATTGGTGATTGCCAAGGTTTGTAAATTCAAAGTAATTAATTTTCGTAATAACGACAATGATGATGATGTTTTCATGGTGGGTGAAGTTGTAACAAAAAGGCAAAGGAAAATTTCCTTACTTACCTTTTATGTGCGTCTTGTGTAGTGTGAGACGAAAGCATGAAGATGAAAGTAGGAAAATTAATGATTTCGTTTTTTTTTCTTTCCTTTTCTTCCTTAATATCTTCTTTCCTCTTTGTCATTATTTTCCCTTCTTCTTTTCACACTTTCAACGGCAACAGACATAAATGAGTGTGAAATAGACAATGGAAATTGCTCAAACGGGACCTGTGTGAACACAAATGGAAGTTTCTATTGTTCCTGTCACAAAGGTTTTATCATGTCTGAGGATGATAGATATAAATGTATTCGTAAGTATATCTTGTCTTGTCATAGAGAAACGAAAACTTTTCTTCATCTCATCTTTCTGATGGCTTAAGAATAAGTTGATACATGTCTTGATTTTACACTAAATGATTTTTGAACCGAAAAGTGTTTGATAGTTGAGTAGGAAGATTTATCAAATTTTATTTAGCTAACAAATGCTGAAGGTCAGATTCATACAGAAACTGAAACAGAGCTGAGACAGAAAACAAGTAAAAGCAATAGAGAAAGTTTTCTTTATTTATTTTGTTTCTTAACTTGAAGTCTGTTATCTTCCAGCGACTTTAGCAAAATAAATATTATGACAACTTTTAACTCATTAGTTTCAAGTTTTATTCTGACGTAAAACGTCTGCTGTGTAAACATTCTAAATAAAACTTTGAGAAGTCTGCTTTATAATTTTGCATGGAACTTCTAGTTAGTTAAGCAAATATCTATTTAACTGAAAGCTTTATCTACATTTACTTATTGAAAACTGAAACATTTCCATTTTGATTGACTTCAAAAAGTTGAAAACAAAATCAATTTATATGTGTCAGAAGAATTTGCTGACGACATTGTAAAGACAACGAAGTTGTAGAACTTTGGGGTTAACCAACTGATCGAAATCAATCTCAAATCTCAAAGAATAATATAATTGAACAATGAAGAAAAAGAGACACCGAAATGAATTTGAACAATCTATTCAATTAATTGAGAAGAAGAAGATAACTTGAAATGCTCAATACAATCTGAATAAAAGTTTTCCTGGGTCACCAAGTAATATTTATGACAAGGCCATCGTCAATTCAAAAATATTCATGAATGCGAATTTTTAATTAATTGGCGAACTATTTTCGTTCATTTCTCGTTTTTCTAAATTTATCTGTAGCCCAGAAAAATTCATCTCGACTGTCTTTGATGTCATCGAGTTCAAGTGACATCGCTTGTCCGCCTCTGTTTCCACCTTTGCACGGCTATCTAGAATGTAGCCGACCCGTTGAGAACTTAACTGAAATGTCAATGGGACGCCTTAAGATTATAAATCGCCCAGGGAGCGAATGTACTCTCCAATGTCCTGCCAGGTAAAATCATTTTTATGCCAAATGAATTTCGACATAAAAAAGATGAAGCAAATACTGTCTTTATTCAAAAGTTACCGGGCCTCGGGGACATTTATCAAAACTTGTGGAGAAGATGGAAAATGGTATGGCGATGATAGCGGAATTTGTATAAGTAAGTTGAAAAAGAAAGGGCGACAAATTTTCATATTACTTACACCTCTAATGTTTGCAGAGTACCCAACGCCGAAATTAATTTGCCCACCGAATATAATCGCTGAAATTCCGCCATTCAACGATGAGGTTGAAGTCGAAATGAAAAGACCAAAAACTGATTTGAGCTTTAAACGTGACGTTCAAGTTAGGCCACAATGGTTTAGAAAGGAGAAAGTCAGTTTAAAAGTTGGAACTGTTAATGTTACGTATATTGCGAAGCATCCAGTTTCAAAGTTAAGCACTTCATGTACCACCACAATTTACGTCGTTGGTAAGTATTAAATTGCGAACAGTACTCCCAAGTGAAGTAATTAATTTCAATTTATACATTTAATTCTGCATTGTTCCTTTAAAAAAGATGGAGAACCTCCAACTGTTGACTTCTGTCCACCCACTCAGAAATTTAGAGTGGAGAAACACCATGAAAGTGTTAAAGTAACTTGGATTGAGCCGAAATTTTCTGACAACGTAAAAGTTACTGACATTTCACAAACAAATGTAAGAGCAAAAACTTTTTACTTTCCGCTACATTTAAGGAAGCTCATGGCTTAATGAACATTTAATTAATTTTACTTTTTCGTTTTTCTTCCCCGCAATTTTCTCGTTCTATTAAAACGAAAATAAAAAAGGTTTCCGGTAGCTTGTTCGGACTTGGAAGCCATCAAATAATTTATGAAGCACAAGATGCAGTTGGATATAAAAGTCGCTGTGCATTTAAAGTTATCGTTAGTGCACCGAAACGAAGAGGGCTAAGGCTACCGATTGAGAATAAAAATAAATTTTACATCTAATAAATCTCACTCCTGCTATTTTCATGCAAAACTTTTAACTGAAGAAGTTGGTAAAGTTTGTGAGTTTATAATTTTTATGAAAGCACCTGAAAAATGGAATCTTTAAAGAAAAACTTCCTGCATATGAGTGCAAGAGATTTTAGTAGCAGACTATGCTTTAGAGCTTCACAAATTGCACAATAAGTTTTCTTCTTATATTTGAGTTTAGTGTGAAAATTCATATCAAAACATTCGAACGAATTGTTTTAGCGAAAATAAGAATGTTACATCATGTTCGGTGTTTAGATCAATGAAGTATCAAAACTTCGCATAAGTAGCATGAATATTTATGTAAGTGCTTGCTTTATTTTATGTAAAAAGTTATGTTGCAAATTGACGTAACGCTTATTTTCGTTCTGAGGCTTCTTTTAAAAAATAAATAAGACGATAAGAAAATTGTAAACATATTTGAACAATAATTAATGTAAAAAGTAACAATAAATTTTAATAAAAACAACATTTGAAAGATTCGCCCTAATTATTAATGTTACGCAATATAATTCCCGAACAGGTAGAGGAAGTAAAACATTTTACACCGGGAGAAATTTCTTGACTCTTGAAGATTGTTTACCTTCAAATAGCAATTTTCCTTGCGATAATATTTGCATACAAACAACTTCCATTAAAAATTAATGTCAACATTAAAGAAGTTGTATAATAGCTAGGTAGGTAGAAATTGCCAAGCATTTCGCAAAGTTCTGCTGCAATGGAGATCAGAAAGTTTCATTTTACTAAGATAATTGCGGGTATAAAAGATTATATGAAAGGTTTTGCATATTCGTATTAAATGATAGCTAAATACTGTCTGATTAAATAATGTATAAGAATTTAAATGCTATTTAAGCAGTTGGGACTTAAAAAGTTATACCAAATAGTAGATTAACTTCAGAAAGACAAATTTTTCTAACACTCAACTCATTACTGAGTTGATCGTATCGACTTAGTTTAATATGATTTCCGAGTTAAATTAATATTTCCAAGTCGTGATAAATCTCTGCACACAAACAAGCTATTTCCTTTATAAATCTCATTAAATTTATGGTGTTCAATTTTAGAAGTAAAAGTGGGGGGAAAATTATCTTTGGAATGAAATATTCGTGCAAACATTCTAATTAAGATGTGGTATTGCTTGGAAATTTCGTAAGACGCAAAGAAAATTTGTTCTAAGTCACACCCCAGGGTAAAAGCAGATGAAAGAAAATTCAGCATAAAAAAACGTGAAGCACTGAAGATTGGAGAATGTTTTATTTCATATTGTCATTTGATAGCGTAATAAGAAACTATTCCATTTTTCGTTAAGATGTTTTATATGACGAAGGAGGCTCAAAAAGTTTTATTAGATTCGGAATTCATTTTTTATGGGCAACTTAAATTAAAGACTTTCACTAATTTATTTAGCTTTCTTCCTCCTCTTGTTTCGTTTTTATTTCCACGCATTTATCTTTACGTCCCATATCGAGCATCTTCGCATCACATAAAAAAGTTTTTCTTTTCGCTTTTGCCTTTTTATGTCGCTCAGTTATTTGTGAATTTCAGGGGATGAAAATGTTTCAAGTTCAGATAATGTTTACGGTGGGGAATTATCGAAAACGAGCTCATCGCAAATCTTTCCTAGCTATTATGCTGTTCAAAAGCACTCAACCTGAACGAATCCTCAAACATTTCTTTTCAGAATGAATAACTTTGATGGAAAACGAGAAAAAAAAGTTTCCACTTTTCAAGAAAACGTTACTTTTTCTGAAGTTAGTTAACAAAAACAAGAGCGTTTCATGCTTCTCTAGTTTCATTCCAATTCTTATAACAAGGGCAGAAAGGAGGAAACATAATTAACATGATTAAGTCTTCAAGGAAGTTTTAACTTAAACTTAAATACCCTTGAGCAAAAACAAAATCCTTCCCATTAAAGAAGAAATTACATGCTTAACGTTTTTTTTCATCTTTGAAAGTCAAAGGAAAATCTTTTGATTCAATCAAAAGAAAATCTTGTACACACTTTTCAAACACCTTACGAAGAAAAATCCCAAGAGCAAACATAAGAAGCCGTGATACATAATTTATGTTGTCAAATATTTCATAATACTATGTCGTAAATGATAAATCTCCATCATATTGATCAGCTTGTGAACGAGTAAGCGTAAGCTAAAGAAAACGTTTTCTTTTTTTGCCACGGTCATGAAATATTAAATTGGTTTCCTGACACCTCGCATGTTTATGGACATAAATCGAGAATATCTCATGAGTTAAACAAAATCCCCCGATGCGTGTATTATCATGGATATGTGAGTTATCCTGATTGGGTAGACAGTGTCGTGACTAAAATGTTAAATGATAAACTTTCACATTCTTCAAGGAAAATCACTTTTGCTTGGTGAGAAAACAAGAAAGGAGTGAAATATTCTGTTGATATCTGAAGAGCTTCGTGAATTGCTTGGGTATCAAATTGCTATAATTACTAGTTTAATACAAGCAATTGAGTTTCTCCGTTTTAATTGACATAAGAGGCTTAGTCATCTCGAAATGTTTCAAATGAAATGGAGGCAAAATCAGAAAATTTTCTCAAATCAATACTAAAAGCATCTTAAAAGCTTCACCAGAATCGTTTTTTTACGACAACGTCACAAAAAGAGACCAGAAATGGAAAGTAATTTCACGATGTCATTAATTGTTAACCTTTTTATTGTTTTTAAGCAGAAGAATCTCAATTTGCAATTACATAATATGGAAGGAGAGTAAAATTTATTGCACGTTACGATTTTTTTTATTATTTAACAATTGCAAAAGGGAAGAGAATACAACAACTTTTCTCAATCGATTGTGAGCTCATAAAAAGCCAATAAAATACATTCTTTACACAAAACATGTTGAATTTTTCAATAAGTGGAGACTGAAACCAATGAAAAATTTCGTCTTTTTATTGATGTCATAAAAATGGAATTTGGAGGAAAAACGTAATAAAAAATTCATTTTGATGCTGTAAATTCACGTACGCACGTTGAGTGGTAGCTCTTAGATCGCTTCCACTTGAACAAAAATTGAATTAAACTACGAGGACTTTAAATTGTTGTAATTAATTGATGGACTTTACAAGGCTCGAGAAAAAAAAAAGTTGGTAACAGCTGCACTTTACTGAAGGAAAATTAAATATTAAATTTTGTGAATGGAAGAGAGTTTTCCTTTTTACTCGTGAAGAGTTTATAGAGTAAAGAATCACAGAAACTTCTGCTTTACTTAGACATTGACTTGTTAATTTATGTCACATAATTTAACTGTTTAATTTTTAATATTGATGTATGACCATCGTAACTCTTTACTCTACAATTTAAAATGTATAACGATGTAGAAAATTTATAATTCAGCAAACAATGAAAAAGATCTAACTTATTAATGTAAGATTGAAACAGAACATGGCTCCTCATAATTTCATCCAACATGACATAAAGCATAGCCAACAGAATCAAATTGAAATTTATTTTTTATACTTCACTTTAATTATCAATGCTTTGTAAGTAATTTGGAATGAAGAAATTAATTAAAGATATAAAAAAATCTTTTCGGGAAATTTTCCAACGTTAATGTTGAATCAAAAAACAAAAGCGAACACTTTTCACAGAGCATAATGAACGAAAAATTCAGTGTTGCGATTGAAACTTTTCTCCATTTTATGTTCATTAAATTTGATGAGAAAATTCACTTAACGTAATCGTTCTATAGCAACATGAAAGAAGAGTTGTTGATTCCATTTGAATACACTTCGTTGCAACTACAATTTTTTCCGACATTTTGTTTGCTTCTTAAATTTCCGCACGAATACTTCACAACCCGGACAATGTTTACACATTTATTTATTTCTTCTTTTGTTGCTTTAGGTCCAACACGTACATGTGAAAAGGTGAAAGCATTCGTTTCATCTTTCATTCATGAAAATAAGAAGAAAGATTTTATCATGCACTGTTAATCCCTTCTCTAAATATCACTTGACAAATTATGATGGATCATAATGATGACGATAGCGATAAAAATGCTACTTTTAGTCATTCTAGGTGACAGATACTTCGAGTCTTGCTGAAGGCAAGCTTTCATGTCATTGTCCTAATTAAATATTGATACTTGCAGAGCATTAAAGGATGAAATAAATTTTCATAATTTTTCTTTTCGAAGCCCTATTAAAGAGAGAAAAAATATCAAAAAGGGGTAATGTAATGTTCATCTTAAAAGGATTAAAAGAAAATTAGTCAAACAGCAGAAAACAGAAATTGTGCATGAACACAATTTTGAAAGGATCTACAAGCTCTCATTTTATTTTATTAACATCATCAATTTTCTACAGATTTAATCTATCCCAAATTTTTATTAGAAAACTTTGTTCCTAAGATGGATTATCTACATAAATTGCCAATCGTGGTTTGTTGTTAAGTGCTCGGAGTTTCGTTTCTTGGTCGTTTGTGATAAGCAATAAAAATCATAAAACACACTCACGCTTTGTTATTCGTTTTAAAACTTTTTCAACTAGCTTTGCTTCAACAGGGTTTGGGCCAAATTATTTTTCATATTTTTTGCTTGAAGTGTTTAATATGATTAATTTGAGTAATGCTTTGTAGCAAGTGGAATGATATTTACTATAAACTTATTCATGAAATAAAATGATAAGTTGGAATGTAAATATTTATTTAAAAGCAACTGTAACTGTTGCCAGAAATTATGCTTTATCAAAAGCCTTTTAATATTTACTAAGCAAGTGCTCTCTAAATGAATTAAATTTTATATTCGATTATTTTTTATGTTTTCTCTATGAAGCAGTCTTTTCTATGTTTTTATGCTTCTCCCATTTTCAATTCAGTATAAAAATTAAAAACTATAACTGAACAAGTTGGAAAGAGATTTTAATCAATAATCCTTTACTTTTAAATATTCAATTCATTTATAACTGTATGTAATTTAATTTAAGCTTTTTATCAATTCGAGACTTTATTCATGTTAAACTAGTTTTGCTTCCGTAGCTGAACAATGCTCGTTATTAATTTGGTAGGTATGCTTATAGATGAGCGTTATGTTATGTAACTTAGCTACTCGTTGTTCTCATAATTGAACATGAAACTTACGATTTGAACTTTACCATGAATTTTTTTATGTAAGATATAAATAATAAAATATAAAATTGAGTTTGATATTCAAGCCTTAGTAATAAGTGAAGCCTTTTAAGAAACGTGATGCCAATCATAGAAATTTTTCCCATGTATTTGTTGGATGTTAATAAATATTTTCATATCATAAAATATTATTAGGAAAAATTAGAAATATGAGATTTATAGTTAAATTTAATTACCTCAAAACTAAATATTTGAGTATCTCACTTGTTTCTATGAAATTATATTAATGATTTATCACTAAGAAGATGAAAATATTTCATGACAAAACTGAGATTTTCAATATTATAAATAGATTAGAGAATCATCACTTTTTTGATATCCAATACAAGATATTCTTGCAACATAATTTTATATTATAATTAATTACACATCTTTCCCATCACTCCAGATAGTTATTCAATTTTACATTTGAGTGCTTTTGATATTTAAATAATTTTTTATGTTATAGAGAGAAGTTAAGAATTTGTTGAACGTTTGATCAAACAAGGGTATGCAATTTTAATTTAATTCATTATCCCTTGCTCAACCCATGGCATTGGTTTAATTGTTTTAATAAATCTCTGAACGGAGCTTTCAGGATTTCCATTTCAAGCTTTGTTAACATTGTTTATGAATCTCTTCGAAGATCAAAAGATATTGAGATCCACAAAGTGTTTTTCTCATTTTTCTACGCACGTGTGTTGTCTCCGCATCTATGTGGAGAGCGTGGAGTCGCCAAGTGACTGATCATAGTCAAACGATAAAAATAGTCAAAAAAGCAGAGAAAAAAATGAAGATGTGAAGTTGTGAGAAAATAAAACTGAAGTTTCCTACGAAATAATCTTTAGTTCGCGATCTTCAGCCGAGTCGTGCAGTCTAAAAAAAAAATTACAAAACAAACACCCGGAATAAAATTTGTGAAACAATTTGAATAATTGAAGTGCCATAGATGAAAAAGAATTAACAATGGAATAAAAGAATTGTAAAGTTAAATAAAAAAGAAGTTTTTTGGAAGAAATACCCAAATAGAACTTACAAATAAATTGAGACAAGTAAACGCGCTCTCGGTAGTTGTTTTGAAGGAAGTGAATTGAGTTGTTGGAACTACATAACTTGAGAATAAAAATGAAAAACTTCACACTTTCGTCTCTGCTTTTCATTTTCTGTTTTTCCTGTAAGTTTTAAGAATACCTGAATCAAAATTCATGAACTTTCTGAACAAAATTCGTAACAAATGATTTTTTTTTGCGATATTAAAAGAGCAATGAATTCCAATTTAGAGAGATTGTTGAACTATCAAAAATATATTAGTTATAATAAAAGAAGAAAAATTAGAATTCATAAAATTTTATGAACTTTAAATGGCTTCATAAGTTAATAAATGTTCTATGTAGACATTTTCGTATATAAAAAAAGAACAATCATTTAAAAATTTTAATCGCTAGGTATTTTATTGTCAAGCAATAAACCATAAAGTTAGGCATAAAATAAATACATAAATTCTTAGATTATTATGAAGCTTAAACATGGAAACATAATTTAAAAATTTACAGTTGACCTACAAGCTTATGTATGAAAACAAAAGAAGAATTTTCCGAATTAACTCGAATTGAGATACAAATTCACTTCCATAAAGCACCGCTTGTAAAATATGTCGTCATGATTTGACACCTACAGTTGAAACTTAATGCACGAACATAATTTAATGTAAACATGAATTCATTTCGAGAGCCGCAGACATCTACATTAAATGATATCCAATGTTGAATAATCTAGCGGCGGCAATAAATTTTATTATCGTTAATCGCTTCTTTCTCACTTTCTTCCTCTGCGTTTTCATCCAAATGATAATGATTTTCATGTTTGAAGAAATGCATCTTGTGTCAAGTTTATTTACATAATCATCATGAGCATTAAGTCAGAGCGAGCAAGTTAATTTTTTTCCTCTCGAGTATCGAAGAGTTTGTCGATTTGTTTGCTCAACTGGTAGCGGATTTGGGTGTAGAAACTTCAATCGATTGAAGTCTTTTTCTAATTAACTGTAAACAAAAAAGGCGAGGAAGAATTTTGGAGCGTCATTCACTTGACAAAGTTTGGCGAATTTTTATATCTTTGTATTTGCTTAATTACTCATCTAACACCTCGAATAAAATATTTAAATGGTAACGACTTATGCATTGTCAGATTAGTTTTTGTTTCTGTTGTCAACCTGCTGAATTCGAAGACATTTAAGGAATTTCATGGAACTTCGGCCTTTACTAATAATTTACGAGGGATTTTAAACAACTTTATCGACACTTTATCGATTGGAAATGTAGGTTAATTGTTGATGATTCTGAAGCAATGGACATGTTTTAAAATAAAGATTCTACCGGAAATAACTGCTTCAGACTGATTCATATGTTTAAATATTCAAAATCACTTGGATGCTGGTGACGGTTGGCCGAAGTTACCGTATAAAGCTTAACTTTTAAAGGCATATTTTAAGTTGCGGCAAGTTGTTTTGGGTTATAAATTTGTGAATTATTAGAAAAGATAGCGTGGATGCGTGGGTATTTTAAACAACTCGATAAAAATGCTCATGGAAATGACTATTAAAAATAAAAGAGTTTGTGGTTTGATACAGAAAGAAAAATAATGAAAACTATTTTTTCCCAATCTTGCACGAATGAAGAGAACACACGAGAAAGGAGAATTCTGTCCCGAGACTCGATAAATTCAAATCCGGTGCGATGATAAATCTCTTAATTTAATTTATCGTTCACGAGGAAATGAATAAAATGTGTTTAACAGCAAAATGATTCCGCAAAGCGCCAGATTTTTTATGAGAGCGTTGCTTTAATACAGATTTTATGTTCTCTGTAATTTCGCTGTGAAGCATCGAGATTCACATGTTAAGATTTGAAGAGTGAGGCAAAGTGTTATGAAAAGATAATTATTTTAACGATCCTTATATTCCATGTCAATTTTATCAAGTGAAAACTTTATTTGAGGGAATACTTAGTGTGAAAAGAAAAACTTTCCAAGTTTAGTTTGGTGGAGATATAAATCACTTTTATGGAAATTCTGTGACAATAACTTTGAAGCTATTCCTACAAGAAATATATCAAGTTATAGACAAATTTATGCGACACTTTCTTGAATCGAAAGGCGTTTTGTGGATTGTAGAAGAAGCTTTTATGGCAACGTCTAAACGGCTCAACTTTAATAATTGCAATAAATCTGTCATAATTTTTTGAAAAATAATCCTCGTGATTTTGGATTCAATTTCACGTTGAAATATGATCTCAATCTTTTCATGAAATTCTCCATTTACAGATTCACTTTGCTCGAAATATGAGGATTGCGAGAAGCCTCCAGAAGTTGAGCATGGCTTGGTTTTAGTTTCGTTCGATGAGAATGAAGAATACGTTAAGGCAACATATCGCTGCAATGATGGATACAGACTCCGAGGAAATAGTGAAATAACATGTGATTTGGATACTGATGAATGGGAGCAGGAATCACCAAACTGTGTGGAAGGTATTTTAATATTTAAATAATAATCGTTTCGTTTAAATTAATTAATGTCATTGAAAGCTAATTTAATATCCAATTTGCATATATTGAAAATTTCAATCAAAAATATGTACGTGACGGTAACGCATTAAGTCATCAAAAAAATCTGTTGTTTCCATTATAAATTAATTTGGCAAAACAGTTTTTGATTTATTTTTGTTTTAACACTCTTTTTTCTTGATTTTTGCCGGTGGAAAAGTTATGAAAAGTTGGTAATAAAAAAACAATTTTCAATTCTTAGGCCTCATGCAGAGCAAACAAATAGGAAAAAAAAGCTTCCATAAATAATTCTCCTGAAATGGTTTGGAATTCGTTCGTTGTTTGGCACCAGATTTTTGAATCTTTTCATTCAACATTTTAATTCAAAAGAGTTTTTTATTAATAAATAAAGCGAGTTTTATGCGTTTTACAGCGAACAAAAAAAATTTGCTACACGTTTCTAACTTTATTTCTTCTAAATATTCTTCATCACATCACATTGATTTTGTAGGTGGAAGAAGCAAAAAGACAAAATTGAAATAAATTTTCTAAAGCACCTTTTTCAAAAAAAAAAAACTATTCTTACCTCAGGGGATTTGTTTCAAAACGGTGAAGAAATGTGTAACTTGATATTTCAGTATCGTTTCCGATACTACACAATGAGCTTTCTATCCAACATAAACTTCTAAAACTGAAAGCTTAACTTCTTATCAATACTTTCGAAATATTCAAATGCTTCACCATGTACATATATGAATAACCTTTCGAAGGTATGACTTTCATTTCCTTTTAAGATTCTTCGCTCGTATACTGCTTCACTTGAAGCTATCGAGTCATGTAAACTGAATTTTTTTCTCTTCTCTTCTTTTCTTTTATTGTTTGCCACAAGATGTGTAATTTGAAAAAAAAAACAATATAAACTAATCAAAGCTGTAGCGAACGTGTCGATCGCAGATAATTGGTAATAAACTTCAAGAAGAGTTGTTGACTTTGAAAAAATATTCGACCCTACTTTAACTTAATTTGTGGCGCCATGAGATCGGTTTTCAATCATATTTGTAATTCATATCTATTCTGGCTTTATTTAAAAGAATTGCTGACTTTTCCTCTATCATTCATAACTGTACGAAGTATTTGAGTTGAGAATTATTCACAATATAAGTATTCCATTTCTGTCATACAACTCTCGATGTCAGTGGGCAATAAATTAGCCTTGGTTTCAGTCTGAAAAGTCAGTAGAGGGTTTACGAAATTAAGTTTTTTGTTTTGTGGGAAAAGCTTAAACAAGATTAGAGGTTTGAACAAAAAGACTGTTTAAGTATTGGACGAGCGTATCTGTAGGTTTAAGAAGAGAGACAGACAGAGCGAGAAAATGGTAACATGTCGGCTAGAAAATGTGAGGCTTTCAGTATGAGACATCAAGCTGTTTAAGGTCTTTGTCGCAAGATTAAATTCGCCGGTTGAATTATTTCATTTCATTCCATCTTACGCAACTTCCGATATAATCATTAGTAGGCCACATTTGGAGAGTTCATTAATTTGCATGATAATTCAACCCATTTTGTTGTCCAACAAAATTATTGACTTCTTTTTTTTCTATTTACTACTCACGAGAAGCAACAAATTTTTCCAAGACAAGAATGGAGTGCAAAATAATTTATTCTGCGAAAGAAATAACAGATCGTGAATTTCTCCCACACTTTTTCAAAAGCTTTGGGTTGGATGTCGGTCAGTAACTGATGACCAATTGAATATCATAAAACGTTCAATTTCATTAAGCAGCGAAGAGGAAAAGTTTTCCGCCAAATTAATTTGATTTACGACCTAACCCGTCAAAGTAAATAATTAAGATCAACGAAAAAACAACAAACAAAACATGAATATTTCTTATTGAATGAAAATTTATCAGAATGTTAGAAAAGATTTTTGTTTTCTTCTTTATTTTTATCTTTCTGTATAAAAAGTAGATGAAAGAAGGGAAACTAGAAATTAATCCGTTTCGAAGTAAATTATTTTATCTTTACATTCTACGAATAGAAAATTAGCATGTTTTCCTTGTTTATTCGTTGGCATGTTAGGTGATTACTTTGCCCAACCAACGTGTCAAGAGAATCATTCTGTGAACGAGTAAATTGGCCATAAATTCGTAGATAGAAAAATACGTGGGCGTGAATACCAGATGATCTAAGAAGATTCTTCTGATTTCTGGTGACACAATTCGAGTTGTTTATTGCGATAGCATGAACATCGACGATGACAGTTTAATAAAGTTAAACTCTTTCAATGAAATCAGGGATTTTATTTATTTACGTTGCATTCATGCTGCCACTTTATGCGGAAAATTATGTTTCATTTTTCTTATCGTCTTTTAACGTCTTCCAGATACAGCATCATCCAACAATAAATCACCATTGGACAACAAAAAGCGACGAAGAAATAGAGTGCAAGAGATACAAGAAGAAAGTCAAATAACAAACGACTTCGCCCAACATTTGGACTTGTCTTGCATGAGCAAAGGTCTTGTTAAAGCACCACAAATAAAGAACGCATACCTGAAATATAACAGGTGAATAGAAGTAGATTGGATTTAATGGCATGGCAGAGAAGAAAGAATAAAGCAATGAAATTTGGCTGACTCTTTATTTCTTTCTTTCTTTGAGTTTGATAGCAGAATTTTTTTTCTCAACGAATGAAAAGTCATAAAAAGATTTTCCAGAAGCTGATTAAGAACAATTATGTTTAATCCTGTTTTCCTTTCTTTCTTATCCGGTTATTCGAAGTTTCATTCCATATCAGAACTTTTCCATCTTGTTGGGGCTTTCTTTGTTGGAATTTTATGACACTTTTTGTTTTTTTCAGACGTCGAAAGGGCGAAAAACTCTTCTTGGTGGCGTACTACGAGTGCGATGATGGTTATGAGTTGGAAGATTCAGAGCATGATCGTCTTTACTGCAGTCGAGAATCATGGGTGGGCAACACACCCGTGTGCATACCACAAAGCGATATTGAGACCGAATACGAAGAAAATGATGAAGGTGCGTAGAAATGATATGAGATTATGTTAAGAACATGGCATTTAAAAGATCAACGGTAAGGTGAGAAGTATTAAGCATGATGTTATGTTGTCAGTTGCAAGCTTCATCCAATCATTCGCTCTCGTGCACAATTTCAAAACGAAATAAAAAACTTCACTTTATAAATAATCTGAATGAGAACGACGAAAAAAAAGTTCGTAAAGATAATCGACAAATTATCTTTCTCTTTGATTTGAACACTTTAAGCTACTTTATAATCTTATTGATCAATCAAATTGTTTAAAGCGTTTACAATTGAAAACTATGAGAAAACGGTCTGACATTCGGCTTAATCTTCGAAATTGAACTCAACGGTCTCGTTTATGGTTTCTTGGATCTTTGATAAATTACAAAACTGTCAGAGCTCGCAACCGTCGTTATTTGAGAAAGAAGAATATAACGACAAAAAAAAAAGTTAAATTACACTTTTTCTTGTCTATGTGAAAAAAAGAGTTCAGTAGAAAGAAAAACATTTTCATTACAAAAAAAAATAAAAAAATAGAGTCGTCGAAGAGGAAAACAGATTCGAGTTTGCTGAATCTTGATTTATTGCATTCAATTTCAATTTAAACGAGAATGACTGTCGAATGGAAGTTTATAGACGGAAAATCCTTCAATTACGAAGTCGTTGATGCGCAATGATTCGCAAAGATTGATCAAGCGACATAAATCGAAAGAAATTTTCATTGCTAGTTTGCAGGAAGGAAATTTTAACGTTTTAACTTGTAAATCGCAGAAATTCCTTTGCATCATGTTGAAGTTGTCATCGATTTTCTTTCCCCTGTGGATGGCTAACTCTTGTTTGTGTTTATGTCACATTTCCCTACGTGTTGTGTTTTCTCATGATAAGACAAACCGCTTAACTCTGACCGGTTTTCTCTCGCTTTTACTGTCATCGCTGTGTAAGCCTTTTCACTCACAAGCTTTTTTTTTGCAATTCATGCGTATATAAGATACTGACGGAAAAAAAGCTTCCCTTATGAAATTGAACTGAAGTACTGGAACATAGAAATTCACTTTAGAAAATGAAAAACAAAAACATCGGCAAAGATGCTTCTTCCTTTCTTATCTTAGATATGATGTGACTTAGTTCGTGGATTCTTCTCTCAACATTACATACTGATTGATTCATGAATGAGACGAAAGTTTTTCACTTAAGTTTAAAAGAAAAGTCAACATGGAAAAAATTCAGCAACAAAATTCCTTCAATAAAATATTGAGAGAGATGGAGAGATGGTATAGGAAAAGAAAGATAAACGTTTATTGATCGTTTTCTGATGATAAGAATGCTATTGTTGGAGACCAAGAAAAATGATTTTGCCGTTGGCTTATGAAAATATTGATTTTTGCTTTTATCTTTTTGAAACAAAGAACAGCAAATGCCAAGACCGTGGAAAAGAATGAAAAAAATATGAATAAGTGGATGAGAAAATGAAAAATTCTTGTGAATAAATTATGAAAATTATGCAAATGTCTTTTCTCTTCCAACCGCGACGTTGTTGTAGATTACGAAGATGAGAACGGAAATGTCTCAGGTGGGGAAAGCGAGAATGAAAGTGAAAACGAAAGTGGAAGAGAAGACGAAGATAACGAAGTAACGTCAGAATCTCATCACGAAGACCATAATGAAATTGAAAAAGCAACAACCGAAGCTAGCACAGAACCACCTAAGAATGTGACCATGCCATGTGATTCAGATCGTGCAGGATGCGATCATGAATGCCAGATGGTGAGATATGATTTTGATCCCGAGCCTGTAGTTCAATGCTCGTGTTACAAGGGCTTTGTTTTGGATGAATACGATGGCAGGCGATGTCATGGTGAGATGGAAATTTACTTTTATTATTACGCTCCCTAAATCTCATTTAAACTTTACAGACATCAACGAATGTGATTCGGATCATGGGTGCGAACAAATTTGCAACAATTTGCCGGGTTCCTTCGAGTGTGCGTGCCATCCCGGGCTTCAAATTGATTCAACAAATAACAAAAATTGTATCGGTGAGTGAACACTGAATTTATTTATAAATAACAGCAAATAAACCCAAGCTTGACCTCTCTTTATCATTCCTTCAAATACCAATCTCATATTACTTAACTTGTTGTTTTTTTTTAATATGAAATAAATGAAATAGCAAACATGCAAAAAATTTAGGATCAAATATTTTAATTTTCTTCCTTCTTTTTTTCGTATGCTTGACTCTCAAAGGAAATTAAAATGTCGGGATGAAGAAGAAAAAAGAGAAAAAAGAAAAACATAACGAAAAGAATTCAAGGGAAATGTTATCTGACATTTTAATCTTTTTGAACGTAAAGAAAAAAAGTTTATTTTGATAATAAGGTCTCGTAACGCAAAGTAGCTTTGCTTTTCTAGCTTTTGTTATATTAAAACATTCATGAGTTCTGAGTCTAGGATAGAGATTTCCTTTCCCGATAAAGATCCTTAATTTATGCTTTTACTTACTAAACAAGTAAGCACAACCTATCCATGTCATTTGCAAACAATTTTCATTTGCTTAAATGAATTTATGAAAAAGCGAAGATCGGATTCTCCCAAATGTCGCATAGATATAAACGAATGTTCAAGGAACAATGGACGTGGTGAGTGTCAAGATGTTTGCTACAACACTGAAGGCAGTTACAAATGTTCCTGCGAGCGTTTACCGAATACCAGACTTGCATCAGATGGGCACAGCTGTGTAGATGCCGGAGAATGTTCAAATAACAATGGAAATTGTTCCCATATCTGTCTGTGGACGATGAAGAAGATTTTCTGTCTTTGTCCCGAAGGCCTTGAACTTGGTGAAGACGAGAAAACTTGTTTAGGTAATGGAAACAAACGAACTTCAAAATGTATCTGCAAATTACGTACTATGTTGTGCTTCGTCTCCTTTATTCACTTCACAACTTTTATAGCATAAATATTTTAAACATAAGCATTAAAGCCATCCATTTCCAACATAAAAAATGCCTTTGCATAAGGATAATCATGATTAAAATAAATTGGAACACTCTTTTGATATATCAAAAGATGTATGTACATGTAAAAGAGAAGAAGTTTCTCTTTTTCCACATTGCATTTCTATTCAATGCTCGTTTGTTAAAATGAATTCAAAAGGATGAACATTTTTGTGGAAGTGAAAACATTTTCGAAGTCTCAACCAAGGTGGTTTTTGCTTCTTTTTTTACACTTTTTCTAAGTGTAACGAATGAAATAAAATGCATTAAAAGATTATGTTTGAATAAAAAATGATAAAGTTTGCATTTTCCTTTTTCTGCTTTTGCGGTATAAAGATTCGTTAAGAGTGAATTAACAAGGTTTAAGGTTGCTTGACTTTATGTTTTACATACTTATCTGACTTAAACTAACAACGAACTAATGATGACAAACATAAGTAAGGGATTCGAATACAAAGATTTTGTTATATTCATCTTTTCAACGACAGATATCAACGAATGTTTAGAAAATCCATCAATTTGCGGTGCCAACGTGTGTGAAAATTCTTACGGAACGTATACATGCATTGAGCCTTCCACAACTCAACCTTCAACGACAGCTGCCGTGTTATTTTCAACCACAGAGCTGTCACATGAGACTAAAAGGGAAGATGAAAACATATCCGATGTCGTTGAAGTTGAATATAACGAAATAAATAAAGAAAAAGACGAGAATGACGACGAAGAGGATGACTACTTTGAAGAAAGGTTAGAGAGTGGTAAAAGTGAAAGTGAGATCGAAAAGGTCGATCTAGACGAGGATAATGACGCTACCGTAGTGTCACAGCATGAAAAAAGTGACGTTCACAACGAGATTTCGGAGGCTGAATCAACCTCTCCGCATGTCTCAGAAGTTATGGAAACCTCCACGATATCAACCATCGCATCAACTTCAACAACGACTGAGATGAACAATGAGATTCCGAACGAAGTGGAAAATGAAAATGATTCTATAGAAGATCCTAATGAAGATGAACAATATTCGGATGTGGATGAAGAAGAAGAAAATGAACGCAGCACCGACTTGCATCATCAATCTTCAACTGTCAAATCTGATTTCGGTAGTGAATGTGATGATGGATTAAGATTAGACAGCGATGGCAAATGTGTCGGTGAGTAAAGAATAGATGGAGATGAAGCACAAGGTTGGCCAGAATATTTTCACCTTTTTCGTTCTTTAATAAAATAAATAAATCATCGTAGAACTTTTGCACAGATTTTCATTCTTATTCAATGTTTTTCTAATGTTTCACGAGAGTGTCAACAATCAAATTCAATGTTTTGTCAACAATGAAATTCTCTCTTAAATTTTCAATCGTTGAAGAAACTTCAACAAGAAGCTTCTCGGTCAATGTTCACTTGAAAACAAGACAAAAACTTGACGACTCTCAAGGTTTCTTGTTTATGTTCTAAAACGAAAATTTAATATGTAAAAAAATCTACATGCGAAAATTCAATTGAGGACAATCAAAACAACATTAATCAATAGATAGATGATATGACCGATTTTTTATTGGCACGCGATCAAAGGCAATTAACACGAGACATTCCTTTTCTATTCTATGTTCTTTTTTCGTTTTTTTTTTTGACAGAAATCAATGAACGAGAACAAGATCTAACGACATTAGCAACGACAACAGAAGTGACACACGCTTCTCGTATCAAACCCGAATGTCAACACGTTGATGGTGGTAATTGTTGATTCTACATAAATTATTCATTGCGGGGCTTTTTAATTAATTAACATAATTAATCTTTAATTATTCGTGTTTTATTTATATTTTGTATGCATGTATACAGAAGGGGTTGAATGTTATTGCCCATACGGTTACGACTTGTCAGAGGATGAAAGCTTTTGTGAGGACATAAATGAATGTGAAATTTATGATAATGATTATGAAGACGAAAGCAACAATGATGATGGTGATGATGTGCCAATTGCCCGACCAAAAGCGACGTTCTGCTCTCATACATGTACCAATCTAATAGGTTTGTGCAAACAAAGAGTTACCTATTAATGTCTTTACTTTTATTTTGCATCATCAAAAATTCTTTCAGGAAGTTTCATTTGTTCTTGTCCGGAAAACTTTCACATTCACGACGACAAACGTACATGCGTTCGTGACTATTGTGCTGATTTAAGCAATAGTGAACTGAACAAAACCAAATGTTCGCATGAATGTATTGACAGACAAGAAGGTAAGTCACAAATTAATGCTTTAATGTTCCTTTTCTTGCGAAGTGTATAAATGGAAATTTTATTCTTCCTTTTCATAAAAAGGCTATTCTTGTGAATGTCCGAATGGTTTTACATTACAAAACGATTTAAAAACATGCAAAGAAGATTTTGTAGAGGAAATAGGTGAAGTGGAAAAAGAGACTGAATCCGATAGCGAAGAAGAGTTTGAATCGATTGTTGAGTGTTCTTCAACACATCACGAGCATTGTAGCCCTGGCAATTGTGTCGTTGTTGGCGATGAATTGGCATGCTCATGTCCCAGTGGATACGCAACAAAATCAAAAAGTTGTGTTGATATCGATGAATGCGAATATGGAAGTCATCAGTGCAGTCACTCATGTCACAATACTGAAGGAAGTTACCGTTGTTCGTGTCCCAATGGTCTGACATTGTCAGATGATGAGAAGACATGCGATGATCTTGATGAGTGTTCCCATGACGATGATATTTGTGGAAGTCTCGAATGTCGAAACACTTATGGCAGCTACAAATGTATATGTCAGGAAGGAGAAGAAATTGATGAACATGGAGAATGTCGAGCTGTAAATTTATGTTATAGAAATAACGGAGAGTGTTCGCAGTAAGTCTTTATTGTCAACATCATAGCGAGTGGAATTTATTATTGATGAATTTATTGCTTCTTTCTTTCATTTACTTTACAGTTCATGTAGATCCCACCATGATCAAATAATCTGCGAATGTCCCGAAGACATGGAACTCGATGATGACAAGAAAACTTGTATAGATTTCGACCCATGTCGGTATGAAAACGGCGGATGTTCACATTATTGTGAGAAAAATAGAGGCCCAATTTGCTTTTGTCCACCTGGATTTGTTCTTGATGATGAAACCGAAACTACTTGTAAAGAAGAATTTAAATGCAAAAATGGTTTTAAATTGTTATCACATGAAAGCGAAACGTGTGTTGATATTGATGAATGTTCTGAACATCACAATGTTTGTCTTAATGGTCATTGCGAAAACACTGAAGGCTCGTATCGTTGTCACTGCCATTCCGGCTATGAGCTTTCACAACATAACATTACATGTGTTGACATTGATGAATGTGCACGTGAGATGTCTCGGTGTTCACACCGATGTCTTAACTTACCTGGATCGTATCAATGTGGGTGTCCTTACGGTCAAGTTCTTATTGAAGACGGCCACACTTGTGGATTTTCTGATTTATGCGACTTTAACAATGGCGGATGTGGTATGTAAAATGAATAAGTTATGAGATGACTTTTCTTTTTTTCTCTCTTCCTTTTATTTCTACAAGTCATTGCCTCTTTTTCTTCTTTATACTTTTCACCGCACAGCCCACGAATGTGATTTTGTCGACAATAAAATTTCATGTTCATGCCGAAAGGGATATAAGGTTGATGATGACGATGATAAAAATTGTGTCGATGTCGATGAATGTCAAGAGGATAATGGTGGGTAAGTTAAGTTATTGTTGTTCATTACTTTGACAATATTTATTTACATATTTCAACTGATTGACGTGGTCGTTTTCGCATAAGAAAATATCTCGCAATTTGAGCTTTTTTATGTTGACAAAAGCTTTAAAAAAAGCTTCACAACATGTCTATGCTTATAATCCTATTATGAAAGCGATTAAAAAGGAAATCTTTTTTGACAGTTGCGAGCAAAGTTGCATCAACATGGAAGGAACGCACCAATGCTCTTGTCACGTCGGTTACGAGCTTAAAGCGAATGGACTCTCATGTGCAGATGTTGATGAATGTGTTGAGAACAATGGGGATTGTTCAAATATCTGCATTAATCTTATCGGATCGCATAGTTGTGCATGTGAAGCTGGATATTCTCTAGGCCATGATAACCATACATGCTTCGATGTGGACGAGTGTCAAGATATACACGACTGCTCGCATATTTGTATAAATACTGAAGGAACCTATGAATGTGCATGTCCGAATGGCTTTCTTCTCGCACATGACAAATTCAATTGTCATGATATTGACGAATGTCTCGACTCACCATGCATTGATGGTCATTGCAACAACACAATCGGATCATTTCACTGCTATTGTCAAGAGGGATTCGAGTTGTTAGACAACGGAATTAGTTGTATTGATATTGACGAGTGTGTTCGTCTTTCTCATTCATGTAGTCATCACTGCTTGAATTTTGCTGGAGGGTTTGTACACATTTAAAATGAAGTTAATGTTTCAACTATTGAATTTGTGCTTTCTTTCATTCTTTTTCATTCATCACTCATACAGATACAATTGCTCTTGTCCCAGTGGAATGGAATTAAACGATAACTCACAAACATGTGAAGATATAAATGAATGTGAGATGGAACAGCCATGTTCACATGAATGTGAGAATACTGAAGGAAGGTTCGTTTTATTTAAATAAAGTTACAAGTATAGAAATGAGTTAAAAGTCAAATTTCTTTTTTCTATTTAAAGTTTCATTTGTAAATGTCCCAAAGGCTTTGTCCTAGATGACAATGGAAAAGATTGCATTGATCTTGACGAGTGTTTGACAGACAATCACGAATGCAGTGAAGTTTGCACAAACACCAAAGGCAGCTATCATTGCAGTTGTTCATCTGGAAAACTTTTATCGTCTGATGGGAAATCTTGCAATGAAATTGATCCCTGCTCAATCGATAATGGCGGATGCAGTCAAGTTTGCGAGTATCGCCACAATCAAATAGTTTGTTCATGTCGAAATGGTTTTGAAATTGACATAAATGACAAAACTTTGTGCAATGATATCGACGAATGTAAACGAGACAGCATGTGAGTTGTAAATATTCTGGTAAAAGTTTTAATTTTAATGAAACTTTCTCTAAGAATTTGTTGACTTAGCTTAGATTTATGTATCTGTGGTGAATTTTGTACTCTAATTGAATTTTACATCATCTAAACAATTTTTATTAATGTTTCTTTGAAGATGCCAACAGCAATGTGTCAACACAATCGGAAGTTATAAATGTGAATGTTTCCCAGGCTTCCGTTTTAATGAAAATGATCAATGCATTGATATTGATGAATGTAAAACGTCTGGTTTCCGGTGTCCAAATACAGCTCAATGCATAAACACAGCAGGATCTTACAAATGTGTCTGTCCTGACGGATCCAAATTATCACGAGACAAAGCTCATTGTATTGAAATTAAGAATGAATGCAAACCACTCACAATAAAACATGGCGATGTTCGCTGCACGAGATCGAGGTAATTTTTTCTGTTTTAAAACTGATGTTAGTTTGGAGAAGATTTCATAATTACAAAGCATTTATCATTCGTTTCTTATTTCAAAAACATGAAAGTTTCATACAGTCAAAGACTTTGAAAAATCGAAACTTTCTTTTCGATTTCTTCGACTTTTTCTTTCCTTTGGGAGTTGTCTGTTCAGACGAATGCATTGAAAATTTCAGACGAAAAACTTTCTATCTGTTTAAGAAAAACTTCTAAATAAAAAACTTTTCTTTATGGAAAGTTTCGCTGTACAGAGAATTCTCTTATATTTTTGTTAAGAAAATAATTCTCAACATAAACGAAGTCGTCCTTTAACTTATAAGCTTCCAATGCATTACAAGGAATTCTCTACTGATGCAAGAAATTTCTTAAATAAAGAGTTCCCTACATTTGCTGTTTTACTTTGAAACTAATATCTATTTACTTATCCATACCACCATCGGATAACTTAAAACAATATGAAATATTTGCTCTGGTTACAAATTGAAAATAATTTTTTTTCCATCGTATGATTTCAGACATAGAACTCAACTTTTCTACCGTACAAAATGCGCAATTTCATGCGACAAAGGTTGGTGAATTTATGTGGAATTGAAAATTTCCTTCATATCTACTAAAACTCAGAATAATGAAAAAAAAATATCGAAAATTCATATCATGAGCAATGAGCCTTTAACAATCTTTTTTTTTCTTTACTCGATTCCTTTTTTTGTTTTCTTCCTTCTTACTTTGAAAAGGATACAAATTACACGGACCATCGATTAAGCATTGTAATGGAACGGGCTATTGGGACGATAATGGAGATCCAATTTGTGTTCGTAAGTATTTCACTGAACGATTTTTGCTTTCTTTGTCCATTGTTCTTGTCCCTCTTCAACATTCCCAACTTCCAACAATATGCGGTCGTATGAGAAATAGTTGTAAATGTCCTTTCCTAAAAACCGTCGATGTTATTTAAGTTGGGAATTCTCTTTTCTTGTTTTTAGTTTTTCTTTTTTTTTTGTTACTCGTTTAGACTGTTGATAAATGGAAAAAAAACTCTTTTCACTGAAAAAGTCATTTTTCATTCTATTCTTTTTCTCTCTAGCACTCGCTTGCCCACGACTTGCAAAACCTGACCATGGAACAATTTTACCAGCCAATTGCATGTATGGTGAAACATTTTCTGGTGAACGATGCTTTTTGCATTGCCCGTCTGGATATAAAGCGCTTGGTAAACGTGTTGCAGTTTGCAACAATAAACTTGAATGGCAACCTAAAGCAGAACTTCAATGTGTACCGGTTAGAATTCCAAGTGTTCAATTAACATCACAAAAATATCATCATCATCAACAACAACAACAACACAATCGACATCAGCAGCATCCACGACCGAGCATAAAATGTCCTGAAGACATGAACGTAATAAAACCAAAGAATCAGGAAACAATTTTAGTCCGCATACCAATGCCAGAGACAAATGTCGATTGGAACATGTATGTTGATGCACAACCAGTGTGGGCTAAAAGATTAGAAGGAGCTTTGTCACTGGGTGCAACAGAAGTAACTTTCCGTGCTGGAAGTCCTTACTCCAACGAGTTTGATATTTGTCGTCTCATTATTAATGTTGTGGATCCATCGCCACCCACTGTCACATTCTGCCCAGAACCATTTATTGTTCAACTGAATGCTCACGAAACAGCACGACCCGTATATTGGGATGAGGCAACCTTTGAGAGTAAACATCCAATACAACAAATTTTCAAGTCAAAAGTTCCAGGTCACAGGTTTGGACCGGGAGTTCATCCAATCACGTACATTGCCACAAACAAGGAAGGTTTGTCGGCAAAATGCACTTTCAGGATAACAGTTAAAGGTAATGTCACAGCAATAAATTTCAATAAATGCCTCAGATAAATGTGAGAGAATGTTACTTAAATATTTCAATTCACAAAAATTATTTAGCACATGAAACGCCTTTTGATCACAGTCAACGAATTGCATTGGAAACAAACACAATAACTGATTCATATGAAGCGCCAGCGAAACATTTAGAGAATCATGATTCATATTTGATTTGTTCCGGAAAGCCTCCAATTAAAATTGATTCAAATCAACCCGTAAGTATTCACATTTATTTCGATAATTTCGTAAACCGCAAAACCAAGAATCATCAACGTTCACAACATGAGGCGGATAGTGGCGAAGTCTTTTTGAGAATAACAGATGAAGGATTTCACGATGATTACAATAATGACCGTAATCAACATAATAACAGAATTAATGACCATCACGAATTAACCAAAAGCATAACTACGACAGAAAATCAAAATCCTCAGTACAACGAGAAGGGTGATAATGAAAAGATTGAAATGAATATAATTGAAAGTAATAACAACATTAATAAATTTAATCGGAATGATAAAAATGAATTTAAACATTTCATTGATATTTATCATTGGCTTTCGAAACGGTAAACATGAAGCATAAGTGTACAAGAAAAATGTTTTCATTGATATTTTTCGAGAAAAAGCAAACAAAATTTTCCAATTGAATTTCAAGAGTAATGTGATTCGTTTCTTTGACTTCGGTAAGGCAAATGAAATGAAAAGGTTATTAAATTAATTTTATTTTATGACACGTTTCTAAACACGTTAGAAATTCTATGAATTTAAAATTTCAATTGATTAATGGAACGAGATTTAAATTAAGTTTTGTTTATTCGGTAAAGATTTTAATGAAAAAAGTTTCATGAATCTTTAATGAAATTGTAATTATCAGCACATTTCAATTTCCAATGAACTCAGACTTCATCTTGACATTACAAAAAGTTTTATTAAGTCAGCATAAAACAATGAAATCAATCTTTTTTATATAAAATTTAAAATGAAAGTGTGCACCGAAGTTTTCTTCTATTTTCGTAAAATCAACAGAGAAGCAAAAAATCAACAATGTGAAAAGCTCTCATGGAAATATCATCAACAATTGAGGGAATGGGAAATAGAAAAGGAAAGCTTAACAATTTATTCAGGAAACATGCTCAACTGCATAAAAATAATGATGAAGAGTCAGTTTGTTGAGGGTGAAAAGGAAAACTATTTAAAAAATTCTCGTATCAATATTAAATTGTTACAAATAGAAGAGTAAAGAGTAGAAGCATTTTGAGGGTAAAAGTTTAAACATAAGTGAATAAATATCCTTTGCTAACATGAGCTCGAACAATGTTTATTAAACATTAAATTCTCACAGCTTCGCTTTTCAAGTTTCTACTTTAAACTGACGTAATAAATCCTTCATTTGTTTTAAATTGAGTATTTAAATGATGAATCCTTTGAGAGAAGCCATTGAGTTATTTCAAACTTTGGATGAAAATCACGTTTCAAACAACCAAACAGCAGGAGGAAAAAATGAAAACTCAAAACTCTTTTATTTCATCATTCCTTTCACTTGTTTGCTTTTCGACAAAAAATCACGAAAACTTTTTGCTGTCACTTCTCTTGTTGAATTTGTGAACTTTTTATTAAAAGCAATACTTTTAAAATTTAAATTTCAACAATTTGCATTAACAAAAGATATTTGCATAAGAGAAATTATTCAATTTACTGAAAATCTTTTAATGTTGCGGTTACTTTGGTGGTTTACGCTGGTGGTTTTGAGATGAAATGAAATTCGTACACTTGATAAGATACAAATGAAATTATAGCTTAATAATAATTCAAATTATTTGTTCAAATAAAATTGCTATGATTACCCGCATTAAATAATTAATGTATAACATGTAGAGGCTTCCACTATGATATTTTAATTGCTTTAAAAATATTTCATTAACAAAAGTTTAATAAATTATTAAGATAATTATAATTGCCAAGATAACTGCTTAAATTTTATATTTAAATCAAAGCTTTAAAGTCTGTGATTTTTGGGAAACTAATTAACAATTTTAATGAATGAAATTTTATATTGACGAAATCAAAGCATTAATAATCAAAAGTAAATATTTGGTTTTAATTAAATTTAAAGAAAGAAATGTTAACTAGAACAATAAGGTTGCTTTACGAAAAAGCTTTTATTTATAATATTAAGCCTGATATGACAACTGATAACAGTTGACAGTTGTTAAAACTTTCTACAAATATAAAACCAGGAAGTGCTTACACAAGCATTTTTTCAATCACGATAAAAATATTCGCTTGGAAAACAACAGCAGTTTGAAAACCGAGTGAAAGGATTTTCAGGATAATCAAAATTTTATATTTTTTTCAACTGTCATAGCTGAACATTCATTAATCACCGAGATGAGAGTCTGGAAGCTTTTTCTGTTGGCAATAATGTTTTTAATCATTTTAAATGTCAAAAATCATTAGTGTTAAGTCTTGTGTTCACAAACAATTTTTTTTGCTAACAATAAATCAAAATTTAATTGAAAATTCATTTGCTCAATATCTAATTACTTCTCCCATGCTTGCAAACAATTTAATGCTTATGGTTCGCTGTTTCATAAAGACTCATGGAATACAAATTGATTAATTAAATATTCAACATGGCGAAGGTACATACTGTCCAATTAATCTAAATATTTCATTTGACATCAGAAATATGTGGAAGAATTTCCTCGCAAGGATTCATTGACAAGATAATTTCAGAAAAATTCTTAAATTTTAATGACTCACTTTGAACATTTTCAACATGCTTTAACGTTAAATATCAATGCTGATTGCACTCTCTGTTTGTTTAAGTTGGTCGTTGCTTTCTGTGATATTATTTTCTAATCCTCTCAACTTCAAATTTAATTTAAAAACAATTAAAAACTAATTTCTTCTGAGAGCAGAAAAGCTGACGGACTTTGCCTTGGCCTGGAAACAAAAGAATATAATTTCAATTAACAAAAACTTTTTTAATTTTCTCTTCTCTGAACGTGGAAAAAAAATCTTGTTCAAATCAAAAACAATTAGTGGCATTTGCCTCATGGTTGTGTAATCAAGAACGTGAAGGCTCATCGTAGCAGACATCATCAACAACGACCTCTAAGACGTGAACGTCCTTTACGAAAACAACATCAAATTTCACAACAGACTCACGAAGGTGCTTCTAGCAGTCGCATTGAAAATCCGTTAGTTCCAACACCACACCGCAGGAGTAAGTTTTAATTGAATTTTAGATGTGTTTTGCTGTGAAAATTACGTTTTTCAATTAGGTAACAGATTGCGCTATTATTCATCATGGGACACACAAAGGCAACAACAATACAGACAACAACACCAACAGCAAGTGCAAAACCGAAGACATCATCAACTACGACAGCATCCACAGAATGTACAACATCGACAACATCCACAGCATATACAGCATCAACAATATCAGAATCAGCGTCAATATCATCATCACACTACCCAAAAATCATTGAGATTAAATCACGATTCTCTTCCAGTTGCATATTGGGATTAAAATGCAATCCGCAATAATCAATATCAGATTAAAAACAACATAAATAATTGAACTTCAATCTAATAAACATTTTTTTATTTAACATTTTTAAACCATCATTCAAAGCACGTTTTGTTGGTAGGAAGCAGAATTGCAACATTTTAAGTTTACCAACAAACATGTTTGGAATGGGAAAGTTAGTAATAAAGGAAATGAAATTCATTTAAACACTAAAATCTCTTTTACTTCCGAATTTTCCGAGTGATTATGGAAACAGCTATAAATACAGATATTTATTGTGTGGTTACAATAATTTCTGCTATTTTAAAATAAATCAGATACCTGCTGAAGCTTTTAGCATCCATAGTTTTCGAGCTAATTGGAATATAATTTTGGCTTCATTTGTGTCAAAATAATTGTGTTTAATGTTTCATTAACTGTGACAGTTTTGTTTGCAGTTTCCGAAATTGTCATCTAGGTAGGTAAATAAATTTAACATTGCATCATTTTAGTTTACATTTTATTCATGTGATTCAATCAAATTCACTTGTAGTTTTTAAGTATGTATTAATATTGATTTCAAGAAGCTTATTCTTTTTGGTAGCATGAGTAACACGATTTTTTGAAGCAGGCTTATAAAGTCATGTTAAGTATTACTACTAACCAACTCCCCTATCATGTAATCCTCTTATAATCTTCAAAAACTTGAACAGTTGAAACATTTTGTGTGCATATAAAATACATTTTTTTTATCGAAGTGATGCACTGCATGATTTTATCAATGTCAAATCATAAAAGCTTATTGCAAATTATTTATATAAGTAAAAACAGACAGCATTAGATATCTTGATTGCTTGAAATTTAAAATGAATATTTCCAGCTTAATGTTAAGTTTTTGAATTTCCCGCTGGAATGTGAAACATTTGAAACGTTTCCAATTGTTTCTCTTCTTTTTATTCCTCTATTGCAACCAATTAAATCCGGTTTTCATTAGCGTACTACCAATTGAACATATGCATCACATCCAACAAATTTTCATATAAAATGTCATTTTTTTTAAGAAGAAGCCTTATAACTGCCTACTTAGTAATAATTAATTTTTATCAACAAAAATTTAAAAACTCCAATCCAAATTGACAGTCGGACATGAAAGAATTTTCAAGAAACGCTTAAAAGTTCAGTTTCATTGATAAGAAATTTCGAATTTTTCATGACGATTTGTTGAACGTAAATTTGAGAAAAAGTAGCCATCAAAATGGCTATGAAAGTATCACCAGACCTGAATATCAACATGACCAATATACTGAAAATTGAGAATTTTATAAATGATCAATCGTATAGTGAATTAATTGAGTATAGTGCAAACTTCAATTCTCGACTCTGTATCGAGCGCAGATTGAGAATGCCATTTCTCGATCCACAGACCGGAGTCGCACAGAAACATTCAAATCTATATTTTAAGAAATCTCAGAGGCTGCCAGGCCTTAAAGAAGGGCAGATTTACACATATCCATCGACACGTTGGCGATGTAAAACAACTTCAATGAAGTTCAACAATCGACCATTTTATAGATTTCGAGCTGCTGATAATTGCACCACATTAAATTCTTCAAATAACACAGTATATACGACAGCAACTAGTACAATCAGCACTTCAAATGTAAATGGAACTGATGGTGATGTGAGTGATTTTCAAGCGCTCATCGACGCTGAATCAAATAGCTTCGGTGCTGGCGACACTGACTCAAAAGATAGTCAAAACCTGAAAGATGAAACAATGACTAAGGATTGGTTCTTCGAAGATATGGATGCGCATGATATGGGGTCAGAGGAGCAAAACGATTCAGACTTCGACTATAATATAAATGGATACAAACGGAAGAAGAAGCCAGTAACCACACGAAAGTCTAGTCGTAAGCCAAAAGATCCGGAAATGGTCAAAAAGAGCAGATCAGGTGGTAGTTCAAATCGAAATAGAAAGTCATCATCAAGAAAGGGTAATCGAGCTGATGGCTCGTTGACATCATTTGATGTTGAGCCGCCTTCCTTCGATTCAGTTCAAGGTGATTTGATGGATGGAAGTTCTGTTGGTGCTTATAGAAGCTTTTAAGTTCAGCAAATACCTAATTTTCATTCGATTATTTTAGATTTTTATTATTGATTATCTCAATAATTTTGAATGCAAAGTGTAGTGGGTGGTGGTGGGGATGAAGTTGTGTATTGTGAAATATTTGACGATTCACAATTAATAATCTTCTTCACCCACATCAACAACTTAACCAACTACATTTGTATTTGAAATCAACTCATTAAATTACCATTTTTATTTAGTGAAGATTCTTCAATTACATATATTGAGAATAAATTATCGTTCATTCGTATGAGCAGCGATTAATTGAACGGGAAAAGATGAAAAAAGTCACAAACTCATTTCATTAGCGCTTTAATATTATTCACATTATTTGACTAAAAGAGATATAAATTATTTGTCAATCTTTGAACTGCTCATCGTTTCTTTTCCAAAGTTTTTTTAGATCGTGAATAAGTAAAGAAATTGAATAAAATTTTTGATAAGTAAATATACCAGAAAAAAAAACAAATTAATATATTCGCATTTTAATACTTTTCTTTATTTAATTTAATTAATAATTATGTATATTATGACTTAAGGTTCTATTTAATTTATTTCAGAATATTGTAAATTAAACATTATTTCTCATATAAAAAGAAAATAAATGAATTATCAACTGTAAAGAAAACATTTTTTGATGTTGTTTATAAAATGTGAATAAGTTTGATGAATCCCAAATCTTAATTATGATTAGAAGTTGTCATTGTGCAGCTTTACAAATTATTTTTATCCTAAATGTGTTTGTTATTTTAAGCACTAAGTAAATAGATAAGTAAGTCGTATACCACGATTGTTTCACTGTTAATGGATCAATTGATCTAACAACATCAACAAAGCTTAATCTTTATCACCTCAACCATAACTTACTCAATAATATCTTGAAGAGTCGGATCAGATTTCTCTGCTTACTTTTTGCTATAGAAAGTCTCGATACATGATTTACAATCCCAACTTCCTTCTGGTGGATTCTCTAATGGTGGTGACAAGCAATACATGTGGAAGCCTAAAATAATATTTATTTGTTAATTCATTCATTATTTATTATTTTACATCAACTCACCTGCATCACAACTATCGCAAAACAAAAGTCTCTCGTCATTCTCTGAAGTTCCACAAATACTGCAACATTTACATTCGATACATTGCCAACGATATTTCTTTACAGAGATTATCATATTTTCAGTGAATTGAAGACATGTTGGATGTCCACTGCGACCACAATCAGAACATGATACAAGTTCCTAAAATAAAAAATGAATTTAAGAACTATTCATTGATTTATCATAAAAACTAAGCTCACCTCTGGTTGACCAGTTTTCTTGTTTTCTCGCGCATCGCCAAGACAAAAGTCACAATAAGTCGATGGATTAGCTCGTGGTTTTTCAGTTTTTTCACTTGTATTCATTTTTGTTGGCGAACCAAGAAGTGCTGATGTTAATCCCATAGGATGTTGTGATGTAGAAGCCGACGACATCATTCCCATTCGATCATCTTCAAAATGTGTTTTTCCACGTTCAGTTGTTGGAATTTTATGTTCGGGAATTGCTTCATCAAAAGACATTGGATTTGGATTGTGTGTTGTTGTGACTTGAGGTGGATTTGCAGGTCGTCTACGAGAATATTCGTTGAATTTGTCGCTGCTATTTGAAGAGTTGTCCATTGGTGGAGGATTTACTTTTCTTCCTCGTCCACCACGGTTAGTGTTACGACCACGTCGATTGTCAGGATCTTTTTCCTTCCCCGATCTACGACTTGATGATCCTGGTGTTCGACCCGAAGACCTCTTTTTTCTTCCACTTCTCGGTTCCATAAAATCATCATCAGAATCTTCTTCTGGATCCTCGAAGTTGTCCATGTCATGAATATCCATTTCATCATAATACCATCCTGATTTTGAATTGTCTTCTTTGTGTGAATCTTTACTATGGCTATCTTCAGTCATGCCAGGTCGAAAAGAGGATTCTTCACTGGGAATAAAAGCGTCTCCGACAGGAGTTGAATGTTCAAAGTCATTCTCACGAAATCTTCCGAATGGACGGTAGTTGAAGGGATATGCGTTAGCATTTGTTAAGTACTGTCGTTTTGCTTTACGCCAACGTGCTGATGGATAAGTGTAGATTTGACCATCCCTAAGTCCTGGGATTCTTTGTGACTTCTTCATAAACAAATTCGAATGCTTTTGAGCAACTCCAGTTTGAGGATCAAGAAAAGGCATTCGTAATCGACGCTCCACACATAATCTTGTATTAAAATTTGCACTGAATTCTATTAGTTCACTATAGGATGAATCATTGAGCATTTTTTCTATTTTAGTGAGGTTCGGCATATTTATATTCAAGTCGACTGGTGTTGTGTTCACAATTGCCATCTTTGTTATGATTGGAATTCTATTTCAAAATGTTTTCTATAGACAGGAACAGGTGTTGTTTAAAAACTTATTCAATATTTTTTTCTTCCTTTATGATTAAGTCGATAAAACTTCGAATTTTACTATTAGATCTTTTAAAATTTTGAAGAAAACAAAGTTTGTATAGGGCATTAGACAATTGGACAAACTAATGTTAAGTGACATCTATGATCAAATATTTGAAAAGTAAATATCGGTTAACTTTAATATTGCCTCATGAGACTAAAATTTAATCTTCCAAAATTTGGAAAATCTGAAAATAAAAAATACCGAAACTTTTAAGCAAAATTAATATAAAAGTCAACATAATTTTCATCATATGAAGTTCAATCTTTATTGCAAAGGAAATACAGATCTTTCATCATTGTCAATAATAATTGTCATATTTTAAAAATCTAATTTTTCATTAATCCACATAGAATGAAATTACATTAACAACTTGGTCAATTTTAACTGGATGTTACAACAAAGTAAAGTAGATGTCTATGTGAAGAACATTGTCCTCTACCAACTAACGAAGGTACGTTGGGTCAATTCTTAAATCATTTAATTGCGCGTTTATTAAAATATGTTTATTTCATAAATAAGATATTCAATTCCTATGAAAACACTTTTATAATAAAATGCAAATAGATAATTGAACAAAATGTATCACAAAAGTTTTAAAATATTTTCCTCCGCGAAGAAATTGAAATAGAATTTGAATGAAAAATAGTGTCGATTGTTTTAAAACGTTCGTGTAGAATCGACGAAGTGTTCTTGTTCCTATATCTATGGAAATTATCAGCAAAACAGTGCAATTGAAGCTAATCAAGGGATGTGTATGAATCTCTGTGCATTGGTTTGCTTCTCATTCCCAACGATACAAAATTCGTTTCCGTTATCGAGTTACGGTTTGATCGTGACGGGATGTAATAATTGTTCAAATCAAAATTCGGGTCAGGAAGAAGCTCGTTAGCTACCTGACTCTTCCTGACGGAGAGCGAAGCTGGGATCGAATGTACCTTAATAAAATTTCAATATAATAATGTCGAATATTAATTCAAAATAAGTAATCAGTCTTACCCCGTACGATAATCGATGGGGCCAATATATTGTAGATAGTCGCTTCTTGAATGGCTCCATCTGAAATATTTTGAATGAAATTATTACAATTATCTACCATAATAATATAAATGGATTGACTGCTAGATTTTCTTGTCATGCAGCACTGTCGACAATCAATTTTTAAGTGCCGTAAATTTTGTGCACATTTACACAAAACTCTTGAAATAAATTGAGACAAAAGCTTAAGAATTTTAAGGGATTAATTGATAACTGATTCAAATGAAGTAAACAAACAATTAACTTTTAAGTTGCCTTGTAGTCATCATTCATTATTAAGAACTCATCATCATCATGATTATATCACATAACAAACAAAAAAAGAGAATCGAGAATTATATTTAATGAATGACTAGAATAAATTGATTTGATGCTCGATGATTTCGAAGTTATAAAATCTTGTAAACGATATTTAACATACGATTTATTTCAAGTTCAGAACATGACATTGTAATTTTGCATTAATGAAAAAATCGATTGAAAAACGTGTAAGTGTGAAAACGTGACTATTATAAAGAATTTGGAATAGGAAATAAAATATTTTTTTTATTAATCTAAAGTCATATTTACGGTAAAAGAAAGAAGTAAAGGAGATGCAATAAACTACAAAAAAGTAAAACTTTAGCATGTTTATGTTAGTTTCTTACTTACCACATTTGTGCTCGTAAATGTTTTACTTCGTTTCGAGAATTTTCAGTTTTATTTAGGGAAAAAGATTTTACACGATGAAGGAAAGTTCATTTTATTATATGTACAGAAAGATGAGAGTTTTCAACGAGTATTTATCTCGATGCTGTGTGAATTATGTCCCGTCGATGGCAAAAGTTGGGTCGGCTAAGCGATGTGAATTAAGTTTCAGATGTTTTGAAAATTTAAAGAAAGACAGGAAATGTAGAGAAACAAATAAAAAAAAATTTGATAGAGAAGAGATTGAAAATAGTCTACTTAATGATATTTAAATTTTATCTGTCTTTGATGAATTTAAGTACAAGCAGGAATTGAGATGATGAATGTTTGTGGTCGTCTATAAACAGCAAAGAATACATAAAGTAAAATATAAAAGGAAAAACTTGAAGGGAAATGTTTTGCTTGAGTCATCAGAAAACTGAATCCTTACCTCGCTCTCTCACTCACTTCTTTCTGTGGTTTTTTGACAATAAAGAATATTTTTTATAGGTAAACACAAAGAAAAGATAAACTGAATAATTTCAGATAGCAGATAGAGAGCAACAGTGTCGAAAAAGTAATGTTCAATTTCAAAAATCAATTGTGCAGATGCAGATAGCAATAAACAAAATTCTTTCTCTTCTTATTTCTTATCTTGAATTTGCATACAAAAAATTATCAGTCAAAAAGCTTTTAAAACATTCCAACAGAAGTTCAAATGATTAGCGTCAATTTGATACAAAATAATTATCGATTGACACAGTTATGTTTTGTAAACGTATGAATTTTTCATGATTGAAGTTTAAAACGTTTCATTCTTTCATGAAACTTTCATACTGATTACAATGAGTGAATGATTGCTTCTAATCACACGTTGAGGAAAATGTTTTTCGATGGAAGAAAAATATAAACTCACCTCGCATTGTGTCCTAACAAGATGATATTTCTGTAAAACAATTAAATAATGGATCGTATTTTGATGAAAAAACAAAACAGGCAGAAACTTTATCGATAAAAACAAAACAGTTAGAAACATATTTTACAAAAACAGTTAATTAGTTATTTTCCAAACAGAAATGCCTTTCGAGGGATAATATATCAAAACCATTTACACTTCTACCAGAATGATTCATCATTAATGATAATTTAAAAATAAATTGATAGAATTGCTGATAGAGTTTCTACAATAGCAAAAGAAGCTCATTTGAGCGCTGCGGGGAAGAATCGACTTAAAAAAAAGGATATTTGTGACACTATTGTCTATCGTTTATGGAGAAAAACTTTCCAACTAAAGTAATGATAAAGCTAAATGTGAGAACAAACTTTCAGATACTTTTGAGTTCTCATTGCACTTCACTAAAAGCTAGATAGAGAAAAATAGTTCTAAGTGCACTTATTAGTAATGAATTTGACACTTAAATTTTATGAAATTAAAAAGTTCGAGTTAGTGTCTGTTAACTTGTTGAAGTATTTCGAAATGGATACTTTTTTGATGAAGTAGATTAAAAAAGTTTTTTCGTGTTGAGAATAATATAAAATAATATTAATTGGTAGTTTCTCTATACATTTGCAATCTTGTGAATGTTTTTGCATTCATTATTTCAGAGAAAAACAATAAAATTTAATAGAAAATTGTGTGCATTTGAGTAGATGCATAAGAAGTAGATTTTTCTTTGATGAAACATTTGATTTCAGTGCAAAAAACAATCGCTCGGTTTAACTTTACGTGAATTGAGCGTTGTCTGCAGAAGGAATAAATAGTGTTAGGGAACTTTCAATTAAAGGTGTTTTTTGAAAGCTCTGAAGAAAAGAAAGCTCACTTGTATCCAAAAAAAGCTCTTGGAAATTTAAAAGTTTAATTAACTCATTAAATACGTGCAACAAGAAAACAATTCGTTCCTTTTTTGAATACAAGTGATTTTTAAAGGACTTCAACAGAACAATTAAGACTGTACAGTTTGTATAGTTTAAGCTTAAGTCTTACATCGTTCAACACTCAAAAACCAATCATCAAATTGTGAGTTTAATTGTTAAAACTTTTAAGTTTCTGTTTTGAGTTTAAATAAATTTTCATACCGAATTTTCGTGATAATCATTTTGGTAATCGCAACAACATTGATGACGCAATATATAGCGACCAGATTTTCTGTTTTAAATTTGATGGAAACGGATGTGTTTTAGGTCAGTTAATTAAGTTACGTTTAAAGGTTTTATTTTATTTTATGAGATTTAAAGAAAATTTCAAAATATGACGAAATGAAAAGTTTTCTTTTGATATCCAATGAAACAAGAAAATAATCTTGATTTCTTCACATTTAAATTACATAATACAGCGCGATTAAATCTACAATGTAGGCCAATTCAAATATCTAACAAGTTTAATAAAACAAAATTACAAAAACTTTAAAAATTATTCACTAAACTCTTTCTTTATCAGTGAATAAACAATTTTGTGCCCAAAGAACAGGAACTGAAAGAGATCATTGATTGTGAAAAGTTTTTGAAAAACCTTTGTGAATCAAAGCACAGGAAAAATGCAAAAAAAAATTCAAAATTATTTTCATTGAAATTTTCATTGAATAGCAAAGAAAAAGTTTAATAATAAAAAGTTTGGATTGTGTAGGTATGTAAAGATCAACCAACCTGAGAAGACGAGTGATGTAATCTGGCCAATTGTTTGGGAACATCACCAAGAAGAACCCAACTGATATCAGAATAATTCCACCTAACTTCATCCCAGCAAATTCCGCTCCTAAATTATTTTGAATTTCATAAAACAAATTATTGTTGAATTCAATGTTTATGCTTTGTTTTCTCACCATAAAGAAGTATATCAAGAGCTGTCAGAAAAAATATAACAAAAATTAATCACATTTTACACGACAAGCAACAAAGAGAATTGAAACTTACAAGCTGAAACTGGAACTGAAGTGATTAAACCAAGTGTCACAAACATGTTGTATGTCACAGCTCCGCTAAATTGTGTCAAGATGTGAAATATCAGAAGTAAAACGCTGGCAATAAGTAACACAGTTATTGTAAGCGTTTCCCATGGCATCACTTCCAATCCAAAAAAGCCCAGAATCAGACAAACTGGCCAAAGTAACGCTGCATTAATGATCCCAATAATTGTGAATGTAAATGCAATTCTTCCGACTGGTGGTGGATCGCCCATCATTTTACGAAACATCACACGAAAAACAGCATAACCAGCACCAGAAAGTGCTGCTAACACAACACTTGTTAATGTCTTAGAACCATTTATTCCATCCATGTATGCGAGAAGTGCAATTCCAGTGTCGACAAGAATCACCGCAACAATCTGAACAGAATTTTTCACTTTTCAAGTTCAAAGAATTTAATAATCAATATTTCAAATCTTACCCGGACGCCGACAAATTGTTCATGAAGAATCACCCACGACAAGAGATAAACTGAAGCGACATTCGTTGCAAACAATACAATAACGTCAGTCGATAAAAGCACATTAAGTGATTTCATATAGAGATACGTTGCAGCAACCCATAAAATGCAGAAGGTAACGCATCGATTAATAAAGCGTCCAACTGTAAATCCACGATCACGAAAACCTTGCAATATATCACCCAATGTCTCAGTATTGGCACCGCATCTTTTTGCCAGACCACGAAAAAGTAAATAAATTGGGAAAAATAAAATAACAAAGTTAGTGCAAAACCAACTGGCAAAGAAAGGTGCTCGAAATTGACGAGGATCGTGGAATTCTTCATTTGATGCTGACTTCACACGTGATGGTCTCGTTGTTGCATTTTCATTAAATAAATTGTCTTGTGATGATAATGAAACGGTTGATGACGACGAGTACGGCAATGCCAAGGATTTTAAAACGGATGTGGTTGTATGATGATGCATGCCACCCCCACCACGAAGTGAAGATGACAATGAATGATGAAGTTTGGTTGAAGGCAGGAAGAGAAACTTAAAACAATGAGTCGTTGTTACCCAGAAGAATGTGATTAAAATCGTTACACAAACGCCAAAGTACATCTGGAAGAAAGTTGTTTAATTTAATTAAAAAATGTTCTTTGTTTTAATGTTCTAAATGAACGAACCTTTTGTGCCAATTCTGAACAACATGAACCTTTACATCCTTTTGGCTTTTCTTGCTCGGTTGATGCTGATCGTGGAAGTTGATGTTGATGGATTTGTGTGAGTGAATTGGGCTGATGATGCGAATGAGAGTCGATGCTATTATCACCAATAATAATTCCAGTGAGACTCTCTGCACCATCTGGTTGACTACTTGTGACGGAATCTGAATGTGTAATCTGGTTGAGATTTGTTGTTGCGGCATGTTGCGATGGACCATTTGGAGATTCACCAGTTGTGATTACAACAGATGGTGTCCGGACTCTTTTTGGGTTGAAAATGGCAGCAATTTCATTATTATCACGATTAGCGTTCTCATCTTGAATGACAATCATTTTAGAAAGCTTTCAAAATTTTACTCTCAATTTTGTTGTTGTGCTGTGAACTTCTTTATCAATGCAACATGTTGAACCGTCTAGAAATAAATAAATGAATACATGAATTAATAATTGTAGTGAAAAATTATTTTATCGGCGACTAAAAGACATAGAAAATAAGAAATATTAAAATTGCAAGCTCAAGTAAGTTATTAAAGCGATTACAGGGCTGATGAGCGTTCATATTGATGCTGAAATAATTAACTTCAGTTTGAAAAGAAATATTTCCAAGATGGAAACAACTCAATCAAATTTCATGAAAGTTCTTTAATTGAATTGAAAATATTTCTTTGAAATGATTGACAGACTTATTATTTATTTAAATGTCGCAAAACTTTCTTTCTTCTTTCCTTCATCAACGTCAAAAGTTTCATGAAAGAAGAAAAATGGATCGCAAGTTAAAAAATTGTAGAGTTTTTCTGATTAAACTGTTCATCAAGTTAGTTAGCGTATAATTTCTATCGCATTAGTTGAACGATTTATTATGTAATTTAAAATAAGTATGGAAGTTCATAGAAAAATCATTGAAGTATCTTTTTAACAATTCAGTGACAAATGGATCGTTTGGGCATTTATTTCATTTGATCTGGTTTAATGGGAACTTCCAACAAGTAATTACATGTCACATAATGACTCAGATATTAAGTCTTATATTACATGTCTTTCCTTTTTATGGTAATGTTTAGCTGATAACAAAATTACTACTTTAAAACCATAAGGCTGTTTCAACCTTAAAAAATTTATGTGAAAACCATTCTAAGTTTTTTTTCAAGTTAATAAGTTGAAAACAAATTTTATTGATCTTGCTTTATAACAACGTCAATTGCTTTTTTAAATTTCGATTAGTTCAATTTGGTAGCAATAACAAGTCAATAAGGCGATTATAATCAATTCTGTACGGTAATAAAATATTTATGCTCGGTTCAGTGTTTGAAAATCTATGAAAACTGTGATGTGTGTGAAATACTTAAATATTCATTACGGCAGTTGTTGAAAATTTCATATCATTAAAATTCTCATTAGAAGAAGAATAATTAATGTTCAGACATTGCAGAAGCTTCATAAAATTGCTACTCGAATATATTTACTAGAAGAACATCAAATTGACGTGTTTCAATAGTAATTATTCTTGAGCACTGACCATGCAATGAGAACATTGCTGAGAGGAAAATTTATCACAAAATCGTGTGTCACATTTGAAGGCACATGATAATAGCAGCTTTAACAAGAAGTTTATTTAAAAGCTAAAAGCTTTTCTGAGAAAAACATTAATACGAGATCAAAGATCTTTTTTCATTCTCTATCGAGATTTATTTTCCGTCAGAAAAGAGTAATTGGAATATTTGACGAGAGAACTGAAATAACCACAAGACATAATTGTACATCTGAAAAATGATTTTATTCTTTCTGAATCATTCACTGTTCAACATTCAAAATGTTCGCAACTTGCTTCGTTATTATTTAAATAAAATCTTAAAGAGAAATTTCCAGAATCTGTATGTGGGTGGATTTAAGTATTCAGTGTTTTTCCAAAGAAGGAAAAGAATGAAAATATTTCTTCTCAGAAAATATTTACATATATGAGCATAAATTTTCTTATTCACAATATTTTCCCAGGGATAACAGTGAAGACAAAAATAACATAAAAAAGGAAAACTGTGGGAGAAATAAAAGCAGAAGCAAACAGTGAAGGCAGAAATAAAGATATTTATGAATTCATATCTGAAATTCTCAGTGACCGGAAAAAATTAAAGGACAAAGAACACAATGTCACTCCTTGTGCAATTTAAGGCTGGGATTGTGACATTATTGGTAAGGAAAAAATAAGATAAAGACTTGCTTAACAGAACAGTTTTCACATTTTATTGTTTACTCTACCGAGTTCAGTGGTATGTGAACAAGCAAAAACTTTGCACAAAAATTATTAACAGACGATAAGCCCAACAACGCAATTCCCCAAATATTTATGCGGGTGAAACATGTTGTTCCAATATTTTTCTCATTCCTTTTACTGGTGTTTTAGATACATAAGTACATAATTTGTGGAACGATTATTAATGATCTGAACTTGTGTTTCAAAATTGTATTCAGAGAGAAAAGTGCTGGAATGGAAAAAAGCCTAAAGATGTTAATAAAGTTTCTTTTTTATTGATATTAACCAAGCCGTTAGACCTCCCTCTGTTTTACTGATGAACCGTGACTTTGACTTGTTAAAGGTTCATTATTTGAATATACAGTTCGTTCAGTTAATACTTAAAGCTGTAGATCGTCTTCATATTCTCCAACTTAATCGGGATAATTATAGCAAACTAGCCAATTAGCCGTAATTCTGCTTGCGCGTGCTTCGGTCAGTAAAGTTTCTTCTGCTTACATCACACGAGTACTTATGAAACGACAAGGCCACTCCAAAATCCGTTTAATAATTAGCTTGATAACAAATTCGAAATTTACGCCAAAAGCATTTTGACTTATTAATATGATTGTTAATGAAATCATGTTCGGAATAAGAAAAATTGACATCCTACGATGTGGAATATCACATCACGTTCCATGGTATTGTCATTAAATGATTTAATAGACGTTTAAAGCGGATGTAAGATGATGTCAAAAGCTTTCTCGCACATACGGCGCATCGTTAAGGATATTTAGGCGCTGTTGAAATTGAAGACATAATCAGAGATTATGTTGTGATTTTAACAAAGTTTCATTGCTACTTTGTTGCTTTTAGATTTTGTTTCTTAATAGTTTTAAGTTCATATTTTTCTCTCATTCTTCACACTTGAAATTTTTTTAAGATTTGAAACAATGTTTTAACTCTTGACCTTTTTTTTTTGTTACTCAATTTCGTAGATAATTAAACTCATCCATTCAACAACGATAGCGCAACAATCAGATTTTGATGGAGTCGACACGATAAGGTAAATAAATTAAATCAATCTTCATTTATATTTAACCATCGACAAAAATAATGATGGGAATAATCCAGCAAGAGTAGTTAGTGTGCCAACACTCCCTGCTTCACGAACTTGTGGTTAAAATTAATTACGGGACTGCATCCGTTAAAAACACCCACAAAAAGAAACAAACAGAAAAGTGTAATTAGTCATCGATTTTCGTTTCTCTTTATTTTATTTTTGGATATTTGAATGGACAAATTGTTGGTAGAGATATTTTGAAATGGTTTTTTTTTCTTTCAGTAAAACAGATGATTACAATCCAATGTTTGTAATGTTTCGACGACCTTTCAGAAATGAATTTTCCAACCAGTTACAAGGTCAATTTCCATCACCGTTCCAATCACAATATTCTGGCCATGTCAATAGTCAGCCTAGAATATTCAACAAGATTTTCAAGCCTTTGATATCTCCCAACCGAAATCTTCCACTTCAACAAACATTCCAAACTTTCTCTCCAGTAAATTTTGTAAAGGAGAATGAAGATTCAAACAATCAAAAGAATGTTGACAATGACAAGATTCTCAGGTCAACTAACGATGAATCTTTTGATGATGACACGATTATTGGAACATCAAAACAAATTCCCAGAAGTAGACTTGATCCTATGTCAAATCATGTAATCTTCGAACATTCAAACCAAAATGTCGAAACTGATGAAATTATCAATCCCACCGACATCCCACCTCAGGATATTTATATGACAGAAGAAAGTAACGAAAACAAACAGACAAGTAGCAACATTGAAGATGAAACAATGGAAACTTCTGACACGCATAATTTATTTTATAACTACATCAACAACCTTCTTCCATACCGTCATGAGGCGCCATTCAACTATTTTCGTAAGTTTTTCTGCCAAACTTTTCAACGAACTTTCTTTTTAATTTCTTTTCTTTCACAGCTGCTTCAAATTATTATGGCAATCATGAACTTCCACCTTTGAATTTTAACTTCCGTCCTACAGAAATTCATCGAGGTCATCCCAATATGATGTTGCATGGGTGGAAATTTCATCCATTTCATCATCAGCAAATTCCTTTGATGAATAATTTATTCCCTATCAGAACTTTCCCCCTCCCACCTAGAAACTATCCTTGGCCATCAATGTACAAAGCGAACGGTTATTTACCATTAAATGGATTGGCAGATAGAAGTGGGATTGAAGAGCATGAAAATAGAAGACATGAATTTATCCCTGAAGAAGAAAACTTAAATCCATTCGATGGTCACCGACATGATTTTCATGCATTGAATGAACATGAAAACTTTCACAATTTTGACAACTTTCCCCATAATATGTATTTTCCTGATTATAAAACGTATCCAAGTGTCATCACGATTGAAGCATCCAATCCAAAGGAACCGAAGGAAACTTCAAATGAAAAAGAATCACCTGATAAAAAGGAAGAAAATCAAGAAGATGAAGTCAAGAATGAAAACGATGTTCAAGATAAGGTAAATGTCGAGATTCTCGACAACTCTTTAAATAATGAAGAAGACCAACCAACGACATTAAAAATTTCTGATATGCCAACAATGAATCAAGTGACGGAAAATGATATGCAAACGACAACTGAATATTCCTTGGAGACTTCTACAAGGAAATTAAATGAAATCGATGACACGACAACTCAAAGTGAATATGACACCACATTACAATCAACTGAAAGAACTGAAACGACAACTTATTTAAGTGACGACACAACTGTCATACCCACAACAGAAGCTCTTGAAAACGAATAATTCATATAAAAAGTTAAATTTAACCTTACAAAGTATTTACCTTTCACGCTTTATAAAATCCAGAAACCTCAATAAAAAATTGTTCATATTGCATAAAATATTTCGTGATCTTGATATTTATTTTTAAAATGTTTCTCTGTCACGTGAAGAACGAGGGTTGACGAAACATGATGGACAGTCAATAATTGTGAATATTTTTCCATGTCTAGAACATTTTAAAATGTTTTCCCTTATCATTATTTATGAATATTTTAGGTGAAAGAAATCACAACAATTCCTTCATCATTTTTTTAACTATTCATTCACAAAATGAAATATTGATTAATATTTAGGGAAAACATAATAATGTTTGAACAACACGTAAGAAGTGTGTGCTACAACATAGAATTTGCTTAAGCTTACATTAATGTTGAAGGTTTTTCCACCCTAAGGCTAAGGTTTTCACCGACAACATAGAACAACCACTTGTAAACTTTCAACTTCATAATGTTTGTGATTTTGTGAAAGACTGACGCTAATTTGAAGAAGAATGAAACAACTGGAAGTGACATGCGATGCGCGAGAAACGAAATAAATATTCCGAATACTTTTGCCGCTGTTTATTACTGACGTCAGTTATGGCTGAATTTTAAAAGATTACAGAGCAATTTTATATGAATTTTATTTTTCCTCTACTCCGAATATCACATTTTTCAACGCCTCTTGGTTACTCAAATCTAACCTTTAAGTTTCTTAAATAATTATAAGCTTTCCCCTTAACATCGTAACCGTGATATGAAATAATCAAAACTTTGTTTTACAGTCATCAACTTTTTTCAATTGAACTTCAATGAACTTTCATGGTCGTAATGACTTTTCAAGTTTTTATTACTACAATGTCTACGTAACTAGCACTTCATAAAGTTTTCTTTTCCGAAGCAACACGTTTAACTTAACATCCATTCAGGAAATTCATAACATTGAATGAATCATAAAAGTGCAATTTTTCCCATTACTATTTGGAGCAATGATTTATAAAAAGCTTATTCAAATGTGAAAATTTTTATTCCATATTTAAAAAAAGGAAACAATAAAATTGGCATAAAATATTTACTGGGTGTGGGTGGAATAGCATTGCATCAAAATATAAAAGTTCAATTCATATGCATTGATATGTTATGTGGGTCAGAATGAATAATGAAGGAGAATTCATTAATGTTCAATCGAATTAGATTTTTAAATTACTTTAGATGTTTGAAAGAGAATAAATATTTAAATTCTTTTATCTCAGCATAAAATTTTCATCTGCTCCCTCTAGAAAAAGTCCTTGAGCTGAAACCTCCATTTGTAAGTTCATAATTTTGGTCTCAGAATAAAAAGATAAGAAACATTCACCCAAGGCCTCAGGGATCTTAAAATGAAATATGTTTGAAACATTAAACCGTAAACTCAACATAAAAATATACTGGAAAAGTTAGAAACGGTTTTAAAAATCTCACGTAATGATTTTAAATCATTTCAGATTGAATTTCACGATCTGTCATCAAATTTCACGTTAATTTAAGTTTTAGAACTTTCAGATGATTATTTAAACTTGGTTCTTGATAATTCATTGAATTATGTCGTGAGCAAGACTTATAATCACGTGTAGGTATGTGTTTGCATATCACTAATACGAAATTAATGATCTTTACTCCTTTCGTGCACATAATTTCACAATTTATTAAACCACAAATGTTCCATATTAAAATGCTTGCGTCTCTCCGTAAAGCAATCAAAATGAATTGTTAATAAATTATTCATAAAATTACAACGATGATATCCAAGAATAAAAACGAAAAAGGTTTCAAAAAAAAGCTTTGAAGCTTTCAAATCTTGGCAAAAGCAAATAAAAACGAAATGGTTATGACTTTCATTGAGGTTTAGAGGGAAAAATTTCTCTTTCTCTAAGTTCAGCATCATTTTAAAGTAGAAAATTCATGAATATTTTCACTTAAAGATTTTCATGAATTTAATAAAAGAGAAAGAAAAGTTTAAAAATCAAGTTTGAGCATTTCATGATCTACAGAAATGTCTGAGATTTTAATGTATTACAATAGACGGTAACAAAGATCCTCTCATCGTATTATTAGCCCATTAGCTTATGAAGTGCCGACTACAATTTGAATTTGAATTTTGAACAATTTTATTTCATTTGAGTACATATAAGAGCTGGGCTCTTTTTCGACAGAAGTTTTCTTATGTACATTAATAATAAATGGAGTTTACTTCAATAAAGAGAGATTTCTATTCTAAAATAAATGAAATAATCTATTCCTATAACTATCTGAAAGTAGTAAAAAACATTGATATGGTCTCCAACATAAATCTGCAAAGGAAAATGATGAGGGATAAGGGGGGATCAATTTAAATTGATCATAAAGTAATAATGTCTTTCAATTTTTTGTAGACATAAATGCCACACAAAGATGGCTCAAAGAGAGTCTTTTGCATGGAATTTTTACGAATAATGCAACAACTCTTCGAAGAAGTTCATTTAGAAGTAGTCNCCTATAACTATCTGAAAGTAGTAAAAAACATTGATATGGTCTCCAACATAAATCTGCAAAGGAAAATGATGAGGGATAAGGGGAAATGAGAGAGTTTAGTGTTACTAATTTTGTGTTTTCTGCGACGCGAAATAAGTCAGACAGCTTTGTTTGAAAGCTGACATCGAGTCTAGCATTCTCAAGCCAACAGGCAAAGAGTTCCAGAGGCGAGGGCCGCGAACGAAAAAGCCATTCATATGTTGCTTTGAACATTTAGATGGCGGAAGATTTAATAGTCTGTTTCTCGGGATTCTTGGTAAATGTAGCTTCTCGAAAATGTAAGTTGGAGTTTTCTTATTTAATAAATTGAAAATGAAAACACAGACTCTAAAATTCATAAATTCTTCGAGATTACATCCTAATACTTTCTTTGCATGTATAGATATTCTATCAAATTTTTTTAAACCAAAAATGTAACGTATGCAAGAGTTAAAACAAACGTTTAGTTTATGCCAATTTGAACGTGAACATCCCATATAAATTTCAGAGCAGTACATAAATTTGGGGACAATTAAAGATTTTATCAAATGCATTTTCAAATTCAGATGTATGAGTGACTGAGTTTGTCTCAACATTGATAATGTTCCATAAATTTCACCGCATAATTTAGAAATTTGTCCATCCCACGCTAATGACGAGTCAATTATTAATCCAAGTATTTTTAAATTATCCGTATAATTTAGTATTTCATTGTTTATCGTAATAGGAGGTAAGTTTATATTAAGTTTCTTTTTTGAAAAAAGAATTACTTGAGACTTGCTTGGATTTATTTGTACCATGTTTTTGATTGCCCATTCGTTCACTAGTTTGAGCGAGTCATTCATTGTTTTAGCACAAGTAATGACGTCATTCTCTGGTGCAGAACAATATATTTGTGCATCATCAGCATACAAATTTGAATCTCATCATCAAAATGAAAGGAGAGAATTTTCATCGTTTTTCACGTGATAAAGAGTCGTTATTCAGATATAAAATTGCTTTAAAAAGAAACCTAAAGAAGACGAACGCAAGTTTACGGCTTGTAATAAAAATTAGTTATTGTGCTAAAAACCAGCTCTTGAAAAGAAATTTTAATTCTTCACACCCACTCGTTTGCCCACTCCTTATCCTTAGCATTCTACTTTGATTTCTTTTGTTTTAATCAAAACTATCTGAAATAGATATATTGAAATTATGTAGATCATAAAAAAGAAATTAACATAATTTAATTAAATTTTTGCTAGAGTTTGTAAAATTTAATCATAAGTCGTAAGCCGTTATGTGCACAATTTAATTCATGCATGTCTGGTATGTTTACTTAATTTAATTTCAGTTTGAATTTAAATTTGTTGAACAACTTTTTCTAGAACCTCTTCAGTTTATCTAAATATTGTTTTCACTTCTATTAGATGTTAACATTTTAAAACAACTGTTTGTGAAATATTGATTGTGTTTGGACCCAAAAGCATAATTTATCTTGATTAATCTTAATTCCCTTCAAAAAGTTACTTTGTGTACTCGAAAAGTTTAAAGTCTCGTTATTCAATGGCGTGGCAAATGTGTCATCGTAAACCTTTATTCTTCTTTTTGTTACTTTCTAGCTATCTTTAGTCACGCGATGGTTTACATAGTGACTTGAAATAAAAGAACTCGATATAGAAAGAGAGAAGGAAAAACATGTCCAGTGATGATATCAGTTCACGATCGGAAGGGATATATTTAAGCTTCAACCTACACATAAAGCCAGCATAATGTGTGATGGAAATTTGTGTTAATTCCATCGCGAGAAATGCAAATAATATGTATGCTTAGATTAGAATATTTTAACTTTAAATCTTTTCGAAAACAAAATTCAAACAAAGCATTTGCCAACAAAAATATTCAAAATTAAAACAGTTTTCTACCCATTAACAATCAAGCTGATGCAAAAGTGTTTGGTTAGATATTCATATCAATTTATCTAGTTGTGTAAGCTTCGTGGCAAACATAATAAAACATGAAGCGCTAATCAATATTCAGATAATCTCGATTAGGTCTGCAGTGGGTGGTTGAGAAAAAGAAAAAAGATTAAAAGTGCTTTTTATACTTCAATCCTTAAGCTGGTGAAAATCGATAGCAACTGGAGCGACATTGCTTTCTTCCTCGACAAATGACGCGATTTTTCCTTAACAAAAATCAAATCTCAGAAGTTTTCTTCTTTACAAATGAGTTCCGCTAGTGGCGGCTATAGGCCCTCAATTAACGTCATTATGTCAAGGACATTATTTTTATTTTCTTCATGGTACGATTCTGATAAAGATTAACAACTTTCTTGACTGTTACAAAGGACGACGACAAGTCAATGTCAAAGTTAAATAAAATTGAAATTGCTTATGTAGGAAAAAGTTTCACCACTTTCGTTTGACTATGAGTAGATGTTGTTATAGAATTCAGAATGCCTGAAGAAAATTGTAGGGTGGGGAAGGATTTATAAAGTGGCAAAACTATTCAAAGCTCTCCTAGATATTGAGCAGATTTCTTAAATATTTTATGAAGCCTCGTAAGCTCAATCACACTTTCAAAAGCTTATGAAAATGTGCAATGGGGATCTATAAATATTTCATCGATAAATGTAGAAGGAATATAAAAATATTCAACTTTATTTGAGCTTCTATTTCTTGAAGTTCCATAAACGAATAAAGAGATACATTGAAAGAGATGCTCGATTTATTTTATTTTTATTCTTGCTAAGAAAGTAAACGATATGATGTGACATTAGTCGCAGATAGAAAATGCTTTTTGTTAAAGTAGACGCCAAAAGTTCCATAAATTTTATTTGCATCGAAAGGAACGAACTGCACAAATGCATTTTAGTGACATTTCAAATTTTTGTTCTCTTGTTAATGTTGAAAACTTTTAAATCCACTTAAAGTTGATGAATAATAATTTCTCTTGATAAATTATCACGTAATAAATAATTTAAATCTTTATTTTGTACTGTAAAAAATTTGATGTACCTGATTAAAAATTAAATAATTTATCTTTTCCTTTTTCGCACAATTTAATCAGCCAAAAAGGAAAAAACAAAATAATAAAAAACTTTTCGGGTAATCGAGAAAATCTGTTTAATCAAGAAAGTTTTTTAAGAGTAGGAACAAGTTTCACTGAAATATGTTTTGACTGAGAGACTTTGCTCGTTAGTGTAGAACATAAAAGGAAAAACATTTAAGGAAAAATCGATTCATACACTTAATGTACACATTATAAGTACAAAGTACACACTGTCGAATGTAACTTTACTGGCATCACATTGTCATTTCACCACAAATAAAATCAATACAAAAACTTAAGAAGCTTAAAACATATTCAAGGCAATTGTTCTAAATTGATTAGATTTCTAAACTTGAAAATTACTCGTGTGCGTTCTAATTTAAAATAAAATCAAATAATTGTAATGTTAACTAAGTGAATATTTTAATGAAAGAAGTAAAAATGTCTACAAAGAAAATTTATTGAAACATCTTTCAAAATAAAGCCATTGTTGTATCCACAAATTGCTGATAGAATAATATTTGATCGAGATAAACGTCGCTTTATATCATAATTTATTACTATCATCGTTTGAATGAACTTTTGATGTTGTTATGAGAAAATTGTTTTATGGAAACTATTTATACGCCTACACTATACTAGAGAGATGATAAAATCTTGATTGCCTTACGATTGACATTGAATATTATTCACGCTATGAATAAAAAGGACTTGGATATGCTAACATTCAAAATAAATTTATGAAGGTACAACATTAACTCACCTTCTTATGATTATTTGCACACTATTGTAACGACGATGGTAACAACAAAAACCTTTCTTTCTTGTTACCCAAACTTTCACTGGCGTCGTTATCAAATTAACCCCCGAAATTAAATCAGATAAAATCCTTTTCAAAAATTCATGACGCTTCTATGAAAAGCTTCATTCTCGTACACACATTTCTCAGCCTTTTTTTTAGCTTCGCTTACATACGCACAAGCTAATAGATTAATTGAGAAATATTTTGGAAGCCTTCAGATAAATATTTTCTTTCTTCTTCTGCTTCGTTCACTCCCAATTTTTATGAAAGTCCTTCATTCTATCACACACTTTGTTCTCTTCATTGTCGCGCATTATACTTAACATTCGAAATCTCACAATTTTCACATGAAAATTTCTTAAAATTTTAATCCAATTAACACTAAATATTATCGCGTAACTTTTTTTCCTTTCTTCACGTCCGCTCAATTGAAAAACTCGATGGAAAATGAGAAAATTTTCATGAAAACTTTGAATGGATGAAAAAGCGCAAGACAAAATTCATCGTATGAGAAGTGATAAAGTAAATGTCAACAATTCTCTTTGCGCAAGGTCAGTGTCGTCTGTTGACACGTGCGTTTCATATCTGAAGATTAAATTTTCTTAAAGACTTTTCAATTTATTTTTATATAAAGAAAGATTTTTATTTTATTTCATAAACACAAATCAAGAATTTACCAATCAGTTAATTCTTCAACAATGTCGCCATTATCTAAAAATGTTTCATTATCATCGTTATCTTCTGAGCTGGCATCTGATTCTTCCTTCTGATTTCCTTTTCCATTCTTAATGAATTTTCCATTCTTTTTATTGCTTTGTTTCTCAACAACTTCGCCTTCAGACTCATCGTTCTCAAAACTGTTATCAGTATCAACATCAAAATCAATTGCACCGTCATCTTCATCGTCAGATGGAAACAGTTCTACTTGACCATCAGCTCTTATTTTCTTTGTTTTCGGAGCTTTAACTTTTGGTAAGTTATCGTAATCATGTTCTTCATCTTCATCGCTGTCTTCATCTTTATCGATTTTCTGTCGTTTCAATTTCTTGACATTTGTCTGTTGCCACTGATTGTAGAAAACTTCCAAAGGAGTTTGACCAGTTCTCAAATTAATCTCCCAACTTTTAATAAAATTTGCGTCGTTCAATGAGAAATTTATTTTATTTCGTCGACTGTCAACATAGTTCGACTGCTCAACAATTTTCTCAGTCAACTGCTTAAGTTTCTTCGCATAGTTGGGATTTTTCGTGTTTTTAATGAAATGATTTAAAGCCATGACATGAGGCACGACAAGATCAGGAAATGCGATGCTCGTACATTCATTAATTAAACATTCCAATGTCATTCCATAAACTTGCTCAACAACTTCATCTCGGAATGAATTCTCATCCAAATGTCCTTTCTGAATGCGAAGTATGCAAGTGAATGAAATTGGTTTCATTGCAAGCTTCTTATGTTGTTGATTAAATGTGTTTGAATTCAAAACCTCAAGGATGTAAGGAAGAATCGGAATGAAAACTTTCGTAGCTCTTGAGATGTCAATTAAAATCTTTACACAATGAAATCGTAATGGAAAATAATTTGCACTTGATTTCAATTTTATAACTCCATTGATGATGCTCACAAGAGGATAAATTAATGCTTGGAGTTTTGAATTTTGATCAGCTTTGTTTCCTGACGAGTTTATTGAAACCGTCGACAACACATCGCCCCACAATTTCAAGCTGTTGACATATTGCCAATTGTAGATTTGTTGAAAGTGTTCTTTCTTCTGTAGCAATATCGCATTTCTCAAATGAATTGCAAGTTGACGAATGAAGAGAAAGACATGATGATAAGCAATATTTAAGTCGAGGAGAAACAATTCAGTGAGGGAACGACGCATAAAGTTGATGGCTGGAAGTGTGTTGGGACTAACAAACTTGCTGTTTCTTACATATTCCATGTACATTGTCTTTAAAACTTGATTGAGAAAAAGTTCTTGTTGGTTTCTTGTTATCTTCAGGATACACAAAAATGCTACAATTCTGATTGATTCTTCTCCTGTTGACCAAATTTGGATGAGCCGTTTCAACACAGGTTTTGTGATGCTTGTGAAAGCTGCTAAAACACTCGCAATTTGATGTAAATGTTTCAGAATAACTGAGAGAATATTCGAGCTTGACACTGTTTCAAGAAGCTTTGTCATATCTAAGAGATAAGATCGAAGGACATTTTTAACTTTACTGAAACGTTTGCATTTCTGAATTTCTCTGAAATTCGCCTTTCCCGAGAGTTTCAAATATTGTCGAATCGCTTTCTCGAGATAAAGAACACAGAGTTGAATGATTCCATTGAAGATAGCAGCGCCTTCGACAATAAATTCTCCTCTCATGTTAGGATCACCTGATATCGAAATTAATGCTGAATTAAATGCTTTTATGACATTTCGAATCACGTCGATTGGAACTTCATCAGATTGTAAACTTTCTTGCCATTCTTTTAGCAATTTGAGGGTCACCGCATTGTCTTTGCGCATTGGAGCATCTTCATCTTCATAGTCGCTTTCATCACTAGCTACTTCTAATGCATCAACGGCTTTGTGAACTTGATTTTCCTCGTCTTCCGATGCTTCATTTCCATTTTCAGCAGCTTCAACTTCTTCACCAAAGTTCAACAGCTTTTTATCGTTTTCTTGAAGAAACTTGAAGAGTTCTGGATCGGTTTTTTTCAACTTTCCAAGTGCTTTCTTGTGTGATTTTTCATCAACTTCCTCTTCCTGTTCAGATTCTGAAGAAGGATTGTCTTGAACTTCTTGTTTCTGGATCTTCTTTTTAACGAGTTTATCTTTTTTCTTTTTTAATTTGACATTCTCTGATTTGATCTCTTTCGTTTTTTTATTTTTCTTTGATACTTTTTTCTTGATACTTTCATCAATATCGCTGGCTCCTGAAGTATTTTCAATAACATCAATATTTTCGAAGAAATCGTCCACACTCATTTTCTCGAGCTTTTCGATTTTCTTTGTTTTTACTTTCATCTAAAAGAACTTGTAATTATACATCGATTCAATAATAAAAGGGATTATTTATTTACCTTGATTAATATCAAATTAAAAATCAATTAACGAAACTTCAATTTATTTTTTGGAAAACTCACATGTGAATCTTCGTTTTGGGAAGCAGTTTCAGGTGGAGAGTGTTTTGTATTTCTACAATAGCAAAGACACATTTTATCCAAATATGATAGAAAATTCATTCCCCTTGTTAAATTATATTTTATCATCATAAAGTATTTGATCATAAGAAAAATTAAATCGCTTTTTCAAGATCATATTGCGTTAAAAAACATTCTTTCATATTGATTTTTTCTTGTTTATCAATAGATCTATTCAATTAATCATGGGTCTTACAATTTCGAGTGTTTTGAATCGACTTTTTGGCAAAAAACAAATGCGTATTTTAATGGTTGGATTGGATGCTGCTGGCAAAACCACTATCTTGTACAAATTGAAACTTGGAGAAATAGTTACTACCATTCCAACAATCGGATTCAATGTCGAAACAGTAGAATATAAAAATATTTGTTTCACAGTATGGGATGTTGGTGGTCAGGATAAAATTCGTCCTTTGTGGCGTCACTACTTCCAAAACACCCAAGGGCTTATTTTCGTTGTCGATTCCAATGATCGAGAACGTATTACGGAAGCAGAACGAGAATTGCATAACATGTTAAGTGAGGATGAATTACGTGACGCAGTGGTTCTAGTTTTTGCCAACAAACAGGATTTACCAAATGCCATGAGTGCAGCTGACTTGACGGATAAGTTACGGCTTAATTCTTTACATAACCGAAGTTGGTTCATCCAGGCAACATGTGCAACTCAAGGAAACGGCTTATATGAAGGACTTGATTGGCTTTCTAAGGAATTAGAAAAATTATAAAATGTATGAGTTGGCTAAGATCTCTAATAAAGTCATTACGTTTCCTTAACGGATTTCATTTTCAAATTTTGAATTTATTCCCCTTGCTTTCTATAAAAATCTACAAAATTGAAGACAAAAATCTCCAAACTTCAGCAACACATAAATATTGAGAATTGTTCATTTACTTATTTATTTGATATTGATCAATAAATGAAAAACTATATAGTTTAAAAGATAAAATCGTATCATTAAGAACATAAACTTCAAAGTGATTTGTTTACAATATTTATTTGTGTGAATAGAATGTAGAAAAATTGACAAACATTTTAAAAATATTTTTGAAACGATATAGAAAAATTGAAGCCGCTGTGCTGAAGTTCAAACAACCTACCTAAGTAGCGTTAGTTTGTAAAATTTTCAAAATTTAAAAAGTGATATTTCTTATCAAAAACTGAACAGAAACTAAAAAATTAATGGATAATGGATAGTGCTGCGAGTTTTGATGACGAAAATAGTGATAGTGATTACATGAATGTTTCTTCGGAAGAAATTTCTGAAGAAGAGTTTGAAGAAAATGTTACAAGCAAACGAAAAACTTTTCAGCTTAATAAGCGTAAAGATGGTCCTGAAATCATCAAAAACCCATTATCCAAGCTTAATATAAAGCCAACTAATAATCAAACCCCAGTAAAAATGAGTTTGAAGCGAAAATTTTCAGTTCAAAACTCAACAACAACAAAAAAGGAAAACCATGATGGATCATCGTCGTCCATTAGCTTTCAACTCATTTCGGCTTCACAGTCGCCTGAAGAAATATCATCAATTTCTATTCCTACCACTCCCACAATGGAATTGGACGCATCATTGTTAATGCCAGCACCGGGAGGAAGTGATGATCCTCCATATTTTCCTGAAAAATATGGAAAACTTTGTGCCTTCTGTAATTTGGGTGAACGGAGTCAGTTAGGTCAAGGTGAAATGTTGCGTTTGGAATTGACTGAAGAGGAACTGAATTCATTACCAGTGTCTTCATCGGAACAACAATTATCAACATCAACAACATCACTTGATGATGACTCAAAGAATGGAAACGACGATAATAAAATAATGAAAAGCAATTCTAGTAGTGGCTTGCTGCAACAATTAAATCGACGACAAAAAGGATTAAATAAATGTAAAAATCCTATTCAAACAAGTGAATATGTTGATGAATTGGAGAAAATCGGTCATCAAGACACGATCGATCTCAATCAATTGACTGAAAATGGTTTCTTCTATGTTCATCGTTTATGTGCAATGTGGTCGTTTGGTGTTGAACGTGACCTTCTTAATGATACGCTCAGCAATGTTTCAGCGGTTTTACAACAAAGTCTCATCAGAAAATGTTCATATTGTGGACATTTCGGTGCATCAGCAACATGCAAAATTACATGTCAAAAGGCTTTTCATTTTCCATGCATTGCTGCTTCCGGAAGCTTTCAAGTGTTTCAATCGTGTACTGTTTTCTGTAGTGATCACTTGGGACAAGTTCCGCTCTTATGTAAGTATTCGTAAAATACTTATTAAAAAATAAGAATGTCGATGGTAAATTAATTTTCAAAACAATTAGGGTGATCAGCCAAAAAGGAATCATTTCGAAGTCGTAGCCAATTACGCACCACTAGTTTCAAACTTAATTTCTCGGCTATTCTAATTCTTTATAGCTTAAAAGTTTGAAACTAGTGGAATTTTATTGGCTACATTTTCGAGGTACTTCCTTATTGGCTAACTACCCTAATTGAAAACATTTCAAAAAAATATAATTTGTCATTAAATTTTTCAAACTTTAAACAATCCATCGACATCACTATATAAAACTAAATCAAGATAAAACAATAATTTCATAAATTCTTTTCATTAAATCTGTTTAGGCTCTGATGCTGAAATAAGTTGTCGAACATGCTGTGGTTTGGGTGATGTTAGTAACTTAATGATGTGTACAGGATGTGGCGATCATTATCATGGCACATGTATTGGATTGCCACAACAACCAGGTGTAAGAGCTGGTTGGCAATGTGCAAAGTGTCGTTTGTGTCAAATCTGTCGCATTCCTGACAACACAGAAGGTCGTTCATTGGCATGTGAAAATTGTGATAAGCTTTATCACGCTCAATGTCTCCGTCCCATCATGGCAACAATTCCAAAATACGGTTGGAAATGTCGATGCTGTCGTGTTTGTTCTGACTGTGGTGCACGAACGCCAGGTGCTGGTGCATCGTCTCGATGGCACAATCACTACACAGTTTGTGATTCGTGTTATCAACAGCGTAACAAAGGATATTCATGCCCCATTTGCCGCAAAGCTTATCGTGCTGCTGCTTACAGGGAAATGGTTAAATGTTTTATTTGCCAGAAGTTTGTTCACAGCACTTGCGATGTTGAAGCAGATTTATCAGCTTATGAGAAGCGAAAGGAAATGAATCCAGATTATGAGTATACGTGTAACTTGTGTAAAGTTGCTGCACAAAACGATCGTATTGCCGCTGCAATGCGAAGAAATAATGGCGATGATGAAAGCTTTTCAACATCACAAGAAAGTATAAATGCGATTGAAGATGTTGACATGGAAACGTTGGATATGCGTGGAAAGGATGATTATGGATTGGGAAAAGGAAAACCGTTTGTTGCAAGTAAGATAGCGAAGAAACGTTTGGGATTGACAGTTGCTGGATTGAATGCCCAAAGACCAAAAGGTGTCGGTAAGCTTGGATTCCAAAAGCGAGCTCGAACCTTCGAACTGGGAAGAAAACGCGGACCAAAGTCAAAAATGCGTGGAATATTTGGCGTTCCTGGTCTTGGATTGCAAAGACCAATTGCTGACTCAACTAAACAAATTGACGATGAACCAGGAACAGAAAATCGTTTAGTTTTATGTTCGGTTAAAGATCGTTTTGTGTTATCGCAAGATGTTTGTGTAATGTGTGGAGCAATCGGAACTGATCAAGAAGGTTGTTTGATCTCATGCGCACAATGTGGACAATGTTATCATCCATATTGTGTATCGGTGAAAGTTACGAAAGAAATCTTGCAGAAAGGCTGGCGTTGTTTAGACTGCACTGTTTGTGAAGGTTGTGGGGAGAAGAATGACGAAGCTCGTTTAATTCTTTGCGATGATTGTGACATTTCTTATCATATTTATTGTATGGAGCCACCACTTGACACAGTCCCTCAAGGCACATGGAAATGCAAATGGTGTGCGATTTGCTACAAATGTGGATCGAACGATCCGGGTCCGAACTGTTCATGGCAGAATAGTTACACGGAATGTGGACCGTGTTCAAGTCAAGTTCATTGCCCAGCATGTGTTGAAGTGTACAACGACGGCGAGCTGATAATTCAATGCACGACATGTGATCGATGGCTGCATTGTCTTTGTGACTCGATTAAGACTGAGGCTGATGCAGAAAAGTGTGCTGAAGATGGTTACATTTGCTTGTTCTGTCGACCGAAAGATATTCCACCACCACATCTACAAATGAAGAAGAAACTTCCACTTTTCTCATCGCAATCATCACAATCGACTAAAGATGATTCATTTGATGATTCTGATAATGTTTCGGCATTCGCATTAGAAGGAAGTCATTACATTGATGGCGTTTATTTAAGCGAACGTGGCTTGCAACAAATCAAATCACTTCAAACTGAACCAAAACGTGCAAAACGAAAACCAAAAGTCAACATTGAGAATGAAAAAGACGCGGGAATTCTTGCTGCAATTGAATCTGTTGTAGCTGGAAGTGCTGATAACTCGATGGAAGAAATTAAAGTTGAATTGATGGATCCGAATGAAGAAGCGCAAATTTATAAAGATGGAATGGAATGGTCAAGTACAGATCCAGCACCAGAAGGTTTCTCGCTTTTCACCACTGAAACTGGTCAAGTTTTGTTACGTAAGAAACGGCAAAGAAATTTACAAAAACTTGGCATTGGAGGATTTTCTGTACGAAATCGAGCAGTGCGAACAAAGGAAGAAGATCCAACATCATCTTCACAATTACCTGGCGACGAAACAAAGAAGAAGAAACCAAATCGTCGCAAGCAGAAGAACAAACTTGTTGAAACTTATCCAGCATATCTCCAAGAAGCTTTCTTTGGTCGTCCCTTATTAGACTCGAATGCTAAAGTGAAACTTGAATCAAGCAGCAGCGATGAAGAAGCTAAAAGTACAGTGTCAGATGACAAAACCATAAAACTTTCATTAGATGAACTTAAAATGATCGAATCGATGCGTGCAAAGCAACAACAAAAGCTTCTGGAAGAACAAAAACTCCTTCAATTAAATCTGGCGAAATCTCAGCCAAACCTCATGACAAACGGCTCGCAAATTCATTTAAATCTTAAAATGCAAAGTGATGAAAGTCAAATTTCAGGAAATTTCATTGGAAGTGCGTCATCACATCAAACAGGAAATTCGCAACCTGAAATCAAAACAGAATCGAGTTTAATGGATGATGATGAGAATAATAGCGACACGGAAGCACTGAAAGATGTTTTAGGATTGCCGGGTGATTTATTGGACAATGATTTAGTGAATACGATAATGAATGAAGACGATGATCTCACGAAGAATTCTGGTGACGATGCGAAAGGTGTTAAGGATGATTTAGCTGACATTCTCAGCCCTCATTTCAATCTCGATTGCAAAGACATGGAAGACATGCTGTTCAAAAGTGTACTCACTGACGAGTCTCAAGAGTCGCAAGAATCAATGCTGACCAATTCTCTCACATCTTATTCCACACAATCAACGCCATCTCATCAATCAGATGCATCACAAATGCATTTGAATCAACCGACCACGCCTGTTTCAACAAATGTCATGACAACGTTGCAATCACCTCAACCAGGCATTTCAAGTATCAATCCAATGCTTGGCAATATTCCACAATCACCACAAATTATGAATCAACCAATTATGCTTCAACATAATAATCCAATTCACATGCAGCAGAATATTTTACAACGACAAACTTCACTTCCGGGAACATCGGGAAGTATGCCAGGAATTGGCAATCAAAGAGGGTATTTTTCGTTTGACGATTTTAGTAATAGGTAGGGATGGAAATGTCAAAGTTCATTCACTTGTTATCAACATCATTAAAGCACAATTATCATTTATTTTTTGATTTATAAATCGAACACTTCCATTCCTATCATCACAAATCATTACATTTTGTTATTTTTTCATGTATGTAAGATTAAAATGAAATTCTTGTTAATCTTCTTCTTTCTTCTTAATTTCATAGAAATCTCTTTAACTCAGCACCGACATTTCCAAATCAAGCACAATGGAATGCATCGAATGATAATGATTTTGATATGTCATCGACATCAATGACACCAAGTGGTGCAAGTCAAGCGCCAAAAGTCAACAATCATCAAAAGACATCGGAAAGAATGGCAGAAGATGAAAGTGAGTTGATTTTGTTTATATTTTTGCCATTTTAAATTCTTTTCTTTTTCTTCTTAAAGAACTTGGCGAGATGTCAACAATTTCTGCAGTTTTGTATGCAAATCAAAATCATCCAGAATTAAAGATTGAATATCCACAATGGACAGATCGTTATAAGCAAATTATGAAGAAATGGCGAGCATTATCAGCTGATAAGAAAGCTCCTTATCTTCAACGTGCACGAGATAATCGCTCAGCACAACAAGCTCAATTGAGAACGAAGAAAGCTCAACAAGTAAGCAAAATAATTTTTATTTTATAATTTAAAAATGAATCTTACAACTTTGTTAAGATAAGAAACGCGTTGAATCTTACGTTTTGGAAAGGTTTTTTCAGTTTACAAACTCAATCAATCACTTCAATCAGTTTTGTTTTGCTCATCTTTAATTTGTTTTGTTTAATCATAAAACATAATTTTTTTGTGTATGCTATTCATTCACATTTCCTTCACACATGTTTTTTACTTTTACATATCCATTCATATCTATTTAAGTATTTCAAAGTAAATGTATTCGGGTGTTCGTTCATTGAGAAAATATTCTTCATCGTGAAACTAACAATTGAATGATCGGTCTCGGCCCATCTGTCCATAAAAACAATCATCCATAATTATATTTATTTATTTATTTACCAAGTTGAGCAAGTCAATAATTGTTTATGACATCCTGACCTTTTCTCTTTAGACTTTAAAGATCATTGTTGCATTCACATCACAAAAACCTTTTTATTTATGTTGTTGATAAACAAAACATTTTTTCAAAAAAAAAAAAACAAATCCTAAAAGTCCAAATCATTCCAAACTCATCATATGAATTAGGTGGCGCCTGAGCTGTCACCTGATGGTGGAACAACTACGAGCACTAATAGCACTTCACCCGCACTGAGTTCAACATTGTCTGAGTCGTCATCATTGTTGGATGTAAACATCTTACAACATCAACAAGTTCAGCAACAACAGCAGCAGCAGCAACAGCAGCAACAACAACAAGCTCAAATTATTCCATCACAAACACAACAGCAAATTCATGTGGTAAGAACCAATCACCAAATCGATCAGCAGTCGCCAGGACAACAAGTTAAACTGCCGGATCAATTACTTGACACTAACGCTTTTGCTAACAAAACTGAACCACCTCTCTCTAATAATAATAATAATAACAATTTACTAATCATGGCTAATGAGCACAAAGAATTTAGTTGTAGTGTTGGTGATGAAAATATTGTTAATCCCACTTCCAATAATAATAATATTAAAGTTATTGATAACAAACTCTCAGAGTCTGATGATAATAATTCAAGCGGCGACGGTGGTGGTGATGCTAGTTTAAAGCATCAACAATCGAATGTTATCGATGAGAAAGACAATTTGCAAAGTAAAAATCCGAATTTGTCAATTGCATCGAATATTGCGAATGCTTTTATTAATTTATCAACACCAAAGACTGTTAATCCACCTGCAAGTAGCAACAATAGTTGTAGTGGTGGTGGCGGTGTGGTGCAAGCAAAGAATTTAAATGTGATTGTCACACAACAACAGATTACGCAACATTTTATGAAAACTTTATCATTTACAACGTCACGTGGTGGAATTTTTGTGCCAAATGTTATCGCAACAAATATCACGCCACAATTTACAGTTCATCAATATGGATTGCATGGGAATGTTAATGGGCCGGCACCAAATGTTACAGTGAATTCGAATGGAAATTTTAACACAAATTCTAATGCTATTCGACCAGGAGCACAAAATCATTTTCGTTTACTTTTTCAACAATCACCGAATATTAATTTAAATATTATTAATAACCAGAATTTCACAAATGCCACCACACAAAATCCACCGTCAGCATCTGCGATTCTTGAAGCTTCTCTTCAGACAATTAATAAAGTTGGTGTTGGTCAACCAACATCAGCATCAACAACACCGAAACCTATTCCAACTAAAACCATTATTCAAAATCCAATCATAACACCAAAGAATACAATTGTCTTACAACAACAACATCAACATCATCAACAACAACAAAAATCGAGTGAAGAATCTCCACCCGAATCCATTCCAATTCACGATCAAAGTCATCATGTAAATAATAACGATCAACATATTCGTGTTCTTACCCCGTCTGAAATCATGAAAACCTTACCATCATTATCCTCCCAAGACAACATTTGCTTTAATAGTAGCAGCAATATGATAGTAAATGATATAAATTTGTTAAGTAACGATGGAAATAAAACGCCAACACAAACTTCAAGCTCAAGCTCCGACACATCAGGCTCTGTTGCTAATAATAGTTTTAAAACTTCCACAATCTCTTCTCCCTTAACCATCACCTCAGATTGTAACACTTTAAGTAGCAATTTTATCACCACCAAAGCAACTATGACTTCTAATAATGCACAAATTCAAATGGTGAGCGGATACAAAACGTATAAAAATATTTTTTTTGTTTTGTTTTAATTTTTTCCTTGAGAAAAAATTATATCATGTTTTTACTTATTCGCTCTGTGTTTTTCTTTTTATGGAGTTTTCTTTCTTTTGGTATATTTAAACGTGTTATTCTTTAAAGAAAGAGATTGGAAAAACAAACATAAAAGTTTAAATCGCGAAATGTGCTTCGCGCTCGAGATAAGAAATATTTTTAGATGATATTTTTTTGCGTTTTATATCTGAATTCTGATAATTTTTCTTGGCATTTGATGAAAGTTTTTCTTGTTGTATACTTATTGGTTTTGAGTTGTGCATGAAATAATCGGAGATGTGAAAAATTCTTTTTGGTTTAAAGAAAATTTTGTTATAATTTAAGGTGGAAGGAAAATTTAAAATCGAAACTGTTATAAAATTATTATAACAATCAAAATAATTTTCTTCTTAGAATTTTTCACATCACACGAACTTAAACGTAAAATCCTAAACTGTAAACATAAAAATCGAAATTTTCCTCACAAATCTGCATGCTTACCATTTATTGTTTAACTTTTCAAGATAATAATTACTTCAAAAGCAAATTCATTAAAAATAATATCAAAATGATGATTCTGAGACAACAATCTGTTAACGCATGACTAAGCTGTTAAACAATTCTTTTTCTTTTCTTTCTTAATTTTTAAGCAGCTTTTAATTAATCTCATCTTTTATTTCTTTTCTTTCAATTTTAATCTGTCTAGGATCAAGACAAGATCACCGCACAACAAAAAAGTATGAAAGAAGCTGAACAAGAACGTCAATGGAAAGCTTTACAAGCCATGCGAGCTCGTGAACAACAAATGGGAATTCCGCCTGATCAAAGAATTCATCATATGAACGGTAATTAAATTAATTATCAGATTTTTTTAGTTACTTTACGTTCTCTGTTTTATTTATCATAGAATCGAATGTTCAACTTCAAATATCAACAAACCTCAACGATGGATCGATGAGTCCCGTTGCAAGTCCATCACCAAATTCAAGAAATCAATTTATTGCTCCAGCTAACAAAGGACGAATGATGATGAACCCTCAAAGTCCTTCAAGCAATAATTTCCAACATCCTGGTCGTCCCGTCTCAACTCAACTTCAAAGACAAACAAGTCAACAGCGAATGAATCAAAGTCCATTTTCACCTCAAGCTACAACACCACAATCACCACATGATGTTTTTCCTGGATCTCCATCAAACGAACAATTTGCTCGTCCATCAGATGACCAACAATTTTTGCATTCACCGCAAACACCAAAACCAGTTGTTCAACAGCAATCGCCAGTTCATGTTCCAGGAGGTTCCAACATGAACTTTGGTCAAATGAATCAAAATCAGAATCAGCCGCAACCAAATATTCGTCCATTGGACAGCATGGGTGGATACGTGCAAGCTCCAGGAACTCCACGACCAACATTTAATCCTGGACAGACCAGAACAACAGTTTACGCTCGTCCCGATATGTTTAACAAGCCTCCGTTTGTCATGGGTGGTCCAAGAGCTTCGGATCACTTCCAACAACAACAATCAAATCAAGCACCACAATCACCTCAGGATCAAAACAATCGACAACTTCGTGATCTTCTACAACGACAACAAGCGCCAACAAACTTACCATCGCCATCACCTCAACCCAACAACATCACTTCGCCAACATTCACGATGGATGGCGATCAAATGAAGCCACAAATTGTATCAACACAACAGAACCAGCAGCAGATGCAAACAGCACAAGCGACACAATCTTCTGATAACACTTTCCGTCAACCTTTACCACCAGGAATGCGACAACCACGAATGCAATCAATGGTTGGTGGTCAAATGATAAGATCAACGCAACTTGGCAATCCACAACGAATGGTGATGAATCCTGATAGTCGGCCAAGACTTGGTATTCGTCCTGGAACTGTTTTGAATCCACAACAAATGTTGGCAGTTCAACAACAGCAGCAACAGCAGAATCAAATGGCACAACAAAGAATGACTTTGAATGCTCAAGGGAACTTCAATCAAAGTGAAATAATTTCATCGCAAGGTCATCCAAATGGTGAACAAAACACGATAATAACGCAAAGAATCGTTCAATCAGGACAAAATGTTATAATGCAGCAAGTCGCTTCACAGCCACAAACGAGCATTGCTAATGAGAATGCATCGGCAACTGTTAATCAAACGAGTGGCACTGACGCTGAAGGCATCCCTGACTCAGTCACTGCTGAGCTTGAAAAGCTTGAACAAGATGAGAATGTTGGAATGGACGGAGTTGGTGACATTTTAGGTGGACTTGGCGATGATGATGACGATTTGCTTGATTCACTGACAGCTGAGATGGGCGCTGATTTCAATATCTTGGAGTATGCTGATCCCGAGCTTGACACAACTGACGATGAGAAGACAAATTTACTCGACAGTTTGGAACTCGATGACGGTGAGAATGCGAAAGAAGAGAAGTTGAAGAATCTTGAAGCGGAGAAGCTTGCAAAGCAGACGGGTGTCGTTAACAATCCACATCAACAGACAAACATTCAACATCAACTTCATAATCGAATGCATCCTGGTGGGCCAATGCAACAAGGTGTTCAGAACATGAACCTGAATCAAATTCCAACGAGCATCAATCAAATTGAGAGTCAAAATATTAATCAAGCAACTACCAGTCAACAAGGACAACAAGTTGTTAATCAAATTGGTGGACAACAAATTGTTCTTAATCAACAAGGTGGCATAAATCACTTTCAAAGACAACAAGTTCGATTCAAAGCCGTTCCTCCAAGTCAAATGCCGGAAATTCAACAAATTCATCAACAAATGATGCTTCAGGTAATTATTTTACTGCTTTTTGATAATAAAATTTTATTGAAATTTTTCATTTTATGAACAGTTACAACAAGCAGCTGCAAATGGAAAGCCAATGCCTTTGGGAACGAGACTTGTATCAAACAACAACGTCGTTGGAACTGTCATCGGTCCAAATAACATTCAATTGAACTTTGCATCAAAGTAAGAAAAATTCTCACATTCTCATAACATTTTATTAATAAATTTGTATTTTCAGTCAACAACGTCTTCAGCAAGTCCGAATGGTGAATCCAAATATGATGCATGGAGCTCAAAACAATCCTCGAATGTCACTGCCGCAAATGCCACAGAACCGACCAAATCTCATGGTAAATCCACAACAACCAATCAATCCAAACATTCAAGGAATTCAATCAGCGATGGTGCAACAAACGTTGATTCAACAACCACAGCAACAACAACAAACCGCTGCTGTGCCACCACCACCGCCTTATCCTGAACCACCCCCGCCATATCCAGGCCAATCTGTCACTGGACAAAATCAGGTAAAAGTTCATAAATTATCTCATTTTATATTTCATAAATTTTGTTCTTATTGTTTGATGACTTGTCAAGTAATCAACGTTCAATGTCTTAAGTGTTGCTGAAATTTAATTAAAATCTTTCATTTTCTTGATAATTGAGAAATTCTCAATCTAAAATATTGAACGTATCTAATTGATAAGTCGACAAAGTCTTTCAATAAGTCTCCAATGTAATAAGACGATTCTGAACACAGTGAAAGTTCACGATAATTGTGAACACACGTAATGTTGAATACAGTTTTCTTCGCTATTTAACATTTTCATAGCTCAAAAGTTTTTACAGAAGTACTCTTCTGTATTCACAATTATTGTTGATTATTAATGTGTTAAGAACTGTCGTTTTACCCTACTTTGTGTGAGTTTCCAATTATTCTTTCTTATTGCAAACTTTTTCGAATAAAACTTAATTAAATCAAAAAAATAAGCAACATTAAGAGTAGCGACAACTAATTAACAAGAAATTTGTTTTTTGATTTCTCAACTCTGCATGCTTTCAATTGATTGTTTGTTATCATCTCACATTTTCTCAAAAACAAAATTAAAACAAATTAATTAAAATGATAAAAATCAAAATTTGTTGCGAAAAGTCTTATCGTCCAGTGTTGCTTCAGGTGAGACTTTAAATGACGAATTAATGAAGTTGTCTTAAATGCACAACGTAATAAGCGCAACTGTTTAATTTCTTTTGTTTTCTTTTCTTAGATGTAGTTAAATTTATAGAAATCGTGAATAACTTTTTACATAAAATTCATTTAATTAATTGTTCCAGGAACAGCCACTCTTGCTTGAAGATCTACTCGAACAAGAGAAACGAGAACAAGCTAGACATACAAGTGGCTCACAAATTGATCAAATTCTCCCCAATCAGAGTCAACAAAGTATTCTGAATGATCAAGTAAATTAATTTTCACTTCTTTTCCTTCACTTTACTGATTTTTCATTTCATTTCTTTTTAAAGGATTACGAGAAACTTCGTGCTGATGTTTTGACATCAACAAATCAAAGTATTCCAATGTCACAAATGAATCAACAGCAGCAGCAACAGCAACAACATCAACAACAGCCACAAAGTCAATTCATGCCTCGTGGTGTAATAAACAAGCAATGGCGTGCACAAGCGCCAGTTAATCCTGCACCACCATCAACATCATCAAGTCTAGTTCCTTCTGTTCCGATATTCCAAGCGAACTTACAAGCAGCACCGCCAATACCACCAGAAAATATCGTCACTGACGCTGATAAAATGACGCAAGCAAACTATGAAGCTTGGCTTAATCAACAGAACAATTCACTTCAAGAACAATTGCGTTACTACGAGACAGAAATTCTCGAGCTAAGAAAACTGAAAAAGTCGTTAAACACAAAGCAAAGACAATTGAAGAAGAACGGCAATGAATTGAGTGACATTGACTCGAAAACTTTATCTTTAGTGACACAAGAGCAAGCGACAGTTCAAAAGCATCTTGAAAGTGCACGAAAACAAGCTCGAAATCATCTCGCAACAAAACAAGATTACGATGCAAAGAAAGCTGCAAAGCAGATGGCAAACAATCCTCACATGGTGACATCACCAGCTGGTATGAACGAACAATCACCAATGATGTCACCGTCACCAGGTGGAATGAATCAAAACATGATTCAACAGCCAGTGCAGTCACCGTTGAGTAATCCAATCATGGCGCCATCACAAAGTCCACTTCATTCGCCAAGTCCAATGATGAGTTCGCAATCACCGGGACCAGCGTCGATTATGCAAAGTCCCAGCGCTCATATGAATGCCATGTCACCTTACAACACAATGCAGCAATCACCACGCATTGGAACGCCACATTCACAGATTGAAGACAGTCCATTCAGTCCCAATTCAGGACCAATTGAATCACCATCAATGGCTGGACGTTTAACATCACCAGCACCACGAATGACTTCACCACAACATCGTCCATCAACGCCAATGCAAATGATGAGTCGAATGGGAAATAATCCAGGACAATTCAATGTTCAACAAAATGTCGTCATGGGACAACAAACTCGATTCATTCGTCCACAACAAATGATGCAAAATGATGGAAATAATCGAATGGGAATGCGAATGAGTGGAAACTTCCAGCAAATCCCTCATAATCCAAATATTCGTCAAGGATATAACAATAATAACAACAACACCAATAATAACAATGCAATGGATGGAAATCAACAACAAATGCAACAAAATCAAAACATTGATCCACAAATGAGACAAATGCAAATTCGTCAGATGCAAATAAGACAACAACAGCAGCAGCAACAACAGCAACAAATGATGAATCAACAAGTTCAAATGAATCAAATGAATCCACAAATGATGCAACAACAACAACAGCAACAAAATCCACAAATGATGTCAAATCAACCAAACCAAAGTCCAAATCATCAACAACCACAGTCGCCATTGATTAATCAAAATTCAAGTTCACCAATGCCAAGAAGTCCGATGGTTCATTATCAACAACAGCAGCAACAGCATCAGAATCCTAACAGTCCAATGATGATGGATAATTCTCCACGTCCTTACATTCAACAGCAACAGCAACACATGCAGCAGCAAGGAATGATGGACCATGGAAATCAAAATCAAAATATGATGCAAGGTGGAGGTGGTGGTGGGGGCGGCAATGGAATGCATCCAGGAAATCCACTTTTCGGACGTTTTGGTCGAATAAAGTTAGGACTTCGTGGTGGTAGTCCAATGTGGGGTAATAATGGAAATAATAACAACAGAAAGCAACCAACAACAAGCAATGCTGAAGTATTACAAATGATTAAGAAGGCACAGCAACAACAACAACCATCAACATCTGAAATTGAAAGTTCATCGAAAGATTCTGAAACATTAGTGAAGCCATTGACACCAAGAGTGAAGACTTCGTTGTTAAAGAAGCCAGCAATACCACCGGCTAAAAGTAAATCCCTTGTCAGTACAGATTACAATGACGATGATTCATCAAATGGAACTCCACCAATAAGTCCATTATCGACCTTACAAAAGCCGAGAATAAAAATTACTGGGGTCAAAGCGCAAATGACGTCACAAGCGCTGAAGACAACGGCAAATGATGATGTTGTGATTGTTGACAGCAGTCCTGATGAGAAGCAAAGAATGGTTGATTATGATGACGACAATGACAAAGTTGTGACGACATTGACGGAAGTTTCGTTGAATTCAACAGCGCAAGATATTGGCGACTCTGATGACATGATTGAGACATTTGATACGAGTGAATTAATATCAAGTCCATTAATCACTGAACCAGAAGAGACTGATTATGGTCTGTTTGAGTCTCACGTTGTGCATATCGATGACGAGCCACTTAAAGAAATTATGAGTCGAAATGTATTTGATGAAGCAATTCAACCACCAGAACAGCCAAAACCAATTGAAACTTCGAAGAGTTCTGAGATTTTGTATGTTGTCGAAACAACATCAACAACGAAAACAACGAAAAATCCTAAAAATGTTGGAACGTGTGAAGATTTTGAAGCGATGATTGATTGTGGTAAAGATGATGACGACGATGAAGTTGAAAGTGAGAAGTGTAGTGAAAGTGAAGCAATACCAAAATCATCTGAAATTACAACAACAAAAATCATCGCAAATACGATTCAAGAAGTGAGAAAGGAAATTAAACTTCCAACGTCGTCAGTTTCAATAACATTGCCAGCAAATCTTATAAGTAAGTCAAACACATCAATAGCTGGTGTGACGCATAAGAAACTCGTTAAAAGTGCAACGCCAACAACAGCAAAAGTTTCGATTGGCAACACGACAATTTCTGTTCCAGTTTTATTGAAAAATATGCCAATGCAGAATAAAAGCGGCAATGATGGACATCAACAAGGATCGAAGAAGATTATAACAACAAGTGCTTTGTCATTAACGAATTTGAAGAAGAATCCAAACCTGTTTAGTGTTTCGGGACAGAAAATCAACACATCAGCAATTGTGACACTTTCAGTTAATAAAGGAACAACTCGACCGATTCAAACTGTTCAAAGATTTCAACAACAGAAAGCAGGCGGTCAACAGCAGTCAATAATCGTCCCAATTTCTTCATCACCATCATCATCAGTATGCACAAATGTTGGTATTGTGTCAAATGTTGCAACAAATTCAATAACTAGTCGCTCGTCACCTGTTTTAACATTTACATCGAAAATGCCCACGCTTACGATGACACAAGACACTTCATTGCCATCGAAGATATTCGAAGACGAAGAGATTTCACCTGAAAATCAAACAGAAAGTTGTGATGAAGTCGAAGGCTCAACAGCAGTTAAGTGTCAAGTGAAAGATGAAAGTAAAGATCATCCAGTCGATGAGAAGCCGAAATCGTTAATTCCTGTTCATGTGATTATCAAATCACGTGAATCTTCACAAAGTCCTGTTCAAGTTCTTAATAATCAACAACAAAGAATTATGTCAACGGCGAATATGTCACAACTTTCACCATTATCACAACCAATTGAAATAAATACAAACACACATAATGCAACACAACAAATACGCTCGATAATGTCATCGATTAATTCGAATGATGATGGGAAAAATAAATCGGAAGCTGAACAAGGCACGCCAACTTCGTCTTCGTCTATTCAGCAGACAATTAATCAACCAAAGACAATTATTCGAAGTGTTTCAACGCCATCAAACGCACAACAAAATCAATTATTTGGAAGTGAAGTGAGAATGATTGTAAATCAACAGCAAAACCCAACTTCGATGCCATCGTCACCAACAACGATTCAAACATCACAATCGGGTAATATTTTATTTGTGAAGCAAATACGATCAGCAACACCACAAAGTGTGGCGACACTTCCATCAAGCACTAATTCGACAATCGTTGTGATGAGTCAATCGGGTCAAATTCAATCTCAAGGTTCGGTTATCATTTCGTCGCCTTCATCATCATCATCGTCGTCGGCAAAGCCAAGTAATCTTCTCAGCATTTTAAGTAATCAAGTGTCATCATCATCAAATATTGAAGTTAAAATGGAGCCACCTTCATCATCATCATCAATGGACACAAAAACAGTCACAATCTTAAAAACAAATCCAACAATTACAAATCTTCTCAACACAAAACGATCAAAGTCAACTGACGACGTGAAGATATTCAAAGAAAGCCAAGAAATTCTCGCTGCAAAACGTTTAAGTTTAGAATCATCAAATGCTGTGAAGACAGAACCTGTTGACGTTCCAGTTGTTAAGGAACTTGTCATCACTGAGTCACCACAAAAGCAGCAGGAAACTTCGACTTCAATTCAAACTCCAGTCACAAAACCATCAACGCCTTCAACTTCCAAACCTGAAGATTCACAAAATGTTCTTTTGAAGCAACTTTTACAAAACTCTGGAAATTCTGTAACGTCGCCACTTTCACGAACTGTTCCTGGCATTATCACAAATCAGAGAGCGCCAAGTCTTGGCATGTTCAGCTCTTTAGAAGCTCAACTAGCTCGCCCAGTCATTCCACCAGCACCTGCGAAGCCAATCATTGTCTCAACACAACCACTTGTCAGTCAAATCACCAGCAGCAGTTCTAACAATATCAACACAACAATTTCTTCATCAACAACTTCAACAACTAAACTTGTGTCACGTGAAACTTCTTTCGTCTCACAACAACCAACAACATCAATTCCAACACCGCCACCAACATCATCACAAACACCTGCAACAACATCATCGTTGACAATCCAAACATTGATGGAAAATAAACCAATTGTTGTACTAAATCGTAACGATATTCCAGCTAACATTTTAGCACAACAAAATAAACAACAAACAATGATAACAAGTCAAAGTGTTGATGTGATTGGAATGGCGCCACCTGTGAACACAAATGCAGCAGTTAAGAAAGAAATTGTATCGCCTGGTGGTGGAACAACAACATCAACCACAACAGCATTGAGAACATCACCAACAAATGTTGTTACACTCACAAAAAGCATTTCGCAGTCATCACTTGGGTCTGGTGGAACAACAACGCCAGTTCCATTTGAATCGCCGCTTATTGATGTGAAGAAAGAGATAATGGATGACAGTTCACAGTCTGAATCGATAAGTTCTGACGTGAGTATGGTTAAAAATGAGAATATCATGACAACGCCATCGTCAACACGTGACAATGAATCAATTAATGACAATATTGATGAAAGTCCAGCAAAAACACCGCAAGAGATTGCAAATGAAATAAAGAAAGCAAAACGACGCGAATATCAAAAGAATCGACGACAATTGCAGATGTCGAAAGAGAAAGGTTTGAAAAAGCCAAGAAAATTGCAGAAGAATGAAGAAGATTACGATTCGTTTATGGATAATTTAATGGTGCATATTAAAGCACTTCCGCAAATGCAAATTCTTGAGCCTTTATTACCAAAGAATTTCGGTGTTTGTCCTATTTATGGATGTACTGAACTTAATAAATTGAGCTCTTGTAAAAGCTACGACATAACGTGTGGTGAACTGAATGGATTGTATGGAAAAGCTGAACTTCCAAATGTTTCCGACTTTTATAACACGAAACCATTTGGCTTGTTAGATCCGAAAGCTGAACCACTTCCAGTGTCAACGCAGCGTGGCTTTTACGATCAAGAATTTCCACCAATTAAGTTTGAAGAAGAAGAACATCATCGAAGTAAATACGATTTGTTCTCGAAAGACCGTGACATTGACACACCGGAAACAATTGTCGCGTCATCGAGTCCTGAATGTGTAATGAAAGCACCACAAAGTCGCTTCCCTGGCTTGAAACTTATTCGTGAAGATCACGATGAAGATGACGATGAAATTGATTCATTCATTGATAATCGAATGTCGCCAACAATACCAACAATTATCGCTCCAATTCCAATTAAACTGAAGAGTGGAATGTCGTTGACATCTGATAATTCATTGAGTGATAAAGAGAATGATATGAAGAAGAAAGAACTTGGACTGAAGTCATGCTTTAGTCCACCAGTGCCATTTAAAGATAACAACAATAATAATGTGACAGTGACATTGACATTGACATCGTCAGCTGCTGAAGACATTATGGGAGTCTTAAAATCACTCGCAAACATCCTCAACATTCCACCACCGACAGCTTATCAGATTGTTGAGCGAACAACGTCGCCGCCTAGTCAAAAGCTTGGATTATATCGTGTGAAAGGAAAAGATGGCAAAGAAGGACAACCAGTTGACATTCAAACAATTCTTAATGGAACAGCAAAATTCTGTCGTCATTGCGATGTTGTGATTTTAACAAATGTGATAAAAGCGAAAGCGAGTGAATTTCCACTGTTGATAAATGCTGAACTTGAATCAGATGATTTGTACTTCTGTAGTAAAACATGTTACAAACAATTCCAATGGCGTCCCATTAACATGCTTGATGATAAGAATCTTTACTCTCAGTTAAATGATGAGAAGAGTCTTGAAGTGCTTTCAGATGTTCCACCAAAAACTGAACAATCAACGACGAATGCTTTGAATGACGGCGCGACTCCAACACAACAAATGAAAAGGAAGCATGACGACAATGAAATTCACGATGTTGATGATGAAGATAATGAGAAGTTAAAGGAAGAAACTCAAAATGAAAAGCGACAAAAGTTAATGAAAGTGAAAACTTATTGTGGAAATGTTTTCCCACAAATTCATAAACAGAAGAAGATGTCAGATCGTGAGATCACTGAAATGCTTTTCCGTATGAACATCACAGTGAATTCAGCACCAAAGATCTTGGAAGATACACGAAAATGTATTTTCTGTCATCAAATAGGTGACGGCGTTGCTGATGGTCCATCAAGACTTCTTAATTACGATGTTGACAAATGGGTTCATTTGAATTGTGCTTTGTGGTCGGATGGAGTTTATGAAACCGTCAATGGAGCTTTAATGAACCTTGAACCGACACTTCAAACAAGTTTAAGCTCGCAATGTTCGATTTGCAATCATCTTGGCGCCACAATTAAATGTTTCAAAGCACGATGTGGAAGTATTTATCATCTCAGTTGTGCAATGAAGGATAATTGCGTGTTCTATAAAAACAAAACAACAATGTGCAACATTCATGCACCAAAATCCGAGAAAGACAATGAATTAACAACTTTAAGTGTTCAACGACGTGTTTATATTGATCGTGATGAGAATCGTCAAGTTGCATCGATTATGCATCATTCCGATTTGACGAATCTTTTGAGAGTTGGAAGTTTGGTGTTGTTAAATGTTGGACAACTTTTACCGCATCAACTTCAAGCTTTCCACACGATTAATTACATTTATCCGATTGGCTTCAAGATTATGCGATTCTTTTGGTCAATGCGTCATCCGAATAAGAGATGTCGTTACATTTGTTATATTGTTGATGTGTCTGGTCGTCCTGAGTTTAGAATTCTAGTCAAAGAAGCGAACGAAGAAGACATTGAGTTACGTGATGAAACACCAAAGAAAGTTTGGCAGAGAATTCTAGCGCCAATTGCAAAACTTCGAAAAGAACATCAATTGGTTCAAGTCTTCCCGAAATATGTCAATGGTGAAGATTTGTTTGGGTTATCAGAGCCAGCTGTCGTAAGAATTCTTGAGAGTTTGCCTGGCGTTGAAACATTGACCGATTATCGGTTTAAATATGGACGAAATCCATTGTTGGAACTTCCATTAGCCATAAATCCATCAGGCGCTGCAAGAACTGAACCGAGAATCAAACAAAATGTTTCGTGGAAGAAACCACACACACAACGTACTGGATCATCAAGTCAAAGACCTGCATTTGTACCATCAACATCAGCTGGTGAAGTGGCGTGTCCTTACAGCAAACAATTTGTCCACTCAAAGAGTTCGCAATATAAGAAGATGAAGCTTGAATGGCGAAATAATGTCTTTTTAGCGAGATCAAAGATTCAGGGCTTGGGTCTTTATGCAGCTAGAGACTTGGAGAAGCACACGATGGTTATTGAATACATCGGGGAGGTTATTCGTGGTGAATTGGCAGAACTTCGTGAGAAGCAATATGAAGCTAAAGTAAGTTAAATTTGTTCATCATTGAAGTAATTTTAATTAATTTTTATCTTTTTATAGAATCGCGGAATTTATATGTTCCGTTTGGATGAGGATCGTGTCATTGATGCAACTTTATCAGGGGGGTTAGCACGTTACATCAATCACAGTTGTAACCCGAATTGTGTCACGGAGGTAGTTGAAGTTGATCGTGAATTCAGAATAATAATTTTTGCAAAACGAAGAATAAACCGAGGCGAAGAGGTGAGTTTTATATGATTATTAATCAAATTAAATTATTGATTTTATATTTTCTATCATTTAGCTCTCTTATGACTACAAATTTGATATTGAAGATGAATCGCGTAAAATTGCATGCGCGTGTGAAGCGACCAATTGCAGAAAATATTTAAACTAAGCTAAAGGCTTCCATGTAAATAGATCCCTTGAAAAGCAACGTTATTTTATAAATATGATGACCATAAATAATGAAACGTAGAAGAAAAACATCTCACTTTTTGTGTAATAATTAGTATGTAAGAATTTATTAGATTTTATATGGACAAATGAAGGAAAATGTTAATTTTATAAGAAGAACCAAGAGAAATGTAAAAATCTATATTATGAATAATAAAATTACCTATTTACTAAATTTAATTAAAAACTTGTCTTTGTTTAATTTGCTTAATTAAAAACTTGTCTTTGATTAATTTCTTTAGTTTAATCAAATTTTCCCAAGGAATGCTTAGAACGTCAAATTTCAGGTTCATTTGCTTCGTCATATCAACAATACTTTAACAAAGTCGAGTTGTCTTAAGCAGGAAGATAATTGTTAACGTCGCAATCACATTGTCGCTCAAACAGTTTGACATCTCAGAAGAATCTGGGGAAGTTTTATTTCTTCACATTGTGCGCAGACGATTGCTTATCAAATCGTGTTCATTTTCTATCGAAGACTTAAAAGTTTTGTTTTGCCTATTGCTTTGTATCTTCTAAATACCTATGAAGGGCAACTTTTTCAAAAAAAATATAAACACCAATATTTCTAAAAAAATTAGAAACAATTTAAGAGACATTGCTCAGTATCTTTAACAGCTAAGTTTCTCAGACGTTTTCTTTCTATTTTTAATAGAGTTTAATAACATTCTAAAACTCGAAATATTCTTTTCATATTCATTCAAAGCTTGACATAAATTCTCTGGTGCTTGGTAAAATCTTAACATTCTTTATTCCAATCTACATGCATACATATAAAAAAATATAAGTTAAAGTTAATAAGCTTATGATAAAAATTTAAAATAAATTGTAAGAATAATTAAAATTTATTTTTAGAAGTTATTTCAATTTGTTGACTTATTTCTTAATTGTACAATATTAATTAAATCAATCCTAAAAATATGAATTTCCACTTTCATAGTCAGAGTTTGTGTCATCGTCATTTGAGTCATTTAAATAATTTTCTTCTAAATTTGTTGATTGTATCGCATCAACATAAATAAAGCTTTCAATCGTTTTTTCATCCGAAATATTTTCATTTGTCATACATTCACGTTCATAATTTCCTGACATAATTGTGAACAAAATTGTTGCAATAAACATAAGAAATGCGTAAAAGAAGTATTCTAGACTTTTATTCTCAATCAATTGAAGTTCTGTGATGATGACAACGAGAAGATTTCCCATTGCATTGTTAATGAACCAAACAGCAGTTAGAACTGACTTCATTGATGTTGGAGCATGTGTGTAGCAAAACTTTAATCCTGGTACCGATATCAACACTTCACCCATCATTAAAAGGAAGAACATCGGAAATTGCCATAAAATTGATGGAAGATCTTCCGGATCCATCGCTATTCGATGTTGTAGAAAACCAGCCCACACAAAGCTGAAGGCAGCACAAAGGCCACCAATTGAAACACTTTCCAATGATGATAAATGAAAACCTTTTCTTTCCATGAAAGGTAAGACAATCTTCTGCCAGACAGGTATTTGAATCAACAGCAGAATCGGTCCAACCGCTTTGAACTGATCAGCTTGTATCTGAAAATCAGTGATTGTTAAATTCGTTTGTGTTGCTTGAAACGTCCACGATGAATCTTGTTGTGCGAGTAAAGCATAATAAATAGGAATCGGTGTAAAAAGTGTCACAACTTTCAAAAAGATCGAAACATCATTCACGAACTCTTCAGAATATTTTCCAATTGAAGCTCGAATCCAAGAAGTTTCTTTTGATTTTCTAAAAATTTTCCGATAGCTTGCATAGCAAATACAGTTGAACACTCTTAACATTGTGTTGTCGCCAGTCACATGTTCACGTGCATAAAAAGGCAAACCAGACAGGAAAACCATCCATGATAAAAGGAAGACAACTGCAATCACTGCAAAGACTGCTGTGTAACAACCTTCACCAATTTCACAATAATTAGGAATATAAACATCAGTTCGAACATAAGCGGGGATAATTTTCCCAAGCAGAATTCCAACATAATAGCAAAAGTAGTAAAGAGCAAAGTAACGATCGAGTGAATGTTTTTGCTGTGGAATTTTGAACTGATGACCTCCAAGGGCAGTGATGCAAGCTCTCAAGCATCCATTTCCAATTGCAATCAGAAAGAGTGATGCATAGATTAGTGAACTAAAATGATGATCGTTAATAAGTCATCGTAATTTTTAAAAATTTCTACTTACTGAGTGGCATATTGAATAGGTAAAGTTCCAATTAATGTTCCCAAATACCCAAGAGCGTAAGGAATACAAAAATAAAAAATTGTTGTCTTATTTCCTAAATAACTATCAGCAAGTATGGCACCAACAATCGGGAGAAATTGAGAGAAGAAGTTGAAACTGTGAAGAACTGCCGTCGAGAAGTCTTCGTTGAATTTGAGACTATCACGAAGATAAAGCGCCAGAATACTTCGAACACCATTCGCTGCGAATGCTTCAAAACATTTCGACACGAGAACAAATATCACAGCAATCGGATAATGTGATGAAAATGACGATGGTGACAGATCGGTTGACCCCTAAAAAATATATTGTAATTAGTCACATTTTATTCCCAAAACAACAAATTTTTATTTACTTTTTCACAATCTGATGATTCTTTATCAGAAGATGAAGAACTTCCATAGAATCCTGGATTATTTGATTGTTTATTATAATCATCATTCGTTTCCTTTGTTATCAATGGAGATGCTTTAATAAAAATAAAAGACGTTGATATTATAAGGCTTCTGACAGACATTCACATAAAAAATTTCAAAATGACCTAAAAATTGCTTTATTCACTTACTTTCGTCTCGTGTCAGATTTTTTCTAAATAATTCCTTCATGATTTGTCAGAACTTTCTTGTTTGTCTTTTTGAATTATCAGATATAAAATGTGAATCGGAATTTTCACGATAAACTTTCTATATGAATCTCAATCACACCATTTTGATGGTTTTAAATAAATCTGGAACTAATTTTTGTTTATCTGCTAAAAATTATTAAGTTGAATGATTAAACCGACATTCACTCTTTCTGAATATTTACTCGAGAATAACAATTAGGTAGGTATTTTCTAACTGCACGCGAGTTTTAGACTGACTAAATATTCCTTACGAGAAGCCATAGAGAGACTGAGAGAAAACAAAATTAAAAGAAGAGAATTTCATACGAACTTAAGATGAAAACGTTATCAGCAACGTTGTAGACTTTTACGATCAGACGCAAGAAACGAAAGTTATTTTTTATTTAGCAGAATGAGTCACGTGCAATGAGATTAGCGTATTCTAAAATTATTTTTATTTAGGTAGGTACAATTAGGAATATAAAAATGGTTCAAATTTCCTTTTTAAACCATTTAATATTGTATTATTTCAAATAGGTGCTCGTTCTAAAACTTGTCGATACTTGTTATACAATCATCCTGAATCATTAGCAATTATCTTATGGATCTTTTCTTAGGTAGAATTAGATATATTCTGGTTGTAGAAGGTACATGTTCAAGCATCCGAAACTATTAATAGAGATTGACATTTAAATGCTCATAAAAATCTAGTTTGAAGGAAAATTTTAAGAAAATTCTTTTGAAAATCTGAAAACGTGAATCTTCATGAAAATCTACAAATTTCACTTAGATATCATTTTCAACCTAGCTATCATGTAAATTTTGTTAACAATCTAGGTATTTAGATCTTGCTGCTGCAACAATGCTGGCTGAAATTTAACGGAAATTTATTTCAAACTTAATGCGCCATTTTTAACAGAACACACAGAATGCATCAACAAATTATTAAACGCGCTCCATTGTTGCAACAAATTCTAGATTTTTAAATAATAATAACTGTTATTTAGCTGATATCACATGATTAAGAAGACGTAAAATGTTAAAATGGACAAAGTTAAGCAAGAAAATAGTGCATACAAAAGAATTGTACCTTTGAAAGGCAATCTTCTTGCAAAAATTCGTGAAAAACTAAATGGAGAAAAAGCAAAAAAAGGTAAACAAAAGCAATGCTTTAAACATTAACGTAAATTCTCTTAATTTTCAGAAATAGAAGTAGATGAAAATGAATTAAGCTTATCCATTAACAATAATAGAGAACTTCCGACAGTATCGAAAGTTGAAACTCCTTTGAAATCACCAGACAAAATTATTATTCAAAAAGTTGAAAACGTGAAAATTGATGTTATTCATACCACCAAGTTGGGACGAGCGAGACGTATTTCATCATTATTTGAAGAACATCCTAATGGAAACGAATCTCAAATTCCTAAAACTGAGACTTTTGCAGTTCCGCAAAATGTTCTCGTTCAACATCCGGATGCTCGAGAAAATGAAAATCCAGAAATCAATGAACAACCCTCGTCAATAACATTTCTCTCTGCTGTGATGCCTGATAATGTCTGCAATACTCTCGTCCCACTGAAATTGAAGAGAATAATAAAGAAACCAAAGCCACCGCCTGCTTATCGTTTTCAACGAGTTACGATATTTAGTCCGAAAAAAGAGCAAACAAATCTTACGGACACTTCAATTATCGATACAAGCAATTTAAAAATTGAATTTGCAACACCAGAAGATGATTTTACCTCTTCAGAATTATCAAATGTCATCGTTCAAAATGATTCTGATGAAGAATTTCGTGGCTTTTCTGAAGAAAATGAAATTATGGACAGTGAAATTATTTCCTGGTACGCGCAATACAAGAAAGCTCTTGAAATTGAGAAAGGGTGCAAGCAAAGTTCGTATTTCCCACAACCACAACCAGAATTTCAAATTAAGATTATTTACGATGAAATATCCAACGATGGTGATGAGTTGATGACTAAACCAGATGCTTCTTCAACACCACAAATAATCTCTGATTCTGTGTCTATATCTGAATCAACTTTACAACCATCAACATCAAAACAATTCAGTGAGAATGAAAAAAGGAAATCAGGATCAAGATTAAGTAAAATTGGATGGCAAGATGATATTCTTGCTGTGATAGGAGAATCAAGAATTCGTGAAATTGATAAAGATCTTAAAAAGATTCCAAATATTGTCACTGGGAATGCCATCGAAACAGAAAATGTGGAATTGAAGTTGATTTTGCGTCATCTTTTAAGGCATTCTAAGCTGAATTCGATCATAGAAACATTGACTGATAGAAATGAAGAAAAATTTACTGCAGAAGGTTTGATTTTCAATCTTATATTAAATTTCATTATCTAAATATTTCAATTTTTAGATTCCTCTAATAATGGTGAAAATCATCAAGTGGATAATTTCGATGACAACTCATTTGATCCATACAGCGATGAAAGCAGTTTAAAAGAATTAATTTCAGACGATCAAACTTCATTAGATACTCAACAAAATGATGATTTATCTGAAATTCAACTTGACAACATTGAAGTTAGCGCAAATGAACTTCCTAAAAGTCCCATTGTGTTTAATTTTGATGGAAATAATGAAGAAATTGTTCAAAGTCCGCCTTCTAGAAAAAGAAAAATTTCATCGTGTTCAACAGAAAGTGTTAAAGTAGTGAAACGAAATACTTTGAATTTGGAAAGAAGAAAATCATCAAGAAGTTCAGTGAATGTTGAAAATTCTCCTAAAGTTGTGGAGAGAAATTTATCGCAAGAGGAAAGTCAAGAAAAACCTTCAACAAATGAAAATATTTCAGTTCTTAGTGATTCAAGTGCTGACGGTTTACCATTAAGTCGAATGCGTTCATCTAAACGAAGAATAATTAAAGATACTGACAGTGATGTGAGTGCTAATGAAACCTTCGACAAATCTCATGAAATATCAAAACAAAATTTCAATAACTTAAAATCAAAAAAATTAATCAACCCAATAAACTTAAAAGAAAGAAAATCTTCAATTTTAATTCGAAATAATTATCATAAATCACCATTGAAAAGAGGAAAAACAAGTGAAATAAGTTTTGATTCAACGATTGATAATGAAAAAGATTTAAGTGCAAGAAATGTTAATGAAAAACGCGACAAATTGAAAAGATCTGTGACATCGAAAAGCAATAAATTCACTGAATATTTTAATGATGAAGAAGAGATTGTCAAAAAAGAAGATAAGATTGTCAATAACAACAAAGTGGAAGAGAAAATTGTTAACACAACAAATGTGAAAAGGCCACGAGGACGACCAAAAAAAGTTATTGTTGTGAAAGAAGAGAAAGATGAAGTCGAAATCGTGCAAGTGAAGAAAGAAATTCCCGAACAGCCACCAGAACCTTTGAGAAAAGCGATTGAACATAAAGTTCCTTATGACATGATCCTACAAGTTATTAGTTTCACAGCACCAGCAACCAAAGTTGGCCGAATAAAATCTGAAGAATTAAAAGAACGAAAAAAGCAACTTGAAGAGATTCGCAAGACTTTGAAGTCGTTGAAATACTTTCAATGTGGAAATTGTGGAAAAAATGTGACGAAAGATCTTTGGATTGAACATTTCTTGAGGCACAGCGGAGTTGCTTGGATTGAAGGATTTGAGCATCCATTATCGTTGGATGACTGGCACGAATCATTACGACGTTTGATGAATTACTTTAAGTTTTATAAATTAGAATCAATGCAATGTCGGAAATGTTATCAAGAAAAGAAATCAGCTTTGGGACATTTATCGCATATAATTTTGTGTGGCGAAACTCAAGAGAAAATCAATCGGAGAATGGTGACTTGTGAATATTGTGGCGAGAAAATGCTTCCTTACTACACTTCTTTTCATAAAAACAAATGTTCTGGTATTGAAAGAGTGAAAGAAGAAAAAATTGAAGTCGAAGTTGATGATGATAAAGATGGAAGTCGACAAGATGTGACAGCTGAAGCATTCAACTCAAGTGGACGACTTAAACGAAAATCAGTTAAAAGGTTTAAAGCTTTTTTTCTCATTTTCTTTCATTTTAATTTATTTTCTTCTTTTTTTTTCTTAGAGCTGAGAAAAATTTTAAGAAAATTCTTGGAGTTCTTTCGAATCCTTCAGATGAATTAAAAATCGTAAATGGCGAAATTAAATGTCAATTTTGTCCCAACATCTTATTTCAGTCGCAAGATGAAGCGATTGAGCATGTGAAGAAGGAACATAAAGCGTTGGAAGATGAAAATGATTTCCATGGCTCTGACAGCGATTTGTCATTGAGAGTTGACGATGAAGAAGAATCATCGGATGAAGGTTCGTCTGGTGATGTTTCAAGTGAAATTGAATCAGTTGCCAGTGACAATGCTGATGATAATGACATGAACGAATCAAATAATCAATCAAGATCACGAATCAAGAATATTTACAAAGAACCACAAGAGATGAAAAATTCTTATCATCTTCTGAAGCCAAGTGTTGAAGACTTTCATTATGGAATAAGAAAGAAAACTTTCTTATGGACGAAAGAATTGTAAGTTTGTTTTATTATTGTTTATTCTCTTTAACTAACTTCTTCCCTTCTTAGTGTACAATTAAATTTGAAAGTTGAACAACTTCCTCGTATAATTCCAAACTTTGATCTCAATTCTTCAAGTGACATCACATCGACCTTAAAATCACTTAAATTTAAAACGAAATCATTGAAATTCGCTTTTAGTCATGATGAAACTTATTCTCTGACATATGGAAAGGAATACAATAATTGGAAGCAGCTTGTGATTGGCGAAGAAGCTGACGATAATTCTTCAAAGACATTCTACTGCGGTGGATCAGTGACATCCATTGATTGGGCTCCAACGAATCATGAGAAGAATTTCTTAGCTGTTGCTGTTAACAACATTGAAAGTGGAATTAAATTAGATTTAATTGAACCATTAACATCATGTGTGCAACTTTACGAGTTCGAAAATCTCCGCAACGAAGAGTAAGAATTAACATAAGCAAAGGAAATGAAAGTTTTTTATAGAATAATTTTTTTATCAGCTTCCAGAGATTTAATGGCATCGGAAAGCTCAATTACGTGTTTGTGGTCAACGATGGTCCAATCTGTTCAATAAAATTCCATCCATGTGAAACATTTGCAATTGAAAAGCGAATTGGATTATTGGCTGTGGCAAGTGCAAACCAAAGTGTATTAATTTACTCACTTCCGTACCTGAATAATGATAAGTCGATTGTCTTGCCACTTGTTCCAAATTTAATTTGTAAACTTCATGAAGATGACGTTTTGTTTAAAGAATGTTTTCTTATGCAAACGACGCGTGTTGCTTGGCATTACACAACAATTTCGGATGAGAACATTCTTGCTGCAGGCTTCGTTAATGGATGTGTTGGACTTTGGAATTTAAATAACTTTGACAGCGAAGATGCGATAAGGACGACAATTTATCCGTGCAACGTCATTCAAGCTCATCACGAACCTGTCACATCATTGGATTTTAAATCTACAAAAGGTCGCGATTATTATTTGCTTACATCGAGTTTAGATCGTAAAGTGAAAGTTTACAAAATCAATGAAATGAGAATTCAAGAAATTGACAATCATTATGCATCGAGTCGAGTATTGTCAGCTGTTTGGTGGTTGAACTGGCCGTCGTTTCTTCTGAGCTTCGATGATTCCTACTCTAATGCATTTCCTGCTGTTGTCAATCGTCAACCTTTAGAATTTGGTTCAAGAAACACGACAATCCTTCCAGCTGTTCAATCGTCGATCATCAGTCTGAGTATTAATCATTGGGACAATACTGTGTTGCTAGTTTCAAACTCAGGTGATGTTTTCAGTAACACAATGAACCAAATGCTTCATCATCTACACAAAAAGAAGCCAGATTCTTATGATATTCGCATTCAGTCGTCGACTGATTACAGTAAAATTAAAAGCGAAGAAAATGTTGGAATTGTCTTTCAAGATTTCAAAGTAAGAAACTTTTAAAATACTTTCAATGTTGATGTAATTTATTTTTACTTTTTCTTTCTTTATCATTAGTGCAAAATAAAACATCAGAAGAAATATCGGCAAACACCTTTAGATCACCTCAATGAAGTTCAAATTAATCAAGACTGTTTCAATCGCAATGAGAAAAGTCATCGTTTTTATGCTTTGGCCTACGAAACTGGTTTTATTCGTGTAAAATATTACAAGAATTTGAAATGAGGAAATTCTTGTTGTTTCTCATTATTTTTCAAGTATTGCGGACTGTGGTGAGGAAAGAAACGAAAGAAAAATTGTTCTTAAAAAATAATAAAGAAAAAGCATAAGTTATGCTTTGATCAAGAATTTTGAATAAAACTTGGATTGTTATAAATAAAATCTATAAATGAATTCTATGCTTTATTATTGATTATTATTGATTGTATGAAACAAAAAGCGATATCAGACGTTGATAACGATCATATCGATCGATTTGTACAACTCAGGAATTTAAAATTGTGTCTTTGCTAAATTCCTCCTCCTTTGTCCTTGCTCTTATCACGTTCTTGATTAAATCAAATTCGAAGAATTCAAGATTGATATCATGTGAAAAGATGTCAAATAACATAAAATTCATCATCTTATAAATATTCTGAATGATAAAATTAAAGTTTTGAATCAAAAGGATAATAAATGAAAACATCTGACAATAAACAATTCTGACCAATCTCTGACATTGATCAGAATGCAGTCACACCAACACTTTCAAACAATCCTCTCTCTTCTTGCGAGCGAAACTTACAGAAATCAACGCTGTGTGGATGGAATGCTTTTTTCAAGCAACTGTAAATCTAAGTTTCGTTCATTCAATAGTTAGCTGTTGGCCTGAGTAGTTCTTTCTTGTTCATTTTTCGTGTGTTCGTCTTTTTTTAAAGAAGTTTTTTTAAATAAAGTGAAAATTTTCATTTCATCATCACGAAGATAAGAAGAAGGAAAAGAAATCGAAGTGAATTTGTGTGTGCTTTACAAAGATGTGCTAAATTCTTATACCTATGATCATCATCTGAAATTAATAAATGAGTTTCTGTTTGTTCCAAAAAAGATCACCATAAACGTGAATAGAAAGAAAAAGCAGAGAAAATATAATTGAAATATCTAAAGTGAACGTCGAATGAGTGATTAACTAAGTTAAGAGAAAAGAAATAAGAACAAACGGCCAACGCGTTGTGAAAAAAAAAGGAAAAAAATTATTAATAATTCGAACGAAACGTTGGAATATTGAGGTGGTCCAAATGCCTTGTTCTGCTGTTACATTGTCTCTTGCGACCGTACGTTTACGTTTATTTACTAAAATAAAAATAATTTTGATGGATCACCGCACCCATCCATGATAATTTTGGTGGTCGGAGTGAAATGGTCATTAAAAAGTCTAAGAAATCTTGTTCCATCTTACAGGTAATTTCGATCGTGTCGGTTGCATTACTAGCGATAGCATTTTCCACTGACAATTGGCTGAGTTATGAAGTTAAGCGGAAAGACATTATGGTAATTATATGATAACAATAACGATGTGCTATCACCCTTGGGAGTCTTTCGATTACATTTTAGCAATAGAAATGTTTCTTAACCGCAACACTCGCAGCTATCGTCCATTTTGTGTTTCTCAAACCCGCGTTTAACATTTTTTTCTTTTATATTATTTCTCGATTCTCTTCTTCTCCACCACATCGTCTTGTGTTTTATATCTTTGCCGATGTTTGTGCATAACACCAATTCAATTCAAGTTAAATCAATCGTTGAATTCCATCCGCTAAGGCGAGCCTTTTAACTTTAACTTTTACATCAAAAAATCATCGTTTATGAAACTAAACAGATCGAAATAACGAAGAAGAATGTTGATCGAAGAAGTAAATCTTAAAAGAGCGAGAAAAATAAAAATTTGTAATGAAACATTCGTCATGGTGTTCACAATAGGCGACTGAATTGGTTGTAAGGGGAACGAGAATGAATTCAAAGATTTGCTATGTGTAAACGTGACGAATCATGAAAAATTCTACCTGTTGCATGATTTTTACAGATTTTTTCATGTTTCAAACCTCTGTTTGTTTAATGTTAAATATTTTAAGTTGTATAGTTGGATAGGAAATTCAAATAATCCTTGAAAGTCTCGGAAGAATCTTCTCATCTGTAGAACATCATTCGGTTATATCATACTGGGATTGTTAGTGATTGTTCATGCTGCTAATTGCAAACTTCCATTCTAATCAGATGCAAATGTGTTTAAGATTTGTTTCTCTCAATTGTTTGTTGCATAATTCAATTCTGATTCATTGTTGTCTGTAGGCGACGAGTGATAATTTGAATAAATTTGAATGCAAGCCAAGGTTCAATTGAATTACTTTCATGCTTTCATGCTTCATGTTTGTGTGCTAAATATTTTTTTTCAACTTCATGTGCTTTCTTATCAACACTTTTCTGTGTCAACTTTCTTCATATGTGAATATCTACTTAAATTTCTCTTCCCCCAAAATGTGATTAAGACATTACAATGCACAACCAATAACCAGTTCCTGAAGTTAATCGCTTTTTAGCGCTTGTTAAAGTCTTGTCAGAAATTCGCCATAATCCAGAAGTCATGAAAATATTTCTCAAGAATGCTTTTAATGTTCGCAAAAAGAAAACAAATTTATTTAGTTAACATATGAAAAATATTTAGAACCGGTTTGGCACCTTGATAAAATCTATTACTTGAGTGTCGCAGGCAAATACTGAAAGAGACGAAATGATGTAAATTGAACGGTTTACTGATAGTTTTTACGATTATAATAAACTTGAAGAACTTGAAGAAATTTTATTATTTCAAGAGTTGTCTTATCAAACGAGATTTTCTAAATGAAAGAAACAATTTCAAAGTTATTCCAGAAATATTTTCCCGTCCTTCTAATTTCTAAAGTAAATATTTCGTACTCTTTAACTTACTGTTTTCTTATATCTTTTCTTATATCGTTTTCTTCGTCAATCATCGATTCAACAATACCTGAGAAAGAGAATTTCTATTTCAAAGTCGCTCGATCGAATCAAAATACAAAGTCGAACAAGAAAACATTTAAATTTATATTTTTGCATAATTAACTACATTAATAATCGAATCGGTATCAACAGTGAAACGCGGACTCATATCTTAAGTGAGCCATTAAATTCTTGTAAATCGTTTAAATGCTTTGTCTTTGTTAATCACTGGACAATAACCTTTCGATTGTTGCAAATTGCACTTTGATTTTCCAATAAATTGTGTCATAAATTTGGACTTCCAGAGATCAATGATCCAAAGCATGAGATTATTTTCAAACAACTCTTCAGTGCATTGTTATTCTATTGATATCACATGAATTTCTCCATTGCAACACAATTGAATTTACTTTCACTGTGACTTTGTGTCATACTTCGTGTGTATGCGTTTCTGTTGTTTATTTCTTTTACGAAACGTCTTTTGTTTGCTTCTTAATATAAAACGTGATACGCGTTGTATATTTCAGTTTAATATTTTACAACACAAAAAATACGCGCCTGCAAAAAAAAGGCAATAAAAACTAAAGCGTTAAAGAAACATCTTTTACTTACATCTCATAACATGGAAAGTGTTCATAGCAAACGAATGCATGAGTTGATGATGATGAGGTTGATGACTATCAATGCGTGGCGAACGAATTGTTTCGCAATTTTCTCTTGTCGGTCTCTTCTTTTATTCATATCTATCCTCAATTGTGCTTCATATTACTTAGTCTTTAATAGGTATCTATGTGGTTCTCTTTGACTCTATCTATGATCCCACAACAACCAACTCCTTTGAAAACATTTCATAATTGAATTCAAGTTCATCTTGATTCGTATCCTGTTATAATCGTAAATAATTCTTCTTTATCTTTAAGAGGGTTCTGGTTTTATGTTTCTTCTCTTGTTAAAATAAACCAACCCGCAGTGTGTGTGTTTCATTGAAAAAAATCATGACACAGAAAGAAAAAACATCATTTGAAAATGGCAACACAGCTTACAACTTAAGGCATTACATGATAATTGAATCACATCTGAAAATTACTTCATATCCATATAAATAAATTCAAAGCTCATGGTTTCACCCGAAAAGCGAAACCAGACGAGAAGATTTATCTCCATTCATTGATTTCTTTGTGAGACTGTAATTAGGCGGTGTCGTTGTAACACAATAAAACTTGCGACGATGTCTTGTTATGATCTACGTTTCTACGCTTTACTTTTCTGTCCCTCCTGTATTTAAGCTAACTGAAAGTGCAAAGAAACTCAACAATTCCACATAAATAGCACGAAAAGAAATTGCAGAGCTACGTGTTCAAATGTTTGATATTTGGGCATGGAAAAAAGGCTTAACGAAGAGAAGAAAAAAAATTTTCACTTTAAACATTCCATGGATATTAAATGAAAGTTGATGACAGTGGTTGGAAGAGTTTTCGATTTTTGTTAACTCTTTTTCTTTTTTTCCATTATGAGTAGATATTTGGAATCATGGACAGGTTTCTGATCAGTTTTCTACTTTTGATGATTGATAAAGTTTCTCAGACAGAAATTCCTTCGTTTCCCAACACTCACACAACCACATTCCACCTTATGTCGCGACGTGCAGAGCGAAAAGCAGAATGAAGAGAATTCTCTCAATTTTTTTCTTCTTATTCTTCTTGAGTCAAGTAGTAAAGTGTAAGAAGGTGCTGTTGGTGTTTGTTTACTCTTGAGCGTGAGATGATTTATAGGATGTAAGCAGGAACCTGTTTTCTAAAATTCCTTCTTATGTCGAGTGGTAATCTGATCTAACTATTGTAGTATGTACAAAAAGGGGAAATGTGTCTGTCTAAGAATGACATTAAATTCTTCTTACGGCTTCTTAAAACATTAAAAATTCTGGGCTCAATTATTTCTTAATGATACAACATTAATCTGATATTCTCAAAGTAATAATTTCGAGTTCAATCTCCGGTTAATTTGTTAGCGCAAAAATTGAAATTTAAGAAGCTTGTTTGTTGATAAATTATCATCACTCGTTTGATTAATTTCACCAGCAGCATCTCTGAGCAAAGAGATTGGAATGCACCTTAACAAGTCAACACGTCAGCTTGGATCATCGTGTCATGATTAAAAAATATTTTAAAATTATAATTTTCTTCAACATCGAATTTACCGTTTCGCTGTCCGATTAAAGAAAGAATGCTAACGACACACACGCAATGCCGAACACAGAACTCGCGCGCGAGACTTGATTTGTTTTAATAACTTTCCGCTTTTATTTCTTCTTTTCGCTCAAGACTGCGAGTAACAGAACGAAATATTTTTTAAAGTTTTCATTAGAAAATTATGCGACTGGAACATACACATAATTAAAAAAGCGGTTTATAGTTTAAGCTAATGGCATTTAATGAAATGTAAATACTTAAGAAACCGTTTAATTTCTTTTCAATTGTTTCGTCTATTCATCTGACAATTGTTTAATTAAAAGAATTAGATATTTAGGCAAAGAAATTGAACGATTTTCTTTCATCTAACGATACATAATTTTGTGCTTTCTTAAAAATTGTAGTAAAATTGTTGTCTTGAGTGTGCCAGCAAACGGGCGTTTTCATTCATGAATTAATAAATAAACGCTAGCAGCAGCGCGAGTATTTTAATGAAGGTCATGTTAGTGAATAACGAAATGAAAGAAATAAAATGAAAAAAGAAGTGGGAAGCTTAAAAGGTATTTTTTCGCGCTGTTAAGCAATTTGAAGTTGCTACAAGTTGACTCGACTAAAGAATTTTAATTTTTTTTGTTGCATTGCATTGCTTTGACAAATGTTAAAAGTAACATGAAATTATGGGTTACGTTCAAGACTCTAAAATTAGAGTTGAGATGAAGAATTCAGGTGCTGGTATTTAACATGCAGCACATTTGGTACATAAATTGCCTAAGGAAATTCTTGTTGTTCACATTCACTCGGTTAGTTGAACTTTGCAGTGTCGGAAAAGTTTCAAGCTTCGCCTTATAAATTCTTTAAAACGTAATCACGAAGTTTTTATGACATCTTTCATCTTTCACACTGATAAGCAAAGAACGTAATTGAAAGACTCGAATACGACAATGAAAGACTTTCTGCTTCGTTGACAATCTGGAAATTAACATTCACTTCATTCACAGACTTATGCAGCTAAGCACAGCGACTCACAACAGTTAGTTGAGCAGGTGAACACAAAATATTATTTCTACACGAGAACGCGCGGTCTCTTCCGCAACTGTTATCCGAAGGAGCGTCCACCAGTATCAGCAGGTTAGTCAAATTAAGTTTCCATTTTCTCAGGCTGTCATTTTCATACGCAAAAAATGTGAATAAAATTAAATTTCCTAGACGGAATCAATCAATTTATTTTCTAATCACTAGTTTTCGTTCGATTAATCACAACCATTCAAGAGTGAAGGAAAAAACTTTCGATTTTATTTATCTTTTTTGCATCCGTAAAATTCAAACTACAAAATATCTGCGGTGGTTGCTTCTACTTATCATTTATCTAATTTATTTCCGTCGGTTTTTAACTTCATCAAGCATTTAAATCTTTATTTTATTTTGATATATTTTTGTGAATTTTCCCATCAGATACATTTTTAATCAACTCTTCGGTTAATAAATCTTTAGTGCATCATGTTTTCTAAAATGATAATCACGAACTGAATATCAAGATGAATAAATAAATGATTTTGCCATCGAAACAAATATCGCTACAAGAAAAAAAGCTTTAAAGTTTAAACAAACAACAAAACAATTGAAAATTTTTATTTGTTCAAGGTGATAAACATTTACGAATATAAAATGAATGTTGAAGTAGAAGTTATTAAAACTTTAATTCGCAAACGTTTGTGTTCCACCATTGTCACACATGTGTGACATCATTTTGAGATTTTTACGAAATAATAAAAAATAAATGTAATTGCTTAATATTTTCATTCAATATTTATTGTTTAATCTTCAGTTAACAATTGTTGCTTAATGACTGTGTTTATATTAATGTGCATGTCAGTTTAAATGAGCTTTTAATGATAGGAATGATATGTGCATAAATATATAACTTTCTTTACTTCCTTAATCATTAAGATGATGATATTTATGTTCGATATACGATGAAAGTTTCATCTCATCTCCCAACATTTTTTATTTAATCTTGATTTCACAAAATCCGACATGTTTAGTAAACACACCACGAATATTTGTGGGAAATGTCAGACATTCGTTTTTATTTGAAGCATAAATGTAAAAGCTTCATAAATTGGGTTATTCTCGTCATGCTTCAATATCTTTTTTTATGTCACGTTATCCGTCTCGACATTCAGTCTCGAGAGTAAACTAAGTCAATTTTTTTCTTCTTGATCTTCCAGTCGAACTTTATTTGTCACCGATTGAAACCCATTGCTCGAACATTGATTACTTCCCAACAATTGAGAATGGAGGCGAAACAGAAGAATCAACGAGACTTCATCTTGCACGAAGTGTTATTGCGCTCTTTGTTTTGAGTTTCTTTGCGGTTGTCTGCGCATTCTTCACGGGATTATCAGGTAAAGTTGATGATGGCATTAGACGACAATGAGATATTCAAATATAAATGTCTTTATAGGATGTTGGAGACGTTCAGCTGGTGCAATCACAGCAACAGCTATTCTGATGTTGACAGCGTGTTTACTTGCAAGTGGTGCAATGGGATTATGGCATACAGTTGAGTTCTTCGAGAAGGAGAAAGTTGTTGGTCCCGAGTTCTTCCAACAATGGCCTCAGGTGAGTTCAACATTAATCCTCTTGTTTTAAAGAACTTCAAATAATTCCCATGATCTTTCAGATTCTGAAAGATAAAACTCAAATTTCGTACGATTGGTCGTATATTGTCTCGTGGGCTGCTGTTGCTTGCATGTTAATTGCAGCAATTCTCTTATCGGGCGCTGCTGTTTGTCTGCGAAGTGAACGTGAAAAGGAAGAACAACTCAATCTTCAATATCTTATGCCAGTTTATCCACAGAAACAACCCGCCTATGCATATCCACCATACCCCCAACAAGTCTATCCTGGAGCTTTCTATGGATCGCAATACGGTCCCGGACCAGGTCATTACAACTATTAAGAGAATATAAAAGGAAAGCCATTAAAATAGATGAAAGTGAAATAAATTCAAACTTTCACAAACATCATCAACTCGCTATTCTTCACAATTATTTTAAAAAATTAAAACAAATCATACTCGGTGCCTTGATTTCTTATCAAACAATTTTTTATTAAAAAAAGATTTCTCCATAAACATAAAAAAATATTATTTTGATTGACATGTGGTGAATGCAAAAATGCTTTTGCAAATATGGTTTGAAATTTCGGATGATTTTAAACATCCTACAGAAGACTCATAAAACCTTACCATAAAAGTATGAAAATCTCTTAAGTATAAGTTAAGTCTTGAGCAGATCAACAAGTAATAAAAAAGTTTTATTATTCATTTTAAAGATTAACGCAAATAGATTTAAGAAAAAGTTAAGATTCGACAATACAAAAAATATAAACATAAAAATTTTGCGTAGGAAGGAAAATAATAAAACATAAAAAGAAACGAGATACATAATAAAACACTTCAGCGATTCCATTTCGTGAATCATCTGCATAGATGTAAATATTTAAACAATTATTTTATGTTTGTACTTCAATGTGTGACAAAATACGAATGAAAAATCGATTGTAGATCAGCTTCTTAATTGAAGCTTTTGAAAGCACAGAAAATTTAAAAATAAAAGAAAAAGATCAAAACTGATGATGGTCAGAAAATTTATAGGAAAAAATTCGAAATTGTAATTTAATTTATGCATGAATTTGATTTGGGAAGATGGAAAATAATTTTAAATAATCTTTTTGCTGTTTTCGGAGCTTGCTAATGAGGTCGGATAAGAGTACGAATAAAGGTCTAAATAAAGGTCTAATGAATGGATAATTGGAATTGAAATGGGATAATCTGAAAATAGAATTAAAAACTCTTCTTTTTCTAATTAAATTTCTATGATTCCGCATAATCTATTGAAAACAACATTCTTGTGATCTGTGCCCATGTAAGTAATATTTTATTAGTGATGATAAACATTTAACAAAACAAGAGAAACTTTCTAACATTCCATAAATCATTTCTTATTAAGTTTTGATTTGCTTGAACTTTTGGCTTCGTTATTCGCATGTCGATGACCGAAAATTATTCGAATCTTCTCATCCTCGTCTTGTGGTTTCTCTTCAATAAGTGACAGCGGAGATTTCATTTTAAGTTTCTGACTTATGACCTGTAATAAAGCAAAGCTTATTAAATTTTATTTTACGGAAATATTCATTAAAAAACCCGACCTGTGACAATAAAACTTTTCTGCTGTCATTTTTCATTGCCAATAATAAATCCAACCATGTCCACGTCACGTTATGATACTCAAGATTCGGAACTGTTAAGCATACGTTTGTGATGTCTTCCAAATTCTTCTCTTTATTCCCTTTGTAACTTAAACGAACAGGAACTTGAGGAATTTTGATATAAATGAACAATTTGTTCTGTTTCGCTCTTTCACGCATCTGTAAAAATTAAAGAAGATTAAAAATTTGATTAAAATTATCACCACAAACTTACAATCTCAGCATCATCTTTCTCAATCTTCACATAAAAACTGGAATCCTTCGAATGCTTCTTTGAACGTGAACTTTTCTTCGATGTCGAAGGCTTTGCATCGTCAATCTCTTCAACATAAGCTGAAGTGTCACGATCAGGAAAGCAAAATTTCAACATTGTTGTGTAAAATTTCTTCGTGATTGCGATGGTGATTGGAACCACGTTAATCTCAAAATGTTCCTTTACAGATATTCCACCAACTGGCGGCTTCTCACGACAAAACACACGAAGAACTCGTTTGTGGTCAATCGGCATGTCACGTTGAATCTCCGTTGGACTTAAAATGACTTTATAAGTGTCACTTGGAATTAAATTATTAATTCGAATGTAACCAAGTTCTAACAAATGTTCAATCGATTCATCGCTCTTTGAATTTTTCGTATACAAAAAGTTACTCAAAATCAAATCTGCAATTCCTATTTGTCCATCATCTTCTGTCAATCTCCACTGTGCATGTTTAAAACAAATTTCATTACATCTAACAATCGACAATGGCTTATCTGTTCTTATTGCGAGTTTATTCGAAGCATTCAATTGTGTCTCTTTATAACACGACAACATCATGTCGAGTTCATCACTTTGGAACGTCAGTTCTTCTTTGCAATCTTTAATCATCTTCTGCACTGCATTGTATTCATTTCTCAATTCTTCCGTGTCTTCGCCATCAACACGAGCTTTCGCAATGAAATGAATATCCTTCTCAAGACTTCTCAAATGTGACATCAGACTGAGAATTTCAGTTTGAAGATGTTGAATTGGTCGTTTTTGATCTTCATGACTGTGAAGTTGAAGTTCAAATCTTTTCTTTATCAAACGTTCGTGACGTTCTCTTCGACTTGGATCAACATAAAGCAGAAGATTGTTAACAATGTCAAGAATCATTGAATATTGTGTTGATGATGTTTGAACATCTAAATCGTGATGCATTAGAGTAAAAGCATCAACTGGTTCATCTTGCTTCTCCCAAGGACTTAAAGTTTCTTCCGATGGTGGAAGTGCCGGCAATTCTGTCATGTTATCGATTGTCGTTTCACCATAACTTACATAAAAGAATTCACATTTACAACGTGACACAATCCTTTGTAATTGATTTGGTGTTGATTTATCGCTCAATTCACCAACATTCGATCCAACTGACACAACGCCACCGACACTTTGTCCACTTGCAAGATTGGCAACCAAGTGTGGTATGTCAGAGAACTCTGTCGCGTGCGTTGTTGATGTTGTTGTCGGGCAACTTTTGTCACTCTCTTGAATGTTGTCAAGTGTCAGCCACATGATTTTCGCCATTTCTGTCGTCTCTTCATCATTAACTGTCGCATAATATTGCATGCATTCAAGTGAACCAACCCAAGTTGTCTTTGACACAACTGCACTATCACGCCATACTGGTCGATGAACACGTTGAAAGATTTCCGCTTTTGCAGCACTTAAAATCACATAACCGGAAGTTTCACAGCCTTTCAACAATACTTGTGAATTCACCAAAGAAATGAACCAATTGTAATGAGCTACGTCATTATCTTGACATGCTTTTAATCCTTTCATTTGTTGTTCAGTTGTTTGCGTTGATAAATCATCACTAAACACAACAAGTTTATGATCGGCTTCTGATACAAGCTTCTGAAGCATTGAAATTGATTGTGATGTTTGCTGATGTGGTTTATTTTTACCCAAATTCGTTGTTGTTGCTGTTTGTAAATCAATTGATTGACTTTTCGAAACTTCTTTACGAATTCCTTTTAAAGCTTCTGTCGAAAGATTTGCTTTTAATTTTTGTGACTTCCAAAATGAATCAAACAAACCAAAAGCAATGTCGCGGTTGTTCTTTGTCCATGCACCTTTCAAATCATGAACGACAAGTTTATGTGTTGGACTTTCTTTATGTCTTCGATCATCAATGTTGACCATCGCTTCACGTCCGTAAGAAACTTTCGCGACACTTAAGAAATAATCGCGACAAATATCACGCGAAATGTTTGGAATACTTTCAGAACTTGAGTCATTCTTATCACTATTAGCAACTGATCGTAACCAAATCTCAGCATCATTCAATTCACAATTCATGTAAAGAATGCTCCAATCAGCTCTTGGTCGATGAATTAATCCATCATCGATAGGATTTAATGCCAACATGTGTTCACTTGAGTAAGAAATTCGACCACCATTCAATTGAAACCCACGATGAAGTGCATGCGACATCCAATAGCAAACTTGAAACGAATGCATACTCATTTGAAGATGTGCTTTCTTATAATGACGACTTAATTGCTTTTTCTTTGGTCGAACATTGTTGAACACCGGTCCACGTCGTGTTGGACGCGTTACGCCCGATAAAATCAACTTTAAACTCTCAAACCATCGCAATGTGCTTCCATACAAATCAAGCTTTGGTAGTTCACCATTTAAACTTTGCTTCGTTTCAAATGAACATGAAATGTTAAGATTTTGCGATCGGAATGCACGAAACGAATCGTGAACTTGATTACTTGAATATTCTGGAAGTTTATCAGGTGCACATGGCATCACTGAATGATGATCATTCGGGTTTCCATTACAAATCCAATTCAATTTAAATGTTAGTTTTAAATTCGGTAATAAAATTAAACGACAATCATCATAACGTGATGCTGTTCGTACCCAAACTTGAAGATCACCTTTGAACATAATTTTTGCATTTGCCCAAACAATTCCGCAATTATTCCAAGTTAATTCCATTTCTTCTGTTGTGTTGTAAGGATCAAGTGAAGCATGTAAAAGAATTGTAAATTGCTTTGCGATTGTTGTTAAACGACCATGAAAGAGTAAACGCATTTTATCCCAAAATGGAAGTGGAAGGCTTGGATCTTTCGATGGTGCAAGAATCTTCTCAAAACTGAGATTATATTGCGCCATTACAGGTTCCCAACATGGTCCAAATGCGTAGCATAAATAATCAAGTTCCCAATCAAAATCATGGTAAAATTTCAATGACGTCATACCGCGTTGAATGGTAAAATCATCAAATGGTGCACCAATTTCCACGACGTTGTCACGTTTCGCACGTTTCGATGCAACTTGTTCCGCACCACATAAAAGACCAAACATGTGCATTGATGTGACATGAAACATTGGCTGTGGATAGTCACGCAACATGAATTTCCATTCGGCACATGACCAGTTGATTGCGCGACACCACAATGTGACAAACTCCATTGGTTCATCAGGCCAAGGCGTTTCCTCGTCAATTTCTTGCATTGTTTTAGTGACGTTGTCATATCCATGAATTGATGGATCGTCAAGACAATAAAGCTTCAAATCTGTCATGATCCAAGCGAAAAGTCGGGTTCTTGGTGGCGTTTCGTACATTTTCTTTGATCGATCGATGTAAATTTCTGAATTCTTCTTTATCAACTTCTCATTAAGTTCCTCAACATAACCAGCAGGAAGAAGCAAACGCTGTGATCTTAGTTCGTTGATTTTTTGATCAAGTGTCTTCTTACGTTTTAAGCTTTCATTATATTCATCTAACAATAAAACGTAATTATCACGAAGTTTAACTTCGAATGGATCGTCACTCATTTCGAGAAGGAATTCATTGATTTGTATGATGAGATCACGGGGCAGTGGAGAATTTTCAGTGAACGGTGATTTCTTGTAATTGTGAAGAATCTTAAGCCATTTGTAAATACTCACAAACTCATCTTTGATTGCACTCGAGAAATCGTGATCGTATGGAAAAATTCCTTTAAAAGCTCCAATTTTAACAGCCCAAACATTGTTCTTTGCAAGCTTAAAGTGTTCATAGTGTTTCCTTTCTTCTGTTAAGACACTCAATTCATCTAATGAATTTATCACAATGTCATCAATTTCAAACATTTTCATTTCATCGATTGACACTTGAACATTTTTAACTGAAATGTCGCAGCCTTTCTTTGTTGATACGAAAATATTTCCAACTTTTCCACTCATTGTATGTCGACTTGAGATGTCAATTGCGAATGAAAATTCTTCTTTTACACATAAATCAATTTTTGGGATATTTCTTGGTGATGTCTTTTCAGTTGAAGAATTGTCAGTGACAGTTGGTGGAACTTTGTTTGTAAAATGTTTGTGAACCTCTGAGATTGAGTTGGAAAGTTCTTGAATCTCTGTGCAGAGTGTAAATAAATGCATGTGAGTGTTGGGACACCAATTGACTTCAACATTATGGACAATGTAAATAAATAAAATGTTATCTTCTTGCGATCTCTCAATACGAACAATTTTTGTAGCAATGAAAGTTTTCGAATATTCCGATAAATTGTTGATTGATGCATTTTTAGAGAAATCAACAAACGACATTTGCATTCTTTCAAGTTCAATGATTTGTTTGGTTGGTGACAAAGCAATTTTTATCTCAGGAAGATTGAAGAAACTGCACATGTCATGATGATTGATAAAGAAGTTTGTGATGTCAGTAACTTTGAAGTTGATGACGATTTTATCATCAGAAATCATTGACTTGAAAAGATTTTCTTTTGTTTTCATTTTCATCGTTGATTTTCTTTCACTTCGAAGTGCAGAAATTTCATTGAAACATTTCACAGCTTCAACAATAAAATTCGAAAGTGCTTTACTGAATTCAGTTCTGAAAGTGTGTGCTGTTAATTCAATTTTTTTATGTGTTCCATAATCAGAGATTTTACTAAGTAAAACTCCAATATAAAATGCACTCCCACGAACATGAGTCTTCTTTAAATTACTTCCACTAATGTTTCTAACATTTGAATCGAGATAAAAGCAGAATGACTCAATCATTATTTCAGCATTCCAATTTCTCTTGTTTAAAAAGTTCATTGACTTCAAATCACTTTTCTTTATCTCTTCCAATTGATTCATTAACAACTGAGTGTGTGCTAAGTTAAGAAGCGACACTTGATTGTTTGATAATTGGCAAATTGTTGAAATATTCCATAATTCAACACATAATTTTATCACACAATTTCCAAAAAGCTTCTCAAAAGTCTCTGTTGAAATTCCCTTTGTTGATGCTTCCTTAAGTTGCAACTTTTTATTGATCATTTGAGAATTCCTTAAATTCTTTCGAATCCAATCGATGATCTCACAATGATTGTAAGTTAATGTAAATGATTTAAGTTTTGTGTAGATGTTAATGATTTCATTGTTAAACTTAAAATCGATGCTGTGTTGTTCGAGAACAAGAAATCTTTCATTTGACGTGTCAATATTTAATTCATTCAGTTCATAACTGATGCTTGTTGATCCAAGTTTAAGTGGTGAATTTCCATCAATAAGGAAACTCAACTTCCAATTAAGGTTCACTGAGCTAATGTTAGCAAGATAATCATGAATTTGTGATGTGTCATCACGAATAATTGAGAACGAAGTGTTTTGAATTCCAACTGAGAGATGTTTGGGGATGAGAGGTGAAAACTTTTCCAACTTTTGATGAAAAGTCGCATGTACGACTTCTTCATCTTCACCTGTGTCAAATCGTTCAAATTGGTAATCGAGAGTATTTTTTTGCACTTTTCTATCTTTAATAAATTCATAAAATCCTCCATAGACCGCCAATTTCATGTTCTCTAATGCAACTTGAAGCTTTTCAAATGATAAACATCGACTTTGGTCAAACGAGCCATCAAGTGTTAAGTTTAAGTTTATTTCAGCTAAGCAAGGCTGCAAATTCTTTATGTTGTTATGTTTAAGCATTTTCATCTGAAGTTCTTTCAAATTGAATGAGAATGTTAAAGTTTTCGTTCTACTGACGACACTTCCATCGACATTAAATTCTCTTAATGAAGAATGCAACCACCAACCTGGTTCACTTGCACTATTAAGAAGAATAAAAGAAATATTTGAAACGTTGATTCCTGTGAACTATAAAAAGATTGTAAATTCATTTAATTATTGATAAGATATCAGAAAAAAATTACCTGAAAAAACGTAACGAGAACTGATGGAATCTGTTTGATTGGTTCATTTGATGATGACGTTGGTCTACGATCCAAAATCTCATCATTATATTCGATATTTTTATTTATTCTAACATCTTTGATAAATATTTGCACTGGATTACTGATGTCGGAGTTGAATAAATTGCTTTTCAAGGCAATTTCTTCGATTTGTAATTCAAACCCTTTAAATAGGATGTGAACATTACGTGCCTTTGAAAGGGAAATGCTACCGAATCTGATCTTTATACTGGTGAGCTTCATTAACAGAAATCCAATTGTTTTTGGTATAATTCTTTAAAGAAATTTAAAAAAAATTTTTTGAAATTTATTGAATTTTTGCAATCATATTAAAATTGGTTTACCTTGTTAATAAAATATAAATAAATAAAGCTAATATCAAAACATATAAGAAAAAGGACTCCATACTGAAAGTTGACACTTATAACACAGCTAATTAACTAATAATGCAACTAATAATTTTAATTCTTTTCCAATGAATATGATGAAAACAAAAAATTCATCTTCCAAATTACTAAACGCATCCTAATTAAATATGAGTGTGTTTAATAAACATCATAGCAACGTCTTGTTTGTTAAACAAACAATTTGTTTATTTCATGTCTTAAAATAATTTGCGAATAAAATTTCAATGGAATTATCTGTCAATCCAACAGCATTTCAAATAAAACCAGATCTCGATAACATCATTCATACCGAAAATGTGAAAAAAGTTATCCAAAAAGTGTTGTCTGAAACTCTCTCTGGTAAAATAACATTTCTGGCTGCAAGCAATTCTTATAAGAATTTCAATTCCAGATAAAACTTATTCAACTGGAAAAGCAAAGTTATGGACAAAATTTATTGCTGATGAAATAAATAAAAGCTTGAAAGATTCTCTTCGTTATAAACATGTAGTACAAGTTGTAATTACACAAAAGTTGGGACAAGGATTTAAATTCACAGCTCGATGTAGATGGGATAGTGAATGCGACCGTCACACTACCGATTCATTTACGAATGATACTTTGACATGTATTGTAACTGTTTTCAGTGTTTATCTTTATTAAAAGTGAAAAATCGCATGAATAAAGTATTAAGAAAATGTAACGAACTTTTAAATTTGAAAGCTAAAACGTAATTAACAAACGTCGTCATAAATTCTAAACGCACTTTTACTTTTCTTTAAAGAAAATTTCTAAAAAATTAAATTCTGTGGTTTATCGACATGAAATCGAGCTTCATTATTGTACAATAAACAAGTAAAATCTTGAATTTTTTGAATTAAATTTTTCTAAAAGTTGAAAAATGCGAATACGGATGAAGTAAGAGCATTTTAAAAATACTTCAACAAGAAAAACAAAAGGAATGGAAAACAACCAGAATGGATCTGAAGCAGGCTATAATTATTCATCATCCTCTGCATTACAATTTCCATTGATAAGCAACAACAGTTTCGAATTAAATGCAATTTCACTCAGTGATGATTCTGGCTTTACATCATCAAATCTCAATCGAGAAAATGAAGTAAGTTTATTTAAGATTCTTACCAATTAAAATCATTACTGGATGTTATGATTAATATTTTTCAGCATGCTGACTTCAATTCCGATGAATTTGAGGAGTTTTCTCAATTCGATTCTGATTCTGGAATGAGTGCTGAAAATTTCCACACCATAAAGAAAATTCCACCAAATACTTTGATAGTCGAGCCACCTCCCGAATTCGCTGACAATTTCAATAGCAAGTTTTCCACTCAACATACAACACCAGGTACCATCATAAGAACGACTCATATACAAAGTTATGCATCGCGTTTAACGCAAAATATAATTGCCAAAGCTATTCGAACATTTGATCGTCGTCATCCTGCCTCAAAAGAAATTTATTGTGAAAAACATGCAGCAGCAAAGTTGAGAAAGCAGCAGCAAACATCAATGGAGCAGGAGTATTTAAGAAAGAAACGTCTCGGTTATAACATTTACGGCAGCGATTCATTCCTCGACAGTTACAATAAACTTCACTTGAGCAATGGAAAAAATAGCAATTCAAACATAAACATTGTTGAGCCGGATGACGACATCTATGATGAGCCTAACACTGAATATGATGTCATTTACAAAGACAACAAAGATACGATCTTATGTACGAAGCGTATCGTTCGATCATTGGAGAAGAAAAAGATCGATACGCGGGCTCATCATCTCTACAGTAACACTGAAGATTTATATTATGAAAAGTTGAAGACAAAAAGCTCCAACACAAAATTCCAAAGCAACAGCTTCCAAAAGAAGTTTGATAAGTTCCTTCGTAGCAAATTTCTTACGAATAACATGACACCAACGACGACAACATCGTCGATTTTTTATAGTTTCTGTCGTGCTGGCACAAACAACTCCAATTCATGTAATCCAAACTCAAAGAGTTCTCTCAACAGTCGATTATCAAGCTCACATAATTCACTTACTGTTCCCACCAATAAAGCTGATGACAGCATTTTCATCACACAAGCAATGTCGCATGATCAACTTGGTCATAGTTGTTTAGAGATAAGTGACTTTTATAATGTACCAATGGACTCTGACATTTATACTTTGCCAATTGATGTCATTCATCATCAAGAAGATGACGAACTTCAACAACAACAACAATTACAATCTTATCGTTCACATCGAACGATGTCTGATAATAGTTTACTTGGATGTAGCAGCACAACAATTGGTAGTCGAAATCATAAATTCCATCGAAGTAAAAATAAAAGAAGTAAGAGAAAGAAGAGATCAGCTGAAGGCAGTGGTCATGAGAATATACGTAAGATGTCATGTGGTAATGTTGTAAGTTCACAATCATTCGGTAATGAATGTAATCGTGTGCCATCAGAAAAATGTAAAACGAAACTTTCACAATCGTCAATTGATTGTTCATCGAGATTAAGAGGAAAGAATTTGTCATCAGAATCATCGAAAATTATCAAAGGGGATAACAATAACAACAAATATACAAACACAACAACTAGCAACAGTAGCAGTACCAAAAAATCATCACAATTCTCAATTAGTCTCAATTTAAAGCAGAAGTTTTGTAGCATTTTTCGATTTAAAAAATCGTCACAACAGCAGCAGTCGCCATCGAGAAATATTACGCAAAATTTAACTCAAGATGTCAATGAGAAAAAAGTAAATTTGTCAACAAGAGCACTTCCACCTTTACCAGCGGGGAAAGATGATAAAAGCGAGAATGTGGAAGGATTGAACAGTTCGTCGACGATGATGGAAAAGAAGCGAGAATCGACGATGGATTTTGCTGCGAATATTGAGAAAGTTCGTGAGGTAAGTTCAAGCATTCTTTAAATTGTCGAATCGATAACTTACTTTCTTTTCTGAAATTAGTGTGGGTGGTATTGGGGCGCTTTGACATCAGAAGCAGCGGAAAAGATTCTTTCGAATGAACCAGATGGAAGTTTTATTGTTCGTGACAGTTCCGATCTTAATTATATCTTTTCATTGACTGTGAAACTTAATGGCTGTATTCGACATGTTAGAATTGAACAGGAACAAGGAACTTTCTCATTTGGATCTTGTGCTCAGCAAATTAAATGTTCGTATAAATCAAGGACTATTAAAGAGTTCATTGAGAACGCTGTGGAACATTCAAGAAGTGGTCGCTATTTGTTCTTTCTTCATCGTCGTCCTGAGCATGGGCCAATGAGAGTTCAACTTTTAAATCCAGTCTCACGTTTCAAGCATATTCAAAGTCTTCAACACATGTGCAGGTGACTAAAAATGATTTTTTTTTAACTTTAAATCGTAAAAATGGATTTTTTTTGTAAAATGTTTCAGATTTGTTATCTTGAAAGCTGTTCAAAGAAAGGATTTAATTGAGACATTGCCACTTCCTCGTAGACTTCTTGATTATCTTCAAAATAAAAACTTTTTGTCGGAGCTTATTGAAAGCGACAGTTCATCGCAATCCCAAGTAAGTTGAACATGAATGTTGTGACACGACACATGTTGCATGTATTTTAGTCACATGTAGGCATCACTGTTGCTGATCGACATGTCGTGTTGGATATCTGATCATTAATTTCATTTTCTTCTTTCTCTATTTCACAGATTTATGGTGAAAACAATAACAATAATTCTGATACCAATTAAACATAGCAACACTCAAGACAACAATAATTGCAATAATTTTTCTCAGTCTCATATTTGACTATAAATGAAAATTTCCTTCTTTTATAAAGCTTTTCATTCTATTTACTTTTGCGATGTTTATCAGCAACGATTTTAAAGAAAGAAATTCATAAGAAACGAAAATTTGTCTGTTTCACAACGATAACATTGACTTCAGAAAAACAATATTGAAAAGAAATTGCAATTGGGTGCTAATGACGAATTTCTTAAGTGTCAAAAGCTTCAGTTTAATTTTCTCCCATTTCTTATGATGATTTTCTTTTAGATTGTAAAGTTCGAATGGAATAATTCCATTGAAAAGTTCAAACGATATATTTGTATTGAATAGATGTGATTTGTGTCACTTTTGATAATTACAATGAAGAAAAGAAAAAGTTAGTGAATGCAGGGGATGAAAAGTTAATTTATTGACAGATATTCTAACCTAGGTAGTTAGGAAGGGTTCGTCCAACTTACATACGTAATTCGAACTCAAGGAAGAAACTTTTGATATTCAGCATGTGAGGGTTGTAAAAACTTGATTTCTATTTCCAACTTTGTCCATTGGAATAAATTTAAGTGAAGTGAAAAGTAGTTGAATGTGTAATCCTTTCCCTAAAGTTATAATCGTGTTTAAATGCCTAGCATTTATCTTAGAACTGTTTTCTCTCTTCTTACATCACTAAAATAAAACATTTCCATATTTTGTTTCTTCCTTCTAACCGAAATAAATGTTGATTCATAAACTTATATAAATATTAACAATAATAATAAGAAATAGTAAAACGGAATATGATAATCACAACATCACAAATTCTGCAAATAATGATTTTATCCGATGATTAATTACTCAACTTTTCAGTTGTGCTTTTTTCATATTCTTTGAAAAATAGCAAATTAAGTTCATCGTGGATAACTTTCACGATCTTTCCCTTTTTTTCTTATTTTAATGAAAAATGTTTTAAGAATTAAAAAAGAATAGAAAACTAATGTGAAATCATATTGTGATATTATTCATTACAAAAATTTTCATACATAAAGGATAATGAAAAATAAAATTTAGAAAGTTTCAGAAATGAAAACGAAAAATTTAATTTGTTTCAATGAGAATTAATTTATTGTTGCTTTGTAGAAGAGAAAAATTTATAAAGTTAACAAATCATTTGTTCCAAAGTTGCATTAAACGTCATCAGTTCATAATCCTAAAGTTTTCCTTACGATCCTTTGAGCGGTTTTGTTGAATTCTTCTCTGTTTTCGCGCCACATCTTTGAAGCATCGACATTTGCTGGTGATTCGTCGTTTGGTTCAGCTAACATTGAAACTACTGACAAGAGGATTTTTTCAACTGATTGTACTGGCGACCAGCGCTCAGATGACGATTCGTAGCCAAGAGGATCGTCACCAGGTGAATGGAGAATGGAAATGCAAACACGACCATCAGGGAAGATATTCGGATGAAACATCTCACAAAGAAAACTCATTTTAGGAGGATTAAGAGGATAGTCAGACGGAAACACAAGTTTTGCTGGGAAGAGTCCACCTTCAAACACTGTATCAGCTGGCCCTGAAATAAGAAGTAAAAAATGAATATTTATAGAATTCGTAGGTTCAAATTTGATTTTACCAGAAATTAATGCTTCCCATTCGAAAAAGTTTTCTTCTGATACTGGTCCAGCTAAAATCCCTTCAGGTGGATTTATTGAGAGCTCTAAATGTAAAAGAAAAAATCATAACAAGTGTAAACAACTTTTAAAATTGGTGACGAAAATTTTTCTATTTAAATATGAAATTATCTAACGAAAATTCTCTTTCGCATACGTTTATATTCTGCCATTAATCTCCTGAGTGCTTGTCCAGCCATTACAAATATTTATTTGATATTAAATATAATTGAAAATTTAAATAACGCACGAAACACGGAAAACTATTTTATCAATTCTGTGACTTATTTTTAGTTGAAGTCAAATTTTAAAGTAGGGTAAAGGGACATATTGTGGTGACACTCAAATTTGGATACGATTTTCTTCGCTATTTTATATTTTTATGGCACAAAACTTTTTACAGAACTAGACTAGACAGTTAAAAGAACTGCTGTAAAAAGTTTTGAGCCATAAAATTATAGAATAGCGAAGAAAATCGTATCCAAAGTTGAGTGTCACCACAATATATCCTTTTACCCTATTTCCCTAAATCTGCACGTAATTTCTATACGTCCTCATTTATTTGTAAACGTACTCCGTCGTTTATTTTTTCTAAACACATTCTTTTAACAGAACGAATCAGCAAACTCTTGCTGCAAGAAATTTAAAAAAATATATTAAAAGTATAAATAACAGAAGCATTGACACAAAATATTTCAAAGATGTTTGTTTTATATGAAACACCAGCGGGTTACGCTATTTTCAAGGTAAGTTAAGAACTGCATCAATTGAAATACAAAAACATGCGGCAAAATTTATGTTTTAACCTCGAATGTTTACAAATTTAAAAGTTTAATTTTACTTTTTTACTATTCTATTAATAGCTTCTGGATGAGAAAAAACTTAAAGAAGTCGACAACCTTTACCTGGAATTTGAAACACCCGAGAGTGCCAATAAATTGTAAGTAAAAAATTAAAGCATGTGAAGCTATCGACAATGTTCCATTCATGTGCTTGAAATACGCGCTTGGATTTTTAGAGTTGTCGTATATTAAAAATCAAACGCTTCACTCGAAATCGAGGAGAGCATTTATTCGATTTCGTTTTTCATTTGATGAACACATTTTGTTAATTATTTATTTTTTATTTTGAACATATTCAGGCTTAAATTGAAACATTTTGAGAAATTTGGAGATACAACTGAAGCTCTTGCAGCTGCTACCGCTGCTGTTGAAGGAAAACTAGCAAAATCTCTTAAGAAGACATTGAAGAAGCTTGTCGATGATGATGTTCAAAATCAGCTTGCAGTCGCTGATGCCAAACTTGGAAGTGCTATCAAAGATAAACTTTCACTACAATGCGTTTCTAACACCGGAATTCAAGAATTAATGCGATGTATTCGTTCACAATCGGAATCTCTTCTTGCTGGACTTCCTAAAAAAGAAATGACGGCAATGTCACTTGGACTTGCTCATAGCTTATCTCGATACAAGCTCAAATTCTCTCCAGATAAAATCGACACAATGATTGTTCAGGCTCAATGCTTATTGGATGATTTAGACAAGGAACTCAACAATTACATGATGCGAGCAAGAGAATGGTGAGCACAATTTATTACTTAATTGACTTAAATATTCTCATATGATGATCAACACAAGTGCCATAGATTCATCTTCTTATTTCGATGAGATCTTCTTCACTTGATCTGATGAAACGAAAGAAATGTTAGAACTAATTATTTACCACACATTAAAGAAAGGTTTTTATGATTCTCAGGTATGGTTGGCACTTCCCAGAACTTGGAAAGATCTTGACTGACAATATTGCATTTATAAAGACAATTAAAACAGTTGGAACACGCGACAATTTCAGTACATCGGAATTGTCTGATATTTTGCCTCCGGATCTTGAAGATAAAGTAAAAGAAGCGGCTGAAGTCTCAATGGGAACTGAAATATCCGAGGAAGATATCATAAACATTGTACAACTTTGCGATGAAATTTTGGATATTCATGAATATCGTACACATTTGTATGACTACTTGAGAACACGAATGATGGCAATTGCACCAAATTTAACTGTTCTTGTTGGTGAAACAGTCGGTGCTCGTTTAATTGCTCATGCAGGCTCTTTGGTTAATTTAGCTAAACATCCAGCATCAACAGTTCAAATTTTGGGTGAGTTTTACTTCATGGTTTTGAATTTAAATCCAAGTCCATAATTATTGATGATATTACTTGTCATGGTTTCGCATTTGAATGATTTTAAAAATGATTCAACTTTTCTCTTGGCTGTCTGAAATTTTCAAACTTATCATAATAAATATATTGAAGGATTTCTTAAACTAACTTGTGGAAAATTTATAAATCTCAACAGGTGCTGAAAAGGCTTTGTTTCGTGCATTAAAGACGAAGAAAGATACGCCCAAATATGGTTTAATTTATCATTCAGCTCTTGTTGGACAAGCAAGCACTAAGAACAAGGGAAAGATTTCACGTTCACTCGCTGCGAAAGCTTCTCTAGCGACACGTGTTGATGCATTTGGTGAGGAAGCGACATTTGACTTGGGAACTGATCATCGTGCACGTCTTGAAACACGTTTACGAATTCTTGAAGAAGGAAACATGAAGAAACTTTCAGGAACGGGAAAAGTCAAAGCAAAGTTCGAGAAATATCATGCAAAGAGTGAAGTTAAATTGTATCCAACTGAAGAAGACAACACAATTCCAATTGTCATGGAGAAGAAACGAAAATTATCAGAAGGAAAGAAATTGATTGAAGAAATTAAGGATGAGCCTGAAGATGATGAAGCTGGAACTTCAGAACCACCGAAGAAAAAGAAGAAGAAGGTGAAGGAAGAGCCATTGGATGACAGTCAAGTTGCTGATGAAACAATTGAAGAAACGCCGAAAAAGAAAAAGAAGAAGAAGCATCAAGACGCTGATGAGTCCATGACTGTTGATGAGCCAGCAATTGAAGAGACGGAAGCTCCAAAATCTGAAAAGAAAAAGAAGAAGAAGAAAAATAAGCAAGAAAGTGACGAGTAGATTTGTAAGTTGAGAATATTTTGTAATTTATCATTTAATTCTTTTATGATGATTCCCCATCCATGGTTTCGCAATTTTATATGAAATTCTGTGATTTTATCAACACTCTTGGCTGTCTGAAATATTTATTGAATCATTACAATCACAATTACAATTTTAATAAATCAATTAAAGATTTCTTTTTATATTATTCCACAGTTCAACTTCTGAATAGGAAACTCAGGTCTTAGAGTTGACATCTCGGAATAAAAAATTATTTTGTAAGATAAAATTGATTTTAATAAAAAACTGTTTCTTTAATTGAATATTTTTGAAACAAAAGTGTTTTATTTTCATTTGTTTAATTTGATTGTGAAGTTTTTCGATTGTTGGGTATCCATAATTAGATTCTAAATTAATTTATTTCAAAAAAAGTTTCTAAAATTTCTTTTTGTAATTAAATTTATCATGAACATTGAAAAGTTTTGAACAATTGAGTAGAATTTTCTTTTTCATTTTAAAACTTTGTTGGACATACAAAAGCTTTTCCTATTAAAAGATGAGAACAATAATAAACCTAATGCAATAATGTTACTCAAATTGCTGTTCAAAGCTTCTCCAAATGCTTTCTAATTTTATTGTAACTTCTGCAACATAATTTATTGCAAATGTTCCTTTTATGTAGAAATATCCTTCCCATGACTTTCTTTTGTTACACGTGATTGCTTCTTAATTCTTATGCTTTCTTCCTTTTTTATTTTATAACTTTTGTGAATTGAAAAGGCAAATATTTGAACTTAGCATTTTTTCGGTATTTTTAAGGAGAAAATGTCTTTGGGGTTTTTGTGGAAATGATGTTTTCTTATTAACAATTTTATTAGTTCACTTAAGCTGGAAATGTACACGACATTACTTCGAGAGTGAGTTCTTACACTACAATTTATAATAAAAATTAATATTTAATTCAATTGTCTTTTGAGCTGATCGCACAAGGATGAACACGGAAAATGGCTTCGCGAGTTCACTGCACAAAATTCAAGAAAAGAAAGAAAGAGAAAAATAAAAATCTTAAATTCAATTTTATTGTTTCTCTCGAGTCTGCTTTTCTTTTTTTCTTTTATTTTATTGTTAGACTCTTATCATTTTTTTCCTCGACTTCTTTCACGTGAAAATTGTATTCTCTAAGAGTCTTTGTTTTATTGGCTTTAACAGCAATAACAGTATTTCACAAAAGGCACAGAAGAATGAAAGAAAATTTGAAATTTTCAGATGGAGAAAAGATGTAAATCTGCACGCGTGAAGCGTGTAAAATCGTGACTTGAGGGCAGCTTAAAATGGCAAGTATTACAAGTAAAGCCTAGTAGGATGTTTTTATATCATTTCCGACACTCACGCTGATTGATGCTCATCATTAGAAAAATGAAAATACCCGAAAGTGTGAGAAAAAGAAAAAAAGGAGAAAGCTTTCGTCTATTCATCACAAAGCATCATCTTTTACCTCGAGCATTTTGCCACTTATTATTGTTTCATATCTTTCCTTTTGTAATTTGACGGAAAGCATTTTGCAATAAAAATGAATAAAAGATTTGTGCTGTTCCCTGGTTCTGTTTGCTCGTTTTAGATTTCTTTTTGTTTTGTTTTGTGTTGCTGCACTAAAAACAATTGCCAGTAAAATATTCTAATCTTTTCAGTTACAAAGTGCATCAACTTGTCACAATTATTTCGTTATCTCATTACAATTTTCTTCCCTTCTCGTAATTGTTGCTTCCCCTCGCTTTAAAATTATCACATTTTACATCTGAGCATGGAACAAATAAAAAACGAATTAAAATCCATTAAAGTTCAAGTCAAGGAAATGATTTTAAATAAGTAAATTTAAAGTGACAAGTATAATATCACTTGATTATGAGCAGAGCGTTTGTGTCGCTCACACAAACGAGTTCCAGTCAATTTGAAAATCATGTTGATTGTAATGCATTCTATTTTAACGAAAGGGCAGAGACATCAAATGAATTTTCTCTTGAACATCTAACAACATTCCCACCCTCTGCATCAAATCAATGAATACCAAACGAAATAACTTTTATTTACTTTAATCGCTTAATGAACAATTCACAAACGTAAATTTATGTGCTCAAGAATGTTAATTCTGCGATTGAGATCAACAAACTTGCATTTCACCAAAGGAATTGTTAATTAATTTTCTGCATTTCTGCACTCATTTCAAGAAATACTCAATGCATTGTTCATGTTGTTTATTGGCATAATCAAGTAAAACAAACTTCAATGAACTTTAGATGAATCATAAAACGAAAGCTTTACAAAATGGAAAAGCTGAAATTAAATTTCAACAAAGAAATATCACGGAAAAAAAATTAAAAACATAAATTGTTGAGTCACAAAGTAACATGAATTTTTCACAGAAAGCGAGAAAAAAGTTAATTTCAATTCAGAATTTTTATTTCAATTCCACACCCCCGCTATGAATTTCTCGTTGTTTCCTGCTTGAAGATGTCTTTGGAGTTGAAGAATCTTCTTGCGATATTCCACCCTCCTTTTGTCTCAATGATTCAGTGAATTGCTAAAAAGAAATTCATGTTTGATTAAATTATAATCATCAGATTTATGTGTTTTGATTGGCAATAAATTTCCACCGCACCATTTGCAATAAAAAGTGGAATAGAGAATTATTCGCTTCTTGTGAAAGAATTGAAGGCGAGGTGTTGAATATATCGTAATTTAAATATATCACTTTCGAACACTTAAAATTTCTTTAAGACCTTTTCCTTCATTTTACATTCAAAGTGATGGATGTAAAAACGTGTAGAAAGCTTATGGAGAGAGATAAGGTTCTTCACCGATGTGGAACATCATTTGGCACTTTTTATTGAATATTGATAAACTCCTTATGATGCATTTTATGTCACATAACTTTTCCCAAGAAAAAAATCGGAAAATTTATGGTTTTCTCTTTCAGAAACGTGTCTTGTATAGCGTTTTGATTTAAAGCTTCATCATGTTATGATTTCATAATGTTATGTGGAAAATGCGATGTGCTTTGTATTGTGATTTATTTTCTCAACACAAACATTTTCTTTCTTCATATTTAATATTTGATAGTTGAAAATCAATCAAATATGCATTCAAAGGAATTATCTAGGTCACAAATTTACTTCATCAAAAAGAACAAATAACACTTACATTAATCTCATTGTCTACGCAAAGTGTATAAAAAATCAACGAACCATGAAGCATCAAGCATAAAATGCGCATCAAATCAACAAATTTTTATTTACCATTCACAACATCAGTTAACAAAAACAAGATAGAAGCAGGGGTTGCATCTTCCATTCAAGTTGCAATAACTGTCCTAAGTATCACAAGAATGAAAACAAATTTATCTCCCTTCGTTCACTCCTTTAGCATAAGTACAATAAAAAAATATGCTTTGATTTTTGAATAATGTTCCATCAGATGGGATTTACTTCGGATGATACTATTGAGCGAAACGAAGACGAAAAAAATCTCAAAGTACAAACATCATCGGTAATTCCTTGTTGCCTTTTCAACAACAAAGAAGATTTTACGATTAGTGGTGACAGATGCGCAGATGATTACAAATTCCTTCTTCATACACACGTCTTCATCTGGCAATGTTCCATACACGAATTTATCTCCATTAATATGGTTTTTAACCCTCTTTAGCAATATCACTTGGCAGTGAATCTCGAGTACATATTCGATGATGCAAGGATCAAGAATCGTTTTCCCTTTAATCTACTTTTTATCCTTTCTATTGTTGCTACTCATTTTCAACTGCTCAACTGGTCTTCGACTAATATGCATCCTAATGAAATTTATATATAGAGGCTTGGGATTTATGAAAATTAAAGGAAAACAGTGATTTGTGATTTGATATTTATTTATTAGGGGCTTGCAAACGAAGAGATAATGTTTAATGGGATTTTGATTTGGTATTGATAACCTTTTCATACACAAACTTCCCTTCTTGACTGACATTCACGACTCTTATGATGAGTGTTGTACAAACTTTTCTAACGATTGCGATCAAATTGATCGAAGATAATATGACGTAATCACATTTGATTCGATTTCTTTCCTTTTTGTGATATTCTTGTCTACTTAGTAGAAAAAAAAGCTTTCAATAACACCTGATACAATTTCTCATTCATTTCCTGCGTGACTTTTGATGTTTCTTTCTTTATTTTCGGTCGGAATGTTGTTGGTTTATGATTTCCTGAAGCACGCGGTGTAATATGAATTTAATATTTATTTGTATCTACAAATAATACGAAAGCGACCACAACTTTGATTTCATGCTTCGACTGTCCACATTGCTTCCTTTTCTTGCGTGCCAATATTATCTACGTTTCGGAAAATCGTGTTTAAATATCAATTATTGTTTTTCACATTCTTGATTTCTTTTTTTCTTTTCGTGGTTGAGGTTGAACGACTACTGGTGAACCGCATATGTTTGTAATTTGTGAATAATGAGGGGGAGTGAAAATCCTTTACTTTGGACAGTCGAAGGTTCTTCCATTGTCTCGTAATTAAGCGTCTACTTATGATTGCGATGTGTAACTCAAAACCCCTTTTCATGATATAATAATTTGGGATATTAAGTCAAAATATTCGCCCTACTTACATCATTTGCTTTATTGACATGAAAAATCATGACATGTGTCTGTAAATTAAATTTCTCTCTTTCATAATTTGCTTCATTTTTATATCGAGGTGAAGATAATTTGCTGAAAATTAGTCTTTTTGCAGTTAAATGTTATTGAAGTTTCAGAATAGTTTCAAAATTTTTGACGAACTTAAATCTCTGCAGTAATTTAATTAGCTAAATAAGTTTCCATATACATAGATGAAGAATTGTGAAAAAAAGTCATGAAATTCAATTTGGCACAAGCCTCGACATTGATTTGAAGCGAATTTATCACGACAAAGATGAACCACATGTAACGTAGCATGAAAGAATAAAAAATGGTTTGAGTCGGAAGCATGAATGTCAAGTGTTTTGACACTTTTATTCAATTATCTCTCGAGTATTGTGATAATTGTTCGCCATTATGCATTCACATCAGCGTTGATCGTAGAGAGACAAAAAAAATTATAGGTTTTCTATAGGAACGATTTGCCATTTAATTCCGAACAATTAGAGAGGAAAAATATTAAAATTTAGTGACACTTGAATAATTTTTATTTGTTTAAATTCTGCTGGAAAAGGTTTCAATTTTCTGAGTGACAAATAAAGTAAACTAAAATTTATTAATTTCCAAACTAAAAATTTACCCATCTCCGACCTTGAAATTATTTCATTGTAGTGTTTTCGTCCATAAATTTCCCAAGATGAAAACCAAAAAGGAAACTTGAATTTATGTTGACTGAAAAGTATCACAAAACTTATTGATGAAATATTTATGTGACTAAAAAAATTAAATTAATTCAATGACAATAGTAAGAATATTAAATTAGATCTTCTAATAAAAAGAAGCTTGAATTATTCATTTAATAAACATAAAAGTCAAAGACAGGAAGAAGGAATAAAACAAAAGATTTTTGCATCAATTAAAGACAAAAATAAAATAATTTAATGAATTAGATGATGATACAGAATAAAGCTTCTCGTTCCAATTGTTCAAAGCCATAACAATCCTAAATTGGTGTTATCTCGTTTTCAAGTTTGTGTATTTTCTTCTATATTTAAGTATCTACAGTCGTTGTTTATGCGATGGAAAATCTTATGTGTGACGAAGCATAAAATGAAATGACAAAAGCTGTCAATGTGTAAGTTGGAATCTTAATTATTTATATTCTAAACCAATCTCAATGAATTTTCATCAAAGGACGTCAAAACTATTTCCAACCGTTTTCCAATTCCACTCGTTTTTGGACATGCGCAACATTTCGGCTTTCCATGCTACTGTAAAGTTTTGAATGTGTGCGTTGCATACACATTCTTGTGATTAGAGATCCCGCCCCCATTTTCCATTTTCTAGTTTTCTTCTAACGATGGGGAGATATTTGGAGAGAGAATCATGGTTACGTCCTTCCCTCTTTCACAACATTTTCACTGCTGAGCTTCTATGTTTATAGATTTTCGTTTTATTTCACTCGCTTCTTTTTTACTCTCTTGAAGATAATCAAACTTCTGGAATTGCTTTTTTGCTATTGTTCTTTAATTCTGTTTAATGCAGGGATGTTGACTGAAAAAATGACAAGTTAAAAGTTTGAAACTTTTTGAAATTAAAAATTTAAAGTTCTTGTTCTAAATATTTAAAATACAAGAAATAAAAGAAGCTTCCTTGAATTGAACTTTTCAAATAATTTTCAATATAAGAATTGTGATCTAATTAAGAAGAAGAAACATGATTTTCTTTCTTAACCCCTGAGATTTTTCATTTATCGCTCTGTGCTTTTACACCATGAAACAGAAGAATAGAAAGCACAACTAAATATTTGCTTTTGATAGTCAGTAGCATTAAAAATTTCTTCTGGTGCGCATTTTCCTGTGTTAAGAGATAGCAGTTGGAAAATTCAGGCTCACATGTATGACAGAAGCAAGAGAAAAGGTAAAAAATGAACACTCGTTGTTGCTGTCGAATCTGACATTCGAATGTGTTTGTGTGCACCATGAAAGAATTGGGAAATGATTTTCACTTGTATGTGAACATGTAGGGAAGCATGAAAAAGGAGATTTTTGTTGTGCCGTTGAAAGTGGGTGATAAAACATAAAACATTCAGTTTAGTTTTAACAATTGTTTGAACACAAACGGTCATGATAACAAGACGTGAATAAAAGAATAAAGGATTAGAGGCCAAATATTCAAAAGAATTATTTTAAATAATAAGTTTTGATAATAATCGAAGAAGTTTGTGAGTGAAGAAAAAAATATTTAACTGGATTTTGCAAATATAAATATTTGGAGTGTAAGAGAATATAAAAATAAGAAAAATTTGGGATCGCTTAGCTTCAGATGTATTTAATATTTCCGTTCAATTTAATCAATCAGAGACAGATCGGAAGACTTCTTAAAATTATTCATCTACAAGACATTCGCATTGCCAAAATGCATTATTTTCCAAACACATCGAAAAATTCTTGTTTGCGCTTGAACACATCGTTCATTATAAATTCATAACATAAACAGATGATGTGTGATGTGTCTCATTATTTATGAAAAGTCTTTTACTCAAAATGTTATATCTAAGAATTTTTTTCGATCTTTGTCTAAAACTATCTTTGATATTTAATTGTCCATAAGTTGACCATTTAGTTTATTTTCAATCTGATCTTTATCGAAAAAATTAAAACATCGACAATGACATTTTGAGACGAAACAAAATCTATTAAAATTCTATAATTTTTGACCACTTGTAGATAAGATCTTGTACAAACTAAATATTAGATAATTAATGAGAAAACTTTCAAGTTTTCTTTTTCAAAAAATTGGGACCCTTAAAATGCAATGATCAAAAATTAATTGTTCATAATGCAATGATTATTAATCAATTGACTAAATTTGAGACAGTTTCCAACTTTTTCTATTTCTTTAAATGGCTTTTTCATTCAAGCATATTCGATGACCCATAAGAGTTTAATTAAACCTTCTTCACTTTACTGAATATTCGTGTTTTGATCAAAAAAAGCTTCACTTTTCTTGTCACATGCTGTGGATCGATATTCGTGTTCATCTAAATCTCGGAATCAATTTCATTTAACACATAATTTATTAGTCATAAATTATTCTGATGAATTTTACGATGCACATGCTTAAGCGATTGTTTTTATTTTTCATGGAAAACTTCATAATGAAAAGCTCACAATCGATGAATGATTGATGACCGACGGGAAAAGCGATCATTTCAATAATTCTCACACTACTTTCTTTCCTTTACATAGTTCCATCTAAACAACATTAAGAAACTCCTTGAAAACTAAGTTTTGTGAATTACGAAAATAAAAACAGTTACAATGAAAAATGTTGAAGTGAAAATGAACAAACAGAAATTGATAAATTGAGAAGTGAAAAGAAAATAAGAAGAAAAGTGTGGAAAGTTTTATTTCCACGAAAATTCAAAGACAGTCATCGCCAAATCGGCTTTTCTCTTCCGTCAAAGTGCAAAGAAAGTCGTCAAAATTTATTCGCCAACTCCATTTGAAAGCGCCACTAAAGCGCTAAAGCTTGAAGAAGATTTTTCTTCTGGCGGTTGCATGAGTGCAATGTCCATGTATCCATCTGATAAAATGAAAATGTCAGCTCCAGGATGCTTCACAGGACGATACAGTCCAACATCATATCGTGGTCCCGATCAAATGAGAAGATGTATGACGAATCCGTCGGTAAGTTTAAGTTGAAGAACAAATCTTCCATTATCTTTGATGTTCTAGAAGTGCCAATTTTTTTTTGCATAATTTTACATAGTTTGTTAGATTCGTTTGCTTGTGAACGTTTAGACTTTGAAGTGAAAACATTTCATTAGCATTTTCCATCATCGCAAAGTTGAAGGCAAAGACAAGTAAGAAAATATTTGGAAAAAGAAAGAATAAACCTTGATCTAAGGAAAGAAATTTTGAATGCTGATGCTGTTGATAAATTATTCAAAAAGCCGAAGACTCTTGAGCGCCTTTTTGCTTCTCGTTCTAAGAACTTCTTCTTTCCACCCTCGAGTCGTCAGCAAAATTTATTTATCATGCTATGCTTAGAATATCGATTTTTTTTACCATGTCTTATCACTTTTTAAAGCTCCAGCGGGAACTTTAATGTTAAAACATAGGAACGACTGACATAACATTATTCAGGTGTCATCAGGTGCAAGGCAAAATGTTACAGCATCTTAAAGACTCTCAATGTCACCGTTCAATGTACCATTAAATTTAAACAATAAAAGTATCAAAGTTCACTCTCAACCTGCATGAACAGAAAAAATAATTTTAAGATGCACTAAAAGAATCTTCAATTAAACATCTACAAAGGGGGATGATAAGTTAAATTGTTATTTTCAATTGCAACGTAATAAACATAATTTTCCTTCTAACTTTCTTTCCCTCATTAAGTTTTCCTCGTCTTCATCTCTTTCGCTCTCTTTTGTTTCTTATTTAAGTTGTAACAATTCACAACTCATTCAAATTTATTGTGCTAATTTTATTTCTTCTACTTTTGTTTTTCTTGTGATTTTTCACAAAGAAAATTAAAGGAAATTCTGCTCGTTTCGATAATGAAGTTAGTTATGTTGGTCATAAGTTTTCCTGGATCTTTTTTATGTTCTCGGAAACTTGAAGTCAATTCTTTATGAAACTGTTCTTAATTGAAATCATTTCATGAAAACTTTTATGACACAACAGTTTTCGGCTATGCTTTGGATGTTGAAGAAATAAAATGAGACCATCACGATACATCCTTAGAGAGTTTGGCAAAAGGAGAGTTTAACATCTCAAGTTTAACATCCAAAGAAAGTGCAGACAGTTTCAAGTCGATGCCAACAGAAAATGACAAAATTTATTTAATTCACTTGAGGCTTCAAACTTGCTCTGCTCAATTGAGGGAGAAGAAAACTTTCTCATAGCTTCTAACAACAAATCGTTTCGCTTTAAAGTTCTTCTACAGAATTTTTTTCTGTGTAACCGTCCGCCGTGTCATTGAGAAATTTACCTTTTAAAATATTAATGGACTTTATTTCACAAAGCACGTGTACGGTTTTGTAATTTAACTGATGTTATGTGAATCACTCCACATGTTTGTATTCGTTTTTTCCGTAAAATTGTGCCATTTAACCAGCAACTTAAAATTAAGCACATGCAGCAACTTGAAATTTTCTCACGTTATTCTTAATGTATAAAATTTTAAATCAATTTGCAGTGTTCTATGTCAATATTTAAGTCGCATTGTGAGATTTTAAACCCTTTTTGTCATTGCTTTCTGTTATCGACATTACTTCGAGAATACATTTTTGATTGTTTTCAATCAAGTTTTCTGATTTTTTTTTTCCTAATTGTAGTTTATTAGGCAGAAAAAATGAAAATTAAAGCAGAATTTTCATAACAAATCTAAATTTATAATCCTTCATTTTCCTTCCATGAAAATTTATTTATTTACTTCATCACACACAACTCTATATCTTCCATTCTCGTTATGTTTCCATTCAGATTTCCATCAAACATCTATTTAGCAAGTACATGAACATTTCCATCATTTACTTTGAAGGGGCTTTTTCGGTGGAAAATTGTATATGTTGTTTATTTTCCCTCCTCTCTGACTGACTCAAATTTTCCTGTAGTTGAAAAGAAAATGTGAAAACTGTTGTATTTGTATGGATGAGAAAAATGGCGACAAATGGATCGATATAAAGTTTGAATTTAACGATTGGTTGCTTGAGGAAGTTTCTTTTTCTTTTAATTGTGAATAGGAAAGTTTGGAGTTTTCTTTAAAATTTATTCACCTTTAATCAAATCATATGATTTCTTGCTACATATCTAGATACATACATTTTTAATCATGATAATATTGATCGACATTCATGAATAATTAAGGTTTTCGTGAAAAACCATGTGGCAGTTGAACTGAATTTTCTTCAGAACAAACAAGCAACTTTGACTTCTTTTGATTGAAGTTTCACAAGTTGAAACGACAAACTTTGCTCTGAATAAACTTTTTCAAGAAACAAAATTTCAAATGCTGACATTTTCAATGCTTTTGAATTTGTGACAAATAAAAGTTCGTGAAACCAGAAGAGTTTCTCATTTGTTGAAGTGAAGTAAATAGACATGAAATGTTTTTGAATAGTTTGAAAAGAATGTGAGTTGAGTTTCTATTGTAACTTTAGTCTTATTTAACATCATTTGAAGTCGAACAGTTTTGAGCATTTACATGTTGAAAGGAACAAAAACAAAAACATTTAATTAAGTTATGAGTTGAATACGATAAAGTTTTCAATGAATAGTTAGGATCGTGACAAGCTTGAACATCGTTACGGTTCCAGTTTGCATTTCAATTATCGAAGAGCAAATATTTATTATTGACCATTGTAAAAATTTGCCTTTCGTTAACGACATCATGACAAAATGCCTTTTAATTTTAAGCCTTTTCCACTTCAAATATTTTCCTTTCTTCTTTGCTTGAGCTTGTTATTTGATGATAGTTTAATAGCATGCGGAAAATTTTTTGTAAATAAACCGATAAATAATTGGTTGTTGTATGGAAAATTCCTATCAAATAAATACTTAATTGAATAATTGATAAATAGCATTTATATCATTTTCCAACTCCACTGTCTTATTTCAGAGTCGATTGTTAGAAGATGCCTCAATAATGTGTAACTCTTGGTCCCCTAGAACAAACGTAAGTCCTCGTTTTCTTTTGATTACTTATTCATCAGCTACAAAGATAATTAGAAAACGTCGCTAACAACAAAGCTTTCATTATTTTCATCGATAAACTTTTTTCTTTTCTTTTCATCTAACTTAAAAAAAACAAATGAAAAGTAAAATTTCCCTAATGCAATGAAGACGAAAATGTAAAGAAATTGCAAGAATTCTGACAAGCAACTAACACTGACCGCAATGAAGTCTATAATTTACTTCAAATTTTCTGTCTTTCAATCGGAAGGAGGACAGGATGTGTTCTATTAGCTACCTCTTTTAGTTTTTATTCAATTTAATTCCTACCTGTTTTATAAGCGGATGCCACAAAGCAAAACAAGCAGGGGAAAGGAGAAGGAACATACCACTTAATTATAATTATACACCTTACAGTTCTCAATGCAATATGGAATGTTTGTTGAGGGCTTTCCACCCTCGCATTTCGCTCTGTTTTATTGCTTGCACCCCTTTCCATCCTCACGCTTACCACAAATGACACTTTTTCCTACTTTCAAATGAATGTTAAACTAAAAACTAGTTTTAGAAAACGAATTCTTTCTCTCATCGTAACTTAACGTTACATGTACTTTCATACACCTGTTACAGTTTCAACATGAAACTTCTCGATTGAAAAAATTACAATTTTTTATTACCGAGAGTGAATAGGACTTTAAAAAAGTTTTTCAATTCTTCTTTTTTTATGAAATTAAAGTCAATCAATCAGTTGGAAGTTCTGAGAAAGTTTTCATGCTGTGATTTTTTGACGTTTTTATTCTTCCACAGAAATGTGTCATGAGCAAGAAAATGTAATGAATTTACGGAAATTTATTTTAAAGTGATGGCTTACATAAATTTTCCTTCACATGATAGAAATGAAGTTTCAATTCGTGCTTATGTAGCCGCATGGATATATCAGGAAATAGAAGAAAATTCAATTAATAAATATTTAAGTTATCGAAGCGATAGTTGCGTTGTGAGTTGTGACTATTTATAGAGAACAACCTTCATAAAATATTGAAAACAGAACAACATCATCGTCGAGACACATTTTTTCCGTCTTCTTAGCTGTGCCATTGGGACGAGCCTCACACAGTGTGAATTTTTGTATCAAACTTTAATGAGTTCCTCGGTTTATCGATTTCATCATTAAATAATTTATGCTCCATCGCAATGAACCCACTTTTCATCCATCCAGAGAAGAGTTGGGAAATCTGGAAAAACGAGAAATATTTTCTTGTGTTCTGTGATCATTGGAAAAAGTTAAAAAGTGTGTGTATATGTGTGATAAGGATTCTGTTACAACATGGGCATGTTCCGAAATGACGTTAAATAATTAAATTAATTGTTTTGTGAAGACACTTTGCAATATGATGACAATAAACTTCGCTAACGTCATTTACGAACGCGCCCTTATTTATATTTTTTAAACCCAGACAGCTTCATAAATATTTCACGTATACATTTTTTTACTCGAAAAAAAGAAACACAACAAGAAGAAAAGCAAGAATCATCTAATGATGAATATGTATACACATTCCATCCAAGAGACAAGGAACCTTACAAACATATACACACACATATTCGTCCACGTTTATGTTGGCTTTCATTATTTCGTTGAATCGCAAAAAAAAGTCGCAACAAGCAAACATATTTTTTTCGATTTTCCCTTGAGATATGTAACTGTTTGCTTGTGCGTTCGATTCCAAGTTCAACTACCGAAAAACGCAACCAGGATGGAGCGCCTAGACCATAAATAATTGAATTCGAGTGCCGTTACGTGAAATGGGAGAGAGAATGTGCGAGAAGACGCCAACATGTTTCTTATGTGGATTTCCTTAAAGAGAATTTTCCAAACTGAGACGAATGTTTAATTATTTAAAAGCCTATAATTAGGGCTTAAAGCTTACAAGTTTTTCGAAGACTTTAAAATGCAGAAGATGGCTTAGACTTGGATGAAGAACCTTCAAAACATAAAATATCGTCTACAAACATAAAATAAATTTTAAATTCTAAAAACCCTCTTTAAGGAATTCTTATAAAAAGGTCTTCTGTTTATTTACTCAACGATGATGTATCAATGTTCATGTTTCTTGGTAAAAGTTACACATTTTCCACGTTGTCTTCTTCACTTTCAATCGGAAACTGCTTCAAGCCTATAAAGAAAAAAGTCACATAGAAAAGGAGAGAAAAAAGCTTTAAATTTTTAATTCTTCACCTGTTCCTTTCTAGGGCGATATTTTCTCCGGTTTAAACGATGGTTTGTTGAGTCGAGCCGAAGCGTTAGCAGCTGTTGATATGCAAAAACATCAAAGCACTCACGCAGCACACCAGCAGATGACGCAACAGCTCAAGGTGAATAAACTTGTCAACTGATTTATTTATGTATAAATCTTACTGGTTTTTTATTCCATTTTATTTGAAGCACGACGTTATGTATCATCACGGCATGGGTGGACCACCCCAACGACCACTTCAGGTGAGAAAATTATGTTTGATAATCGTTGACAGGCGCACAAAATTTCTTATCTTCTTACGATCGGTGCTGTAGTGTAACAAAAATGAAAAATAAAAATAAAAAAAGAAAATTAATGTTCGAATGCCATTCACATAAATATCCAACATCACCTTTTGTACTTGTTCCTTATGTACACGTTTACCAACGTTAAACTACTAAACAAAATTAAATAATTTCACAAACAATTGAACCCTAAGCGTAAGCACTTTAAATCCTATAAATTTAAGCTTCAAGGAGACAATTGCGTAATGACAGTCACGTTTCTAAGCCACGTGACAACACTCAAGAGAGACCAACAATGTAAATTGAGTTGTCGTAACTTGTTTAATGTCTTCCAATTTGCTGATTGTTAGGTGAAACGTCCTAGTTTAGTGCTGTTCTCAAAATTTTATTGATTTCCAGTCAATCAATGTTAACTGATAAAGCTGATCGACTGTAAAGCGGTTACACAAACTAATTTTCATTACTCAAAAAATTGTTGTTGATGGGGGAAGAAATTCGAACAACGTCTGTGGTTTCGATTATTGATATGAATCTCTAATAAGAAATCAATAGAACCTCGAAATCATTGATATTGTCTAATTGAGAAATGAATTTTAATTTTATTGTTTATGGTTTTACGCCAGCATTGCGTTAAAGTGAACAGTCATGAAGGGAGTCAACTGAAAGACATAAAACGAACATTCCGGTGTTAAATTTTATTTTAGGGAGGTTTTTTTTGCTTTCATTCCTTTTGTTGCTTCCAACACGTGTTTAACTCGCATAATTTGATTGGTGTTGTGAACAGGAATAAGTGAATTAGATTGTTATTCGGATTCTTTTCTCATTTTCTGAATTAAACCCGTGAAGGAAGATCAAATTGTAATCGCATTTAGTAAGTAAAAAACAACCCAATGGAAGGCAAAAACGTAAACATATTGGCTTAAAACTTAACATCGAATGCAGAAGAATGTTAAAAAATTGGATGAAGATGTTTCAACAGCTTACAATCCAAATTGTTTCCATCAAACCCATTTCAGACTGTTGTTAAATTGGAGCAGACGAGTGGCGATTTGTCCTTTGAAATTTGAAAACATTTATTAATTTATTGTTGCTTATTTATGTGTAAAAAATGTCTATGAAAGTATTTCATGTACTTTAAAATAGATTTAGAAAATCTCCAAGGGTCAACATAGAAATAAAAACGAGAAAAAAATATTTTGATCAAAATAATCAACTTCTCGATTCCGAATTGATGGGATGCCGAACAAAAGAGAAAATGTGAAGTAATTGAAATAAATATCCTTTTTGTATTGAAATAAATCTCATTTAGGGATTGTAAACATGTAAAAGGTGAAATGGATTTGTTATTGGGACTGAATAGAGATCTTTTAAAGGTAACAAATCAACTTTGTTTTTTTGATCCGAATGAAGGCCTTTCAAATGTAGAATGTTTTACTGCTAACGTCTTTCACATCTCCCTGGTCCACGTAAAGTAGTTTTCAATGCAATTTGTTGAACCCTCGTTTATAGAACACACGCAACAAGCAGAAGACAATGAACCGAACAAAACGTAAGATATTCGTTAATTTTCTGTTATTTTCCTCTCGAGATGTAAAAGACGAGAAGTTTCAGTTTTCCCAAGATACTTTGCACACTTTGTTTTATGACTTTAAATAAAAACGAGGGTGGATATTTTTTTATTATCATGTGCTGCATTTCTTCGAATCATTTTTTTAATCGCTTAACAAAGATATTTGCAATTTGCTTTTCAATGACATAAAATATTTGCATTTCATCATAATGAAAGAGTAATTTGAAGTATCATAAAAACTAATCACACACTTGAAGTGAATTGGAAACAGAAATCTTTTCACAATGTTAATTGATTTTGTGTAAATATTTTGATGCTTGATGGGAAATGAAGGGATCGAAAAAATTGCTTCAAGAGCGACGGTAAACTTCAACATAACGTATTGAAAGTGTCCTGATATTGTCATCGACATTAATGCACATTAATAGGACATTACTTTTGTTTTCTTTACGTTTCCAAGTCATTCAATGACATTACAAGAAATAAATTTTTATATAAATTACAACCTCGCTGATGGTGCATGTATGTAAGTACATACATGTCAATTTATCATTAAAGCGCTTTTTTCGGGGAGTTTTGCCTGCTTTTTGTTGTTTGATACAAATAATAATTATTTTTACTGCGACAACTGTGCCACATAAAAACAATTTGATGTTTGCTTTGGGTTTGAGAAATGGAAGCGGCTTATAGGTGGAAAATCGATTTTTCTCTGTTCAGAATGAATATCTTTAGTGATAAAGAATGAGTAGAATAGAATTATTTTTCAAAAAGGAATTTCTTGAGATTTGTTTTCAGAAAGTTAACAGATCATCACTTTACGACTCAACTTTGAAGTTTTTGTCTGCAGAAATCTCAAAAAAAAGTTTATTCACATCATAAATAATTCACTTTCATGCACGGGACGAAAAGAAATTAATAATTTAATGCACTCATTAATGATTTACCATTGACTGGTAGATGTTTAGATAAGAATTTGAAATTTTTATGAGCGTGTGAAATGCTGGGATTTATTTCGCCATTTGATGTCATGAACTTGAAAACTTTCATTGATGATTTCTGTTTCGACATCAAGAAACCTAAATTTATTCTTTTAAATTAAATTTAGATCATTTTCTTTTGAAACTAGGGCTCTGCAAGTCTTTGAACTTTGAGTGTTCATTTTGAAGCGTCTCTTTTGAATATGGCAAGAATTTATTTCATCAGAGTATGTTTAGGTCATATGCAGTGGTTAATTGAATTAACATGCGAGTAATGCAGTTTTCTTGTCGCTTCTACAAAAAGCGAGAGATGAAAATTCTCTTGGAACCATATTTACATGTTTTTTTTTAATAAAATGATTCCAATGAATATTTTATGGAGTTCGGGGTTTTTAACAAATTCTTTTATGATGAAGGTTCATAAAATATTAAATTTGTTTCTCTTTCCTTGGCTGAAATTTTTTTTTGTTCAAGCGTGTGTATGTAAGCATCAAAATGCGGGAAAATCTTTCTATAACGATGCAAAGTTGGGGTTCGCTCGCCTTCGCTTTTATTATCATAATGGATGCACCCGAGCTTCGTGAAATTTTAATTAAGGTCCTGCAATTTGTGAAATGAAAGCGAGTGAAACGGAAGAAAAAAGATTTCAGCAATTTAAGAATTTAAGACAGCAAAAAAAAATTAAATAAAAAGTTGTGTCGAGTAGGAAAATCGAGAACATCTTTGTTCAATTAAAAAGCAATGTCAGAGCCCATCAAGGAGCAGTTAGCAGGTTGATTCTCTACGGGTTATAAAAAAAATTCTATTACAGTTTTGCCATCTGTTCAACATTAAATAAAATAAAGAAAATAACAAACATTTAATGTGAAGTTAGCCGATTAAGTTGGTCTTCCCTTCATTGTATCTTGATAACATTCGACACTGAAAGATACAAATGAGAATGATGAAGAGAAGTTTCAGTTTCGGAGTCTATAAAAATAAATAAAAATTCTTCATCTTCGGCATGGCCAAAAAACGAAGTTAACATCATGAAAAGGAGAGAAAAGAAATGAAGTTACGAAGGGGTTAGTTATAGCATACATTAAACGGTAATTTCAAGGGCGTATAGAAATGTATTTCACATTATTTTCCCATCTTATTTGCTATTCATAGCTAGCAAAAGTAGATTTCTATTGATAGGGAATGAAGGGAGATGTTGTTACATAAAACAACATAATTGTATACAAACATCATAAAAGCTGTGAATTGAGAGGGGAAAAAGAATTTGACGAGTTCAGGGGCTTCTTTATATTGCGCAAAATAAGTTTGATTTATTATCAACTTCAGTTTATTATTTTTATGAGGAATCTTTGGTGTAATCGAAAATTATGTTTGGTTTATGAGTTCAAATAAGATAATGGAAGTTATTTTTGTTAACTTGATTAGGAATTGAAGAAGAAATCAAAAGTTTGTCACCAACAATGCTGAGAAATTTCTTTTTGTTCCAAAAAATTCTCACAACTAACTTTAAATTCTTCAAGAATAAAAAATGCTATAAAATTTTTATCTTTCAACTCGCATAAATTTATTTATGGTGCATGGTTAGCTTAAGCTAAAACTTGAGCGACTTACAAACAACCACTCGATGTTATGTGTACGGGATGACTGAGCGATCAATGAGTCTATTTATTTGAGTGTTGTAAAAAGAAATCTGAAACATATGTGGCAAAAAAAATATCATGGGAAGAAATATGTTGGAAGGAAACATGGCAAGTCTTTGGGGATTGAAAATATTCTTGTAATTTATCCAAATTTTCCATGTTTCTTGTTTTCCCCCTTTTTATATTTTCCTTCTCTCAGGAGTTAATAATCTTGGAGTTTTTATCTTACTTTGTTAAGAAGTTTTCCAGGAAAATCCGTGAAAATTACTTTTTTCTCTCAACAAGGATATTTACTAAGTTGATGGACAAATTAATAGATTCATTTCTCTTTCGCTCTGTTCAAGACCAACAAGCGTAAATTACGTAATTAATTTTACCTTAGATGTAACTCCTCGAGAAAATTAAATGAAACTGTAAATCATTACAACATTGCGCATAAATTCTTAATCACTTCTTAAACATGTAATTTTTAAAATAATGTTGATTAATTTGCTGGTGCTAACACAGTTTATGTTGCACATTAATCACAAAGAAGAAGAGAAAGGAAATTTATTTTCCCACCACAAGACTCTCAACTTAATTATTAATTAAATTTGACATATCAATTACAAAGTTTGTGCTGAATTTATTGTTATAATTAACCTCGCTTTAAGATTGATCACTTGCCTTAATGCAGTGCGAAGTCGCTTACATTAAACTCACTTTTTCAGGTCAAGTTATGCGAGAAAGAAACTTTCTTTTATTCTATTCTTGTCGAGTTCTTTTCGAGGGGTTGTTGAAGTAATTCTGATGTAAACATTTAATCAAATTATAAACCATGATTAGAAAACACAAAATTGGTAGTTTCGGTAAACAACAAACGAGTTCTGGATTGCAACAATTGCTTCAGGCTGACAACGTTATACATATGGTGGCAATAATTCGATTTTCCCAGTCTCAGTTATTCTCAGTCGCTCTCATAAATGTGAATTAATTTGCTTCATCCGAAATGAAAGCGAAGTTTCCTTTAGGCAACTGCAAACAAAGTGCGAGGATAAAATCAACTCATGATTCAACTAGATTCTTACTTACTTTGTATTATAAAGAATAGAATCAAATTTCAAGCTAAAGTTAGCTGCCGAGCTATGCAAATAATTATTTTACAAATTAATGTTAGGACCAAACCAAATTTGCTTTTAATTTATGTTGATGAAATTAATTTTTGTTTTCTTCTTTCTCTTCGTTTGTACGGATAACTTTACTTCTTATTACTCCTTTTTCAACATTGAATATCTAGTTGAATGAAAAAGTTTTTAACTGTTTTACAGAAACATTCAAGCATCTCTTTTTATGAAAGTTTAATGAAATTTCAATCAATTTTCTATCGCAAATGCTCTTGTGGAATTAACTGCACAAAAATTTACGCAAATATTTCCTATTGGAGTCTAAAAAATTCAAACTTCAATGAATTTTACTTTCAGCCTCCATCGACACAACAAAAAAAATCCTAAAAAAAAGACTTGAAATGAATAATTCGATGGGGTGCAGTAAGAGCTGTAATGGAGAATATTTGTTAGCTGGATGCATTGCATTTGTGCAACGAATGAATTGGCGAGCAATTTCATTTCTTTTTTTGATACATGGATGAATAAAATGTTAACCACATCATATGAAGTTTCTCTCTTTTATCGACTTCTCCATGTTCTATGTCGTTGAATAATTTATCATCTTTCGCCACCGCTATCTGTAGCATACTTAAAATTGATGTTTATTTTTGATCCATACCATTTCCATCTAGCACCGTAATGTGTGAAGTTTTCTAATGCAACATCACTTTATTTAGACAAAAAATATGTTTCAGATGCACGGCATGGAGAATTTGGACCTCATGGGTGATCCATCGGGATCGATGACAACTTTAACGCCAATGTCCGAAACACCAATAACATCATCACACCATCAACTTCATGGATCGTATCACAGTATGAACCATATGATGAGTCATCATCATCATGGAGGTCCCTTGAGTGGACACACACCTGGTGCGATCAATTTACTGAAAATTTTCCAGATTACAGAATGCCTTTTGATGGAAAATTTTGACGTAATGAAAAGACTTTACAAACTGTCACTTTGCAGGTTCGCATCATTCCGCCATGGCAGCAGCTGTAGCAGCTGCGAGTCTTCATCCAGACCAAGATACCGATCCCCGAGAACTTGAAGCCTTTGCTGAACGTTTCAAACAACGGAGGATAAAATTAGGTAAATATTTAAAGAAAATTCTTCTGATTTTGAGTTTTCAGGATTTTTCTATGCATTTAGAATTGAATTCTAGTAAAAAACTAGAAATTTTAAGCAATTGAAGGAAGAAAAATTTGCATGCAATTAAAATTTAAATTCGAGCATTGAAACTTCTTTAAAACCATAACAACATGTTTCGATTAATTCAATAATAATTTAAATTGAACAATTAATTGCTTTGATAAATGTTAAAACGAGGATAAGTGAGCAAGCTTAATAGACCATTAAAAGGTTCTGAATACATTAAATCATATGAAGCCACAAATTTGTATCTGCATTGAAAGTCATTGGCCAATATGGAGAATGTTGCAGACGAGGAGATTTACTCCCACATTCAATGAGTTAATTTTAATAACGAGAAATTTATGTAACCTTTTATTAGGTGAATTAATTATTAAAAATAATTTAAAGCATTTTGAGAGTAAAATTTGAATTCAATTCATCGATGAAACAAGAAAATAAAATTCAAATAAATGTCGACACCATATAAGAAATGATTTATCAAACCTCTAATTCATTAATCAACTATTGTGCAAGTTATAAATTCTGTTAATTATAATTTACGATTATTCAGTTTTGCACAAACGACGAATCAAATTCAATAACAACCGTCGGAATTCTCAATACTTTTTTGCCATTTGACGATTAAACAGAGAAGCAATAATAAAAGTGCAAATGAAGAATTAGTGCGATTAATTATAATTAGTTGGCAATTAAGGATGGAAAAAAGGTTTAAGCATGTTGATAAATACGCTCTTAAAACGATTTATGATCAGCTCATTTACATCGTAAGTAGCGCTGGCATAATTAGAGCAATAAATTATGAACTTCTTATCTACGTTTTCTTCCTTCTCTCATTTTCCTGCTAATTGCATAAACACTTATGACGATAATTTCCAGAAGAAGAAAATCCATCTGCGAAAATTTGTTGTTGTTTTTTTATTTTTTTTCCACTTTTCTTTCTCTTTTCAATTATTCCCGTCTTGAACAACTTCCAACAAACACACGCCTACACATGTATTTTGGTTCAAAACAAATGAAGGAGTCACACAAGCCGATGTGGGCAAAGCGTTAGCGAATCTCAAGTTACCAGGTGTAGGTGCATTATCGCAGAGTACAATTTGTAGATTTGAAAGTCTGACGTTATCACACAATAACATGATTGCATTGAAGCCGATTCTACAAGCGTGGTTGGAAGAAGCTGAGGCGCAAGCGAAGAACAAACGAAGAGATCCCGATGCGCCTAGCGTTTTGCCACACGGCGAGAAAAAAAGGTAGGCGAAGTTTTATGATAAAAATCACACAAGTCAAAATTGTTTTATCTCATCATTAAACATCTTAACCATCGTTGCATGTCATATCAATTTTAACTGAATCATTCATGAGTTTATTGTTTTGTTTTCATGTTTTTTTACACATTTTATTCTTTCGCTCGACCTCAAAAGTTAATAAGTAATCTATATCGAGTCTTTTTTCAAGAAAAAGGACATCCATAGCGGCTCCGGAGAAACGCTCTCTGGAAGCCTATTTTGCCGTCCAACCACGACCTTCTGGTGAAAAAATTGCTGCTATTGCCGAGAAATTGGATCTCAAAAAGAACGTTGTTCGTGTATGGTTCTGTAATCAACGACAGAAACAAAAGAGAATGAAATTCGCAGCTCAACACTGACAGCAACAATTAATGGGCTTGCCAACTGGTTTTGGATATTAATTATCGTCACCATTTATACTTTTTCCTGTTCAATTAATGATTAGTTACTATGAGTGCAATATATTCGTCTGTCGTCGAGACATGAAAGGCCCAGCATCAAACACATGTGTACAGTCACTGATGAAACATTTGTTAATTATATTTTAAGATCGTATAATAATTTAGCTGGTAAGGAAACTTAAACCAAATGCATTAGAACTACTGCAATATTAATTTATTATTTGATGACTTAATCAATAACTTAAGAATTATTTCATTTAATAACTTTAAATAGAAATGCAATCGGATCAAATAAAAAACAGCCACACACTGTCTAATTTATTCATATTTTATTTTAAATAATCCTTTTCAATCGAAGCTTAGAAAGAAAAATGTTTAATGGAAACCAGATAAAGAATTCATAAAATGGCTGTGGATAAATTCCAAAAAAAAAAGGTTGAATTAATCTATGAAGAGAATGAATTTGGAAGTCCGATTGTAGAAATCCCCAGGCAAATCATTCCGGAATTGGTTGCGATAAAGCCTGCTGCTTAAAAATAAAAATAAGATTCACAGTTAATTTAGTTTTTGCGAATCACGCATTTCGATTCATTTTCCACCCACACACAAACACATACACACGCAATGCATTAATGAATCATCCGAAGCCGCTCTTCAACTTTCAATAATCTACATCAAAATCATTTTGTTTTTAATTTATTTATTCTTGTTTTTGTATATAACAGAAAAGTGTAAAAATGAGCAATACCTATTGTATAAATATTAATTCATGAATTATTTTGATCATGTTTATGAACAGAAAAGCAAAAATATCACATGAACATTCAATAAATGAAAAAGCTGAAACGCCAAATATCCATGAAAACAAAGCACAACGTTATTTAATTACAGTATTTACAGAACTTTAAAATGTTTCTTTATTTACCACCCCCACACTTCTGTGAAGATCATCTCATTTCTTGCTCTTAAATTATTTTCAACTTGCCAATTTCCTTTAATCAGATTTTCCATTTGCCGAAAAAAGAAAACTTGTTCATCTCATACCCTCGTCATTTTTCTTTTCTTTCGTTGCTTTACTTGCAGAAAACGAGAAAAGTGAAGGAAGAAAAGTTTTTCGCTTTACTTCTGTGGAGCTAAATGTGGAGAATGTGGCAACAACAAAAGCATTGAGATTAAGGAAAATTTCTCATTTCTGAGTGCTTTCGTAAGGGAAAAGAATCTCAAAGAAAGTGGAAGAGTAAAAAAAAGAAATAAAAAAAAATTAAGCTGAGTTTATTCCATTAAGAATTCATAAATAATTCAGTCGTTCAATACTTGTATAAATAATTTTTTTTGTTTTGTTACTGCCTTGCAAACGTTGTACTCAAGTTTTGGAAAATAAAATAATCAGTTGAATAAGTTCTTTTTAAATGGTAGAAATGAGTTTCTCATTGGATTTTTATTTCTTATTTGTTACTTAAATATTCCACTCAAAACTTTAAATAAAAAACACTGAAAATATTCTCACACATTATCCAAACGAAACTTGTAAATAATTCAGAAATTGTTTCACAATGAATCGAATTAAACAGGCGTAGCAGAAGTGGTTGGAAAGTTTAGTTTCCAAAGACCGTAATTAGGCTTAATTTTTTTTTCTTTCCATCGATATCTCGTGACTTATGCAATCAAATATTTGTACACGAAATCGAACGAAGAAAAAAGAACGATAATCAACTATTTCAGATGATAGTAGTTGAAACCAGCTAGAATATTAAATTATTTCCCTACATAAAATTCAATTTTAATTGCTAAGAAGAAAATGATATCAAAATGATGTAAAAAGAAGAAGAAAACTTATCGCCATTAGATTAGCATATCGTGTTTAATGAAACATGACTCAAGACAATTCCTTAAGTACATTTTGTATCAGTCATGAGAAACAATTGAATATTTCATAGTTAGATTTAATGTTTAACTTCTACTTAAGATATATTTTCAACGATGACAATTCATAAGAAAATAATTTTGTGAACAAGTAAAGAAAATCCTTCGAATAATGTAATTCACTGTAACATACAACAACAACCAAAAAGGAAATGAAAAATACATTTTAATTAAAAAAAAGAAAAGATTTTTGTTGTTTTGAAGATGTGTTTGATTCACCAAATTTTGCATCTGCAATCATCAAGCGACAACCCTCTCTGCAATTCTCGACAGTTCACCACTCGCTCTTGTTTTTATAGCAGTAAATGTTTATTTGTTTTCTGTTATTATTTGGAGAGTAAATCGTAAGCTTCTGAAAATGGTTCCCTGAACCGCTCTTTTCTTTTGCACTCTCATGAATATTTAATTTGACATTAGTTTACCTTTTTTTCTTCTTCTCCTTTTGCTGACTCCAAGAAGGACTTTTATGACAATGGAGAAGGCGAAACATCGTCACATAAAACTCCTTGACTGTTATTATTAAGACTGAATTGAATGAAGAAATCAACTTGACAGCAACTTGGTGACTTCATTGACGAAAGAAAAAAAAGGAAAATTCTTTAATTGAATTGCGGAATTATTGTGCGTTTCTTTTTCATTGAATAAAGATGTCAAGAACTTTCTGCTACGCAGACATTGTTGGCAACATGAAGACACAAAATGAATGACTAGAAAAGCACATTTAAAAATCAACAAAGTGTCAGTCGATGTCTTAATTTTCAGTTTGATGGCAAAGACTTCTTTCAGCTTTTCCTTCGACCTTCTTTCTTACATTTATATCTTTGATATCTTCCAGGAAAGTGAAGAGTTTGCTTGATAAGAAAGAAGAACTTTTGATTTGATTTCATGTGTCCAAAACATTTAACTTATTTCTATCTCGAAGATATTTAGCTCTTATTTTTATTACTGTGGACAAAGAAAAAATGTTTCATCAAATATTAAGAAATCGAATTATTGCGATTGTTTCAAAACCAAGATGGCAAATTAAATTGAATTGTTTATCGTGTGAAACCTGAAACAGTAAAACGAAAATAAGAAAATGACATTCGAATAGAAGTCTGGAGAGGTGATGAAGAAAATCTTATTTATATTTCATAGATTTCGTTAGTTGATCTCTTTCATTGCTGGAACTGATGTCTCAGCATCTTCTAACAAAACAACCACAAAACTTTAACAACGAAAATAACCGAAGAACGTAAAACGTCCAGCACAGAAACACTTTTCATAAAACTAAATTCTCAACTCTAAAGGTGCAACCATAAAAAGTATACAACCGAACAAGGAAAACTAAAAAAAATATTTTTAGTTGAATCTAAAAAAACGGAAAAGAGAAAAAGGTTTGAGGTGGGGAATAAAGGCTTGATATGTGGTCAAGAATTAAATGAGATTACAGTTGCTTTTGTTTTGCATACCGGTGCGGAATTGCTAGTGGTGGTAAAAAGGATCTTCATCTATTTTATTTTAATGTTTAAGCCATTTTTTATGGGCCACCCCAGCAATGGTTTTCATTTCGTTTCCAAGCTCTTTGTTTTGATGCTTTTACCCTCCACGCTCCTACAATCTGTAAAATGAACGAACATAAATTTGTGTAGAAAATTTGCTATGAATTTTTTACTCAAATAGCCACAGAGTTGTCTTGAGATGATTCTTCTGTTCTCACGAAATCTAAACGAAATTCACTTCAGATATTTTGAATTTTTCTCCATTTCTTTATCATTGAAAGAATTGAAACTACATTTGAGAATAATAATTCGCTAATTCAGTCTGTTGGGTTCAATTAAAAACTAGATTCTTCGTTTTAAATATTTACAAAATAGTTGAAATCAGATTTAAGAAGTTTCAAAAGATTTTGAAGTTCGCAAAGTTAGTCACAAACTTCACGTAAATATTCAACTGCAAACCAACAACAACGCTTATTAAAACTCCTTGCCATTAAACTAAACTTGCTGATAATTTTTATCGCATGTGATTATAATAATAACAACTTTAACTCTTTCTTCTTGCTTTCTTTTTCCACCCACATCACAAGAGAGGGTTGAACAAATTTAAATTAGTCGAAAATTTAGATTAGATTTTCAGGATTTTCGCATTATTCTCTCTCTTGGAACAACTCTGAACATTAATTATTAAATATTTAATATAAATTTGAAATTGTATGTGCTCAAATATGTGTGTAATAAACTCAAACAAACATTCATTTATAAGATTGTCGAACGTTAGAGGGTCTTTGATGAGCTATCACCATGGAGAGGTTCGCTTCATTGTCACTTAAGAGACGACAAAAACTTTTACCTTTCTGTCATTTTGAAAAGGACGTTTTAATGGCTGAAAAGAAAATTTATTCTAATAGCAAAGTAATTCAGATCGAATATCGTTTTGCTTCTGCTAGATACTTTTATGATTATCATCCCGTAAAATGGAGATGGATTATAAGTAAGTATTGAGGGATGAAGAGATGATGTTGTGCTGGAAAAACGAAAAAGGGATTCACAAGGGTCATATTTACAAAATTGAATTAATTATACTAACACAGGAGAATGCGAATGATAGCAAATTACGATGAACGCATATATGAATAAATATGATGGTGAAAATGTTCACCTAACATTCACGAATAGAGAATGAAGCTTTTTCAGAGAAAGCATATATTTAGCTTATTTGAAGGTAATGGAATTATCATCCTCATGATTAAATGACATTAATTATTTAATGACTCGAAAGTATTTGTTTCTATTTGAATTGTGGTAGCAAATGGCAAGCTATAAATGAATGTAAATGACTTGAAGTTATTACATAATAAACTTTTACCCTGTTGGTCAATATAATTAGAATTGACTTAATTGTCATTTGTATTCTGAAATTGTGCGTAGGTGTAAAAGAAAATAATTTTATGATGAATAAAACGAAGTAAAATGGCGAAATGCTTTTGTTATGATTATTTAATATTTTTCCTAATTTCTTGTGGGATTCCAAACAAAATGAATTCTATGAATTCAAATGCAGATATTTAGAATCAGATCTGCAATGCAGTGTGTGTCTCACTCTCCTTTTTATTTCACTTCACAATTCTAAAACTCATTTCATCAACATTTGGTGTCACTGGAGAATTTATTTTGGACAATATTAAGAGAAATAATTCATGAAATTCCTTTTCCGGTCTGGAATCGTAGGTAAACATCCTGAACATGGCTGACAATAAAAAGTAATTAATAAATGCGTTATGAAAATATGCATTTGATGAACATTACACAGTCACTGAATATCAACTCGAATTACTTTGTTCTATAATTCTTTCTTCAAAAATGGAAGATTATTCCGGATGAAATTTATAAAGTTATTCCATTCTCAAAAGTATATAACCGATCATGATAATCATTATGAAAACGGATTTAATTTCCACTTTAAATTGAAGTCGAATTGATGTAGAAATGTAGAAAGGGTTGATATGAAATAAAATAATCGTAATTAGTATCGTTCTTACATTTTCCACCAGTTCTCGTTAAGATGAAAAGCGTTAATTCAAAGAGAAAAAAGAAAAGTTTTCCATCGGAAAATAAAGGGATCGGATTAAGAAAACTAGAGGCGGGGAAAGCAAAACTTCTCTCAACTCTTGCTTAAAACAAAGTAACGAGGGAAAATAATTGCTTCGTGAAATTGAAGTTGATTCAGAAGATTCTCTTAAGCTTTTCGTCCTTAGCAATAAAAAATTTCCACTATCACAAAAAAAGGAACAAAACTTTTACAACGAGAAAGGAGAAAGGAGTTTCACTGGCAGCAAAGACTGCGGGTGGATAAGAGGGGGATTCTCATAAAATATTAACAAAACAATTAAAAGTAATATTAGGTTTTGAAAGTGGAAAAAAAGATGGAAAGAATAAAACGTTAATTAACAGATAGCAAGTTAGTTAGACAATCAAGATACGTCGTTCATGTACGAATCAGTGGAAGAAACTCATCCAAAAAATAGAACTTTGTAAATTTTTTAAAGACAATTATATCTTCACTTTTATTAAATTTCTCATTGAAGTCGTATAATCTTTTTCATATCATTTTTCCTGTTAATGTCTGCCTTAACATCCTTTTTTTTCTCCTATCTGAATTCAATACAAAAACTAATTTTCCAGATATTTTAAATTAATTATCTTTTGAAATCTTTTTGAGTAAATTTCCATATCAAGATTTATTCATCGTGTTTTCATGATTTCTTCTTTATTTACACCCTGTAATATTCATTTGTTTTGTCATCAGTTTATTGAACAAACCTTGATTAAATAATCTTTTTTGTTCGTTTGTCATAAACTGTCTACGTCGTCTTTATTGTAATTTTTTATCATTAGAACCTCGAGCTAGAAACGACTGAGATTATTGGATGATCAGTGACAATTCATGTTAGGATTAATTATTTCGATTTTGAGCATAGTTTAATTCACATTAAATTTTGATTTATTTGTCACCTTTTCATTGTTCATTCTGTGACATAAATTACTCTTGAGTCATCTAAATTACTAACAGAATGTCAGAGTATACACAATTTGGCATAACATTATTATCCTTACAATAATGTCGATTAAATGATCTTCATTGTCACAAATCAAACTTCTCTCAGTGTTTATGCAAAAGATGAATTGGAAATGAAAAAGAAAGAAAAAAGGATGAAAGTTCACTTCTAGTTTATAGAATACTCTGAACATTCATACAATGAATTCACATTCAAAATATGAACTTCTTCTTAAATAAAAGATAAAAATAATTTCTTTTAAAAGATGAAAAGAAATCAATGAAAATTAAATCAAATAGTAAAATTATCTGCTTAGATATTAAATTTTTTCCTCTTCTAGCATCGAAGCATTTAATCACGGTTCCGTTCATTAAAATCATGAAGAATGAATTTATAAATCGTGTATTTGTGTTATTTAATGAAAATGTTTATGGCTTATAATTCATGTGTTTATGTGTAGCTTCATTTAAGTGATTTTATTTTCTTCTCTTTTTATCAACTACCTTTACTCAACTTGATGTCCTTTAGATGATGAATTTGATGATGATTTGGAATTTTTATCGCCGTTCTTTAATGACACTGTTGATAAGAAATGATTGAAAAGGAAATAAGTATAAATTATTTATACATCAACACAAAACTTTGATACTCACTGTGATTAGTTTGTTGAATGAGGTTTTTGATCATATATTTTTGGCTCTCGGTAGACGAACAGCTTTTGCTTGTCGTTGATGATTTTGATGATGCTTTCTGTAAGTGCGGTAAACCCGCATTGCTAATCATTGACATTGGCTTTTCGATGACATAATAGTTGGGATCATTTGCTCCACTTACGCTGCTACCAACCGTAAAATAATGAGCTTGATTAGGCATGAAGCACTCAGGCGCTGGCAGGCTTGGTGGTGGTCCTAATTGGTAATTAGGAAGAGCATTGACATGTGATGGCAAATTGGAAATATGATCACTAATAATACTTTCGGTATCATAAGGATTATGGCCAATTAATGTTGATGCTGAATCTGTGGAACGAAATGAAAATTTATTAAAACGTTTGAATATTTAACCAGCTTCTCGTATTTCGTTTTGTTACCGTCATCTTCGTTGAGCGTGTAACCACCGGCAACGTCACCTTCGCCAAATTGGTAGTAGGAATTCTCACTGAATGTTAATTTATTCACAGTATGCTTGATGTAATTCTTCCTTAACATATTGCCAATAAATTTCCTTGTCTCTCTTCGGTCATTTATTCCTTCTACATTTTCCATTATCCAGTTAACAAGATCGCTATAATTTAAATGTATTTTAACAAATTAAGATAATAAAAGAATTAAACTTAAAGTTAACAAGAAGAAAACGGTTAACGACAATTTTAAATGTGGGCCATATGAAGGGTTAAAGCTACGCCACTTACAGTCTCGTATTGCCCAAATTTGAACTTTTCTATATATCTCTACAAATTTTGTAATCATTGAATAGTTTTCAAAACCAAAAGAAAAGAGAAAAGTTTATTAAGTTTTGAAAATGTCGATTATGATATATTGTAATTCATGCTTCGAAATTAAATCGCATATCAAGAGAAAGTTTTTCATCACAGGATGCAGCCATGTTTTCTGTGAATTGTGTTTGGCTAATAATAAGAACTTTTGTCGCATTTGCAATGTTTCTTGTAAAATTCTAGAGATTTGCAGTCAAATGCCGGCAGAAGTGCGAATGTTTATAGAGGAAGACAGTATTGAAAGATTGACAAATAACATTGAGAAAATTCGTAGCTTTCAAGAGAACCAAGCACTTCTATTCGATGAAAAAACGAAGCTTTGTACTGAAGAATTTAAAAAGTTCAAAGATACTTTGGAAAGAAAGTATAATAAAAAGAAGGAAATTAATGAAGCTATGGAAGTTGAGTTTAATTCTATGAATTGTTTGAAAGACGCTTATCGGTAATGAATGATTTAAGAAAGATAAAATTAAATTTCTAAGCTTTTCTTGCCCATTTCAGATCAAATAAAATTACTTCTGATATATTTAAACTTGGATCAAGATTAAACATGGATTTCAGTCCAAAACGAGGTTCAAGTGACGTCGGTTCGAGAGCTTCCTCGTCACATACTCAACGTTCATTTTCTTTAACAAATTTAAGTTTAAATCAGAATGAATCTCGACCATTCATCATTTCACCTCAAAGTTCTAGAAAACTCAGTCCAATAATGGAAACAAGTGGAACTGAAATGACACCATCTAGAGCTTTTTCACACACTCGTCAAATAAGTCAACTTCAATCATCATCACATTCATCAATCTCAAATCAGTCAACTCCAAGCTCTCGCAGTTCTTCACGTTATCGAAATGATTTACGAAAAGATCTCTTAGAAAGTACTTTGCGTCATATGAATAAAATAAGTCAAGAAAACTATCGAGAAAGATGCCGTCAAGAGTATTCAAGAAAGTAATTAAATAATGTAAAATAATTGAAGATAAATATTATGAATTAATGAATTAATAAACAAACCTCCCAATAAAAGCATTTGGAATTGTAATTTTCAGCCATAATCGATCACGAATTTCGAGGCCACTATCAGGTTTCTTCATCGTTTGAACAATGACTTTATATGGCATGTTGACATTCAATCGTGGCTGATTTAACACTGTTAAGACATCAGAATCTGTTTCAAGATTCTCGCATGATCGAAGAGCTTGTGTATGAGCGATCCAAGCACCTGGATCAATTGGTCTGACAGGCTCCGATCGGGGAATCGTGAAATATCCTAAAAAAATCTTTTCTTAATCAATTTCATAATTAAAAGTATGATTAAAGCTTACCTTTTGGATTAGGATCCCAACATTTGGCAACAACAAGTTTCACTGGACCCGGCTTTTGAACGACCTCACGTAAAACCTTCACCGCTTCATCATTGGTCATATTTTCAAAGTTGATGTCGTTCACTTGTAAAATCATATCACCAGGCTCAATTCGTCCATCAAGTTGAACAGCTCCACCTTTCATAATGCTCCCAACATAAATTCCACCATCGCCACCACGATTCGATTGACCAACAATTGAAATTCCTTGAAATGAATAAATCATGAAAAGAATAAAATAGAAAAAGCGTTTGAAAAGTAAGTTTACCTAGAAAGTTCACCGTATCCATGTTTATTTGAACTGTCATTATGTTTAATGACATGGTGGAGTCGGTAATTGAACTATAAGACGATGTGCGTGACATTTGCTGGTTTGGACGTTTTTTCCTTCGTTGAGGTTTCTTTCGTATCTTCAATCGACTGTTTTGCTGACTCGATAGGATCGATGAATATTCAGTGAGGTTCTCATCATAATCGTAATAGTTCTCGTGCTTCATTCTCTCCATATCATTTTCAGTCTCATCGTCGTCAAAGAAGCTCGTTGAACTTGCTAAATCTGATGATGATGAGAGGAAATTTGTAACCGCTTGATACGTTAATTTTCCATCTGGTCCATGTCTTGCAGTCATCTTCGGATGTTCACCACTGTCAACCTTATCGGGATTTGGCGTTTCAGACGCATTTGATGCGGCATCATTTGACGTAACCAACTGTTGTTATAAATTGAAAGAGAAACGAGATTCTTTAGATTGATAGCAAACTATGCGACAGGTTCTGAGTCTTCTTTTTCTTCTTTACTCACCCAGCAAACAACTTTATTATTGAAACATGGAAGAACAGTATTATCATCAATTATTTCCTCTTTCACAACACTAGAAAAGGAGAAGAAAATCATTTTCCATACAGATTTATTATCAAACAGATGCTAATCGATTTTTCTTATGAATCATCCATCAGCGTAATGAAATTCAATGAAAGTTCAACAAAAACAATGAAAGACAAAAGCAAACAATAGAAAAACTTACCCAAAGTCAGCATCCATCGATTTGAAAAAGAATTTATAATTGCACGTCTGTTGTTTGCTCAAAATGATTTTGAAGTCTTTCAATTTCACTTGAGGCGGTGGAAAGGGAATTTTCACTAAATATGGTGTCGGCTCGTCATCAATGTGATAGATGATTTTCGTTTCTTTCTGCTGGTAGACTTGATTATCGTCATCTTCTGCCATGTTTATTTAGGTTGTGTGAAGTTTGGACGAATTGTGATTGATGTGGAATAATGTTTTCACTCTCTCTTGCTTTAAATTTAAATTTTATAATCAATAAAGTTGTCCCCTTTGTCGATGAATTTTAGGAGAAAAAAAAACTTTTTTTCCAATTTTTCCGATGAAAAATCAGCAACAGTATGAACTACGGAAAATCCCTGCTTTTATTACTCAAAAATACTGGAGTTTAAAGGCGAAGAATTAATTAAACTGCGGGTCACAATATTTTACTTTTTAATGTAGTTAGTTTACTTTTCTTTTATGAATCTTTACGACTTCCTCTTTCTAAATTTTATCGTCTCAAATAGAGTAAAAATTCGTTAATTAAACATCATCACCAATCATTTTCACATCCTCAACGACGCAAGCTGTCGAGTGAAATAGTTTTGGCTAGATTATTGTGCCTTTTAACACGATTTAGCATTAAAAAATATTTAAGATCAATTACTATTTATGAAGAATTTTCTCCATCATGGATATTCATAACTTGCGTCACAAGAAATTGGTTTTCTAGTTTGTCATATCTGCTTGTATCACTTCACATAATATTTTTTGATCCTTAAATTAATACGAGAAATCAAAAGTTATTGTTTAACATATTAAATTCTTAAAATCTCAGAATAACATGATAATGTTTGTCGACAAAACTTATAATATTTCCCAATTACAAAATGTTGAAAACGACATCTGACGGCAAAAAATTGCGTGGCAAAGAACTCTTACAAATAGTGGCGCATTAACATATAATTCAAATCAATTCGAATTAGTTTGTTTTTAAGAGTTAATTAAATAAATTTGACTGTCAAATCTTGTGATTTACTTTTTTGTAGCGACATTTTAAAATCCGTTAAGGCGACATCTCCCAGAAATTTCAGGAAGTGAAATTTAAGAAAATGATCTAAAATATTAAACACCATTGTCCAAACTAATCAAATAATTTTCTTCAATGTTTTAATTGAAATATAAATGTTCTCGGGTTTTTATTTTAAAAAATCGAAGATTATGCTTTTGCGAATATTTTACAGATATTCTTAAATTCTTCAAATTCATTTTTCCATTCGGAAAACAACAAACGTAATGAACGCAATTTTTTGTTAATGTTTTAACAAGTGTGTTGGTGAATGTTTCAATGNCCAATTACAAAATGTTGAAAGCGACATCTGACGGCAAAAAATTGCGTCGTGTTTATGATGTACTCAGTCATCATTTCCGACTTTGGTACGTTCGCGCGGATTTGACCTCCCATACAAAACACACAGAAAAAATTTCTCCGTGTCAGATAATCGATCGTAGCGCCGCCACTAAAACTTGTTTTCCTCACTCCCTGATAAAAAAATCACTCCCTGATATTGCGATGGCAGCGCCGCCAATGGTTGCATAATGAACTATCTATCAGTATTAATCAAGTTTCTATTCATCATTTTCCATTCGGAAAACAACAAACGTAATGAACGCAATTTTTTGTTAATGTTTTAACAAGTGTGTTGGTGAATGTTTCAATGTTTTTGTTTTCATTAATTTTCTTGCTTTAATGCAATTTTACTCTCAAAGAGTTTTTTATTAAATAACTTTTAACGAAAAGAAATTGGGACAACAACATCATCTAATAATTATTGATATACGATTAAGTGCTGCCTGAACATGACATAAAATTAAAAATTGTAAGGAATCTGCTTGCTTTCTGTAAGAGTTGAACTCGTGACATGACTTTATGTTGTTTTCTTTGATTTACCAGTTACTTTTTATGAAGTTAATCAAACCATTGGTTGATGAGTCATGACTGGAAACCTTATCATTATTTGCCAAATCTCCTTCGATAGCTTTCGCCAATGCTTTTCCCAATTCAACTCCCCATTGATCGAATGAGTTGACATCCCAAATAACTCCTTGAGTGAAGATTTTGTGTTCGTAAGTTGCAATCAGCGCTCCAAGAACAAATGGTGTCACCTTTTTAACAACAATAGAATTCGTTGGGCGATTTCCAGTGAAAACCTTGTGAGGAACAAGATTTTCTAACTTCTCTCCCTTCATGCCAGCTTTTTCCAATTCACTTCGAACTTGTTCTTCGGTTTTTCCAAGAGCTAAAGCTTCAGTTTGTGCCAAGAAGTTAGCCAAAATAAGTTTGTGATGAATTCCGCCAGCGATTGGATTGTGTGTTTGAGCTGGGGCAATGAAGTCACATGGGATGACTCGTGTTCCCTAATAAGTAACATTTCCGTATTAAAAATAGTCATAAACATAAACATTGTGAGCTCACCTGATGAATTAATTGATAGAAAGCATGTTGACCGTTTGTACCTGGTTCACCCTGAAAAAATGTTTGACATTCACGACATTGAAAATTAGAAAAGTGAACGTAAAAGTCACGAGTTATGTTCTAACTCATTTGTTAACTTCACTTACCCACACAATGGGACCAGTTTGATAGTCAGCACGTTTTCCACTTTTGCAAACTCCTTTTCCATTACTTTCCATGTCACCTTGTTGGAAGTAAGCAGAGAATCGGTGCAAATATTGATCGTAAGGAAGCAAAGCAGTTGTTTCAGCTCCATAGAAGTTTGAATACCAGATTCCAAGCAAAGCTAAGATAACGGGAACATTCTGATCCAATGGTGCAGTCTGGAAATGTTGATCAACAAAGTATGCACCTTCTTGAAGCTTCTCAAAGTTCTCAAATCCAATTGACAATGAGATTGACAGTCCAATGGCTGACCACAATGAGTAACGTCCTCCAACCCAATCCCAGAATCCAAACATGTTCTTCGCATCAATTCCAAATGCTGTCGCTTTTTCTTCATTGGTTGACAATGCAACGAAATGTTTTGCAACTGCCGATGGATCTTTTGCTGTTTCAAGGAACCAGGTTTTAGCTGATGTTGCATTGGTGATGGTTTCTTGTGTTGTAAATGTCTTCGAAGCGATGATGAAGAGAGTTGATTCAGCAGAAATTTTCTTGAGTGTCTCAGCTAAATGAGTTCCATCAATGTTCGAAACGAAATGCATGTTAAGTCCTTTCGAGAAAGGTTTAAGTGCTTCAGTGACCATTAAAGGTCCCAAATCAGATCCACCAATTCCAATGTTGACAACGTCAGTAATTTTCTTGCCAGTGTAGCCTTTCCATTCACCACTGAGAACTTGATTGGTGAACTCTTTCATGTGAGCTAAGACAGCAAGCACGTCAGGCATTACATCTTTGCCATCAACCATCACTGGCTTGCCTGACTTATTTCGCAAAGCAGTATGCAATACAGCACGATCTTCTGTAATATTGATGTGAGTGCCACCAAACATTTCATCACGAGCTTTGGCAAGACCGCGAGATTCAGCTAATTGCAAAAGCAGCTTCCAAACATCATCGGTGATGCGGTTTTTTGAGTAATCCTGAAAAACATTTGATTACGTAATGAGTTGCGGTATTAAATGTTGACCTTTGACATGAAACTCACCAAAAGAATATCACCGTCATTAGGTGTCTTCAATGTCAAATTAAACTTATCGAAGCGCTTTGGATCACTCTCAAAGAGTTGTTTTATGTTAATTTTAGCTCCGTTGGCATCGTAATATTGTTGGACTTTTTGATAGACTGGATCGGTGGAGAGAAGTGGCTTTGACATCTTCTAAAGACTAAAAAATTGTAAATATTTGTTTTTTATTAGTTTTAATTGTCTAAATTCATGACGCTGATCGATTTTGATTATGCCGGAAATTTCTTCAACCTTGAGGTGACCTTTTGTATTCACCGTTCTAAGGAAAAATATTTTTTTGTTTTCAATATTTTCACATGAAGAATAAAAGTTTAGTAGGATATGAAATTATGCGTTGAGAAGATAAATAATTTATAATCACAAACTTATATCATAAATTTTCTGTCAACTCACTTTTTAATATTACGAATGTGAATTACGAGAAGAAAAAAACTTGCTGACTGCACAGGAGACAAGACGGCAATTGAAGTTGTTACGTTCGAATGTTGATTGTTTTTTAAAGGGAGAATAGAAAGAGACAGAAAAGAATGTAAAAGTAACGTAAAGTAATGTTAGTGTGATGCTTTCTTATCCAACATTAAATGAATGTTTTACTTGCTTTCAACTTCAATGTTTTTGATCTCAATGTTTACTCAAGTTTCCGTTAAAGTGTAACATAAAAAATATGACATGATCTTTCTCTTGTTCATTGTTTCACTAATAATTATAGGAACAAAACTTCCTACACATTAAGTACTCTACAGATCTTATCATATTTATCTTAATAATTGGTAATAAATTTAAATCAAACAATTATAAACAATACTCACACTTTCACATTCCAACGTTACTTCTGAATGTTTTATAGCGTTTCCTAAAAAACATGTTTGCGTTCGTAAAGTGTCAGTTTCGGTGAACCGGGAAACCAATAAAAAGTCTAAGAAACTTTATCTCATTTATTTTCGCGAATATTTTGTGTTCTTTATCGATTTTGTTGTATCGTTTACGTTTAAAAGTGTTTACAACATTGAGATTAATAGTTTTAAGTTCAAGAACGTTAAGTAAAGTGCCTTAAACAAAGTAAAAATCAAGGAAATAACTTTCCAACTATTATGCGTCCATCGAGAATTACAAAAACAACGACAGGTGTAGAATTTATGTTTTGAATGAAGAAGCCTTACAAATTTAAACATATCCTGTTGCATCATCAAATTAAACTTGCTCAATATAAAGTGATCAAAAGTTCAAAACAATTATTTACAAAGTCTGAAACTGTTTTTTATCAGTTAAAAAAAAAGAGTTGAAGGAGGTTTTGAGTCGTTCCATCTCGCTCGCACTTTTAAAAAGCTGTTGCGAGACAACATTTTACTTCTCATTCTCCGTTCGTTCAGTTGTTTGATGGGAAAAAGTATCGCGAAGAAGAATGGAATCTGAAATTAAGAATTACGGTAAGACAACATAGTTTTTTTATCCATCTTTAGTATATCGAAGTGCTGATTTAAATTTTAATTGCAAAACACAAAGAATAAAAAATTAAAATATTATGTTCTGTCTTTAAATTTATTATCTCGTTTAACGAGAGCTAAAGAGAAAAATAGAAGGGAATGAATAAGTAAATACTCCCTCAATATATCGAGAAAACAAAAGCAGAAACAGAACAAGTCAGATAACAAAAGAACAGAAAAGAATGTTAGAAGCAAAGCAAGTGCATCACATTATTCACAGTTTTCTTATGTCTCGTTTGTCTGTCTATGCTTTTACTGAAGTCTTTCGTAGGGCTCTTTAAATTATTCTCTATTCTTTTAAGTCACATTCAGGATAGCCCGTAGATTTACCCGTAGAGATTGATGGATTTTTTTTCCTCTTTTTAAAATTGTTTTAAATGATCCAAGTTGAAGATATTGAGAATTACGAAGATTATAAATAAACAAGAAGGATTTTTTATTTTGTTTCTTTGAATAATGATTATTGAAGTACCTTTAACAATAATCAAAGTCAAACGTGTATGAAAATGCAGACGTAAGATGAAATAAAAAAAAATGATGAAACCAATGAATTCCATTAGAAAAACAAGAAGAAGAAATCGAAGTTTATTTATTTTATTTAATAAACAAAAAACACTTTGTGTGTTTCTCTCGTTTAAATGTTTTTTCTTTTTATTATTATATGATTACTAATACCTCCATAATCTACTTTTTCCTCACTCCATTTCACAGACATTGGTGAATCATCGAGAAATTACCATCAAAACATGCAGATGATTAATCGAAAGCACGGATTCCACAATGATGACGACGATTTAGGACCGTTGCCACCAAATTGGGAGAAAGCTTATACTGAGAATGGTGAAACGTATTTTATTGATCATTCGACTGGACAATCACATTGGTTGGATCCAAGATTGTCAAAGTTTCAGAAGAAATCGTTGCAAGATTGTGAAGACGACGAACTTCCTTATGGTTGGGAGAAGATTGTCGACCCTGAGTATGGAATTTACTTCATTGGTGAGTTTTTTAATTAAATTTAATGATTTTTATTAATTAATTTCATTTTCGTAGATCATGTAAATCGAAAAACACAATACGAGAATCCTGTGATACAAGCAAAACGAGAACTTGAGATGACTAAACGATTAGAAGCTGCCACAAACTTTATGCCTGACAATGTTGATTCACCATTAGAGCCGAAAAGCTTTTTCACAAAAAATCCTTCAGATTTACTTGGCGAACGAATTCAAACGACTTTAGTGAAGTCACAACGCGGACTCGGCTTTACAATTGTTGGCGGTGATTGCAGTGATGATGAGAATATTGAAGAGTTCCTTCAAATTAAATCAATTGTTCCAAACTCACCAGCATCAGCTGATGGAAAACTTCAAACCGGAGACATTCTCGTATTTGTGAATCATATTTGTGTACTTGGCTTTACACATCATGAAATGGTGAACATTTTCCAATCGATAATGGCAGGTGAAGAAGTTCATCTTGATGTTTGTCGTGGATATAAGTTACCCTTCGATCCAGCTGATCCAAACACAGAAATTGTCACAACAATCGCCGTGAATGGCTTAAACGATGAAGTTGAGAAAAATCGTTTGTTTCTTGATCTTTCTCATGACAATTACAATTTTCTCGAATTATCAAACGACCAAGGAATGTCGACTAAGAACAGCTTTGAGATTCCTGAAATTCACGACATAATCATTGTGAAAGGTGATCAAGGATTTGGATTTACAATCGCTGAAAGTAATTTGTGGGGTCAGAAAGTGAAAAAGATTCTCGATCGGCAATGTTGTAAAAATCTCCAAGAAGGCGACATTCTGTTGAGCATTAACAACATAAACATAAAGAACTTGAGTCATGGTGATGTCGTGCAAGTATTGAAAGAATGTCCGAAGAATCAAGAAACAATTCTTCGTGTTCAACGCGGTTTAATTCGAAGTAGTTTGAATAAGTTCAATGGGAAGGCAAGAAATGGAAGCAAAGTCGAGCAGAAGCCGTCAGGAAGCAATGGAAAGCCATTTTTGAACGGTCTCTTTCGTAGTAAGACGCCAACCGCTGATCTTTACAGCACACAACCGAAGGAAATTCTTCCAATTCGACCAAAGACGCCACTCGTTGATTCACGTGCACGCGTTCAAATGAAAACACCAATCGAGGATTTAAACACCGAAGATATTGAACTTGACAGTAAACTCACCGAATTGAATGACGACAACAAATCAACAATTTCAACAGCGACAACAGCTTACGACACAACGAAATTACTCACCGAACAATTCGATAATTTCGCTATAAATGATCAACGCAGTGACACCTACACAACAACCGATTCGATTACATCGAAGACAAGTGGACGAAATCGTTTCTTCAGTCCGCTTGACATCAAAAATGGTAATCTCGTGGTTGATAATGGTGCCGATTACTATTATGGAAATTCAAGTAATTCTGTTTATTCACTGCCACCTCCGCCATCAATTCCAACATCACAACAGACAAGATACATTCAACCAATTCAACCACCGCCATCGTCACAACAACAACAGAATTTGTCATCAACAATTCCATATCAACATCAACCACATGACAGTTGCTTTTGTTATGATTGTCAAGACTATCGTGTGAAAATGACGCAACAAAACGACTATCAAAGTGCACCACCATCAAATAATAATTCTGATTACAGCACGCTTCAATCGCGATTTAATTTGCCACCACAGATGAGTGATAATGTTGGAAAAAGAATTAATGACTACTTGATGGATCGAAAACGTAATGCTGGAGGTGAATTTTATAATGGAAACTTTAATAACGGCTACAACTCATTTCGATCGAATGGTAATGGTGTGATGACTGTTAATGGAATGGTGAGAATTGAACGTCAATTTCTTTCAACAACTTTTAATTAATTTATTTATTAGGATTCTGAATATTATTACGTTGAAGTGACACTTGAACGACAAGCTTTGGGCTTTGGTTTTCGTATTGTTGGTGGAACTGAAGAAGGATCGCAAGTTTGTGTTGGTTACATTGTGAAAGATGGTGCAGCTGATCGTGATCCTCGTATTCAAACAGGCGACGAAATTATCAACATTAATGGAGTTAATGTCGTGAGTATTTATCAACTGAATCGTTAAATGATTGAATTCACAAAATAAATTCTTCTCAAGGAATGTGCGTCACATCATCTTGTTGTGAAGTTGATGAGTGAAGCAGCTTTATGTGGTCAAGTTACGATGCTATTAAGAAAGAGAAAAGTTCGTGGTGGCGTTAATTTTTATCGTCCACAAACATCGAACACAACATTTGAAACAGCGCCGATGCCAAACACTTATGATGTCATTATCAATCGACAAGAGCATGAAGGTTTTGGTTTTGTTATAATTTCGTCATCAAATCAAATGACGGGATCAACAATTGGAAAAATTATTCCGAATAGTCCAGCAGATACCAATCAATTGAAGATTGGCGATCGAATTATTCGTGTGAATGACATCGACATTTCAAATTTGTCGCATGGCGATGTCGTGAAGATCATCAAAGATTCCGGTCTGACTGTTCAGTTGACTGTCAGCAACTCAATTCCGAATCCTGATCCAAGTCAATTCATCAGTGATGCGCCTTTTAATACAAACATCAATACCAATGGTGGGATGAATTCATTTTCGATGATATCCTGATTAACGAAAGGCAAGTAATGTTGATGATGACGATGATTGATGAATTTAATTAACATTTTTAACATTTAGATGAACGTCATTTAGGATGTTACTTAGGACTTGCATGCTTTAATTGTCTACTGACGGGAGACTCAATTATGTTAAACTAGATAATCAAAAAATATTCATTTAGATACATATTCACACATACACCCACGCAATATATATTTTTTTATTTTAAATTTAATTTCCTTTACATTTGTTAAGAAATTTACCAAAGTACTTAAAGCAATTTTCATATCGACAATTAATTTACTTAATTATGTAAGAGTTGAGAAGATTTGCTGCATTTCCGAAAAGATTTTGTCATAATTTAACTTCCACTACGGCTCTTACTTATTTACATTATTATTCTACATATTAAATGCTTAATGATTGCCAATCACTTTATTAATTTTTTAGTTTTTAAGTTGAAATATGTTTAAGTTAAATGCTGAGCATTTTAATGCACATCAAAATTTAGAAAAAAAGTTTAATGATGATGAAATGTTAGTGCAAAATATTTAGAGATTTAGGGAAATATTTACTAAATATATACGAAGAATGGTTAATGATGATCGTTTTTGTAGCCTTAGTAACGACCATAACAATTAATAATTCTTAAGACTGACATTTATCGATCCGAAATTTCTGTTAAAAATCTTGCAATTAATTTTTTTGCTTCTCGAATTCTGATAAATTAAATTAATCAAAAAGTATTCTTCACACATTTCTCCCTCTCTTTACTTATGTGGCTTAGTTTACTTTGTGAATCTCTGCTCAATGCATGAAAATGTTAACGTCTTAATCAACGATCGTTACTTCCTTCTCTCACTTTGTAAATCGATATTAAAGAATGTAAACCAGCTATTTACTTAACTGAGAAATTTTCTATAAAAAAGCAGATATTATGTAAGAAATAATTAAGTTAGCGACATTTAAAAAAATTAAATAAATAAAGAAATCAATGAAAGAAAAACTTGAAGGATTTTTTACTCAATTCTCCATCAGACGATCCAGAGACTTTAAAGAAAGAAAAAAAAATTCATGTGCAGCTGCGGTGAAGTGGAACCGGCAAGAGAATTTCCAGCTCTAGATTCTCTTGAGCGTTTAAATGCTTCGCTTTTGCTTCCAACTTTTTTTCTTTTATTTTTGACAACATTTCCACTCGCATTTCAGTGAATTTTCATTTTCAGTTCGTGTTGAAACTTCAGAAAAGACGGTTGAAAAATATATGAAAAAAAGAAGCAGTCGATTAAATAACTAACGTGAATAAAAGAAAAAGAAAATTATGCAAACTTAAGTGGATATGAAAATGAAAAATTGAAGACGTTTAAAGAAGAAAGAAATTGTTATTGTGAAATAAATATTCATAAAAAAAAGAAGAAAAAATATCTCAAAAATTTAATTCCATAGTTAAAGAATCTTCTAAAGAGATTTCATAAGTGAGAATCATCAAAGAAATTTATTAAAAATTAATATCAAAAAGCAAATAATTGCATCGAATTAAAGGATAACAAAAACACTTGAACATCACCGGAAAATTTTGAATTAAGATCACGATCATTACATAATAAGGTAGAAGAAAAACTCAAGACCCGAAAATTTCATTAAGCAACAACCCCGAAATAATAAAAAGAAGAAAGAAAAAATCCATTGTGAAGTGTTGTTGAACGAAAACACCTCAACAACAATTAATTAACGATTCAGTTTGTTTCTTTCTTTAGATGTTACCCTTCCCAACTTCTTATGTGATTGTTTAATGTTCAGTACAATACGGCACGCCACACACTTGTTGCGTCATAATTAAAGCATATATTTAATGCGCCTTCTTTTTTTCACGAAAGATTTCATGTATCAGTGATCACAAAACAATTGAGTCAAAGCAAGACATTTATCATTCATCGTTGCCTTCTTCTGCATGAATGTCTAAGAAATTGGCGGTTTAAAAATGCAGAATTCCAATTCGTTGTTTCTTCTACAATGCATTGAACTTGTGAACATATTTTTATCTGGTACATGTTAATGTTCCACGATTTGCTTCCACTCATGGAAGATGAAAAATGGAAATCAACAAACGTCTTCTTTGCATTCACCATTTTTTGAAGAAAAGAAAATTTAAAAATTGTTTTCTTAAGATTTTCCTCGTAGAAGCAAACAAAAATGAGACTTTAGAGATCATTGCAACTTTCACTACTTATATCTAAACGCGTGATTTCGAAACGTTTCTGTTGGGCTCTAAAGCGCGCACATTTTAAAGATTTCATTGTGATAAATTTTTATAAGTTTCTGACATAACATCCGTCGATATTTGGCTTGAATACTTGTTGGAAATGAAATGCTTGTCACTTTCATAGCGTGTGTTGACAACTTTTACGGAAATTCTTCAATCAAAATGATTACGAGGAAGATTTTTTACTTCTTCTTGTTTATTGTCAAATTTCCTTTCCTTACATTTTACCGGAAAATCAACGTCAGTAGCAACATCAAAATATTTTAACAAACAAAATTAAATTCAATTGAGATAAAAAAGAAAAATCTTCAAATTGTAGTTCAAGGTTTGTCTAATAACAATCGAATTCAATTTGATTAAATTCAGATGAATCATTTCATAATGAAACTCGATTTAGAATCAATTCGTTGTTAAATGCCCTCCACAACACAACATAAATTCATCATTTAACAATAGTTATTCTTTTATGTTTTTCCTTTCATGCCAAAATCAATCAATTGCAAATGTAAATAAACATCAATTGCTGTTGTTACTGAAAAGTGAAACGCATATGAAGTCACTGACGAAAAAGAAATAAAAACATTAAGCGCAAATGATCGGAAACTAAAAGTTTAAAAAAAGTTTTCAAAAAAAAAAACTTAAACAATGAATCAATTGCCATAACTAAATTTAAGAATTTAACAAAATTAATCGTGATTCCGGTATCTGATTGGAAATTTTGTTTTCTTACATGTGTTTCAAGGTAGATTTTCAATCAATTTTGAAAGTGGATTGTCGAAAAGATTTGAAATGAGAAAAAGATTTGCAAAACTAAATTACGGAACTTCTCGTTAAATGTTTCTTTATCGCAATCTTGTAATCGAGAATAAAACTGCGACATGGAATATATCACACAAGTATACGTATGAGTGCCGTTAACAGCAACAATAAACCATTTTTACCGTACGATAAGATGAGTTGAGATCTAGGGAAGAATAAAATAAATAAATTTAAGGGCTTTCAACATGTGTTGAAGGGAAAATATTTTCTAATCATTCAAAACCTTCGTTTATGTTCAAATAATGACATTAAAAGTTGACAACAACAAACAATAATCATTTCATTATAGAAAATAACTCACTATCAAGCTCATGACATCAAAACTGTGTCAAAATTTAAACAGTTTTGTTTTGTTTCTCTTTACTTCAATCTAAATCCAACTCAAACCCTGAATGAGAAGAAGGTTGACAAGAAAACAAGAAGAAATAAAATTTTCTGTCTCCATCTGCAAATGCACTTAAGCCAGACAATAAACAAAAGATTTGGAAAACGAAAAGTTCAAGCTCAAAGAACCGGAAAATGTTGGAACAATTCCATCATTGATGTTTCTCCACATTTGAACATGGAAAGCAAAGCGTTTGAACAAAATCTTGCGAAAGATTTTCATTTTACATTTTAAGCAACTAATTTATGTGCGATGTTTGGAGTAACATAGCACAAAGATTTCCATTTCGAAACTGAAAATATATTTTGCACGAGTAGATATCTACTTAAAAAGTATTTTTCATGATCATGAATAAACGTTGCGCACATTTTGTCAGTGTGGAAATTCTTTTCTTTCCTATTGAAAATGATCGCGACAATGAAAAGCATTTTTCAATGTTAACTTCTTCTTTTATTTCTGCAGATTTTAATGATTGCCTAGCCTTTCAATGACTTTTAAATCTGGAACAAACATTGTGTTTATATGATATGACAATCACCAAAAATTATCCTACGATTATGAATCGAACAAATGACAATAGTCGTGTTCTTAAAATCATCGTGATTTTGGTGTTGATTGCATTCGAATTGTGTCAAGCACAAAATGGTTACAATGTGAATGGAGTTTGCCCGCCGCAAGAATTGATTTTGCCTTGTCGATGTTCACAGAAAGGTTCGGAAATTCAAATCTGGTGTTCACATTCTGATTTGCCTCGCGTTCTTAATGGAATCAAATCAACTTCAAAAGCTTTAAATCGACCGATTGATGAGTTGATACTTGAAAATAATTATTTGCCGTCATTACCGGGACGTGCCTTTGCTCAACTTCAAATCACTCGTCTTATGTTACGTCACAATGGATTAGAAAGGTTATCAGCTGGTTGGTTAACCGATATGGAAGCTCATCTTGTGGAAATCTTCATCGTTGAACGTGGCTTAAGAAGCGTTCCTGTCGACAGTTTATTTGGCATTCGAAATCTTGAAGCAATCACAATTCAAAGTGAAAGTTTAAAAAGATGTCCCGAATTTTCTGGATTGCCAAAGCTACGCTATATCAACATTGAAAGTGAATCGTTAATTGAGTTGTCACCTCGTGGAATTCGCGATCTTCCAAGCGTTGAAACGATTTCAATTATTCACAGCAAAGGATTATCTCGATTAGAAGCGGGATTGTTTGTGAATCTTCCAAAACTGAAGTCAATAAACTTGCAACACAATGGAATTGAATGGATTCATTTGCGAACCTTCTCGTCAGATTTAAAAGCACTTCAAACACTTGATTTGAGTTATAATCAATTAACAAATGCCGGAATGATTGGACGAGCGATTAAAGATATTCAAAATCTTGAAACTCTTCATCTCAATCATAATTTCATTGAAGTTTTATCAGAAGCAAGCTTCGTTGATCTTCCGAGTTTGAAAGAATTGAGATTGAATGATAATTTGATTCAAGAACTTCGTCATGGTGCTTTTCATCGAGTTCCATCATTGAAGATCGTTCACTTGGAAAATAATCAACTTCGACATGTAAGAAATTTATTAAAACTTTTCTTTTTATTTATTAAGTCTATTTTCAACAATTCTCAGGTTCATCCTGAATCATTCTTGATGTCATCTGGTCGAGGTATTGAAACAATTCATCTTCAGTTCAATGACATTCAAAGAATAGAAGAAGTTCGATCAGTTCTCGACGCTCTTCCAACACTTCGCTATCTTGATTTGAGTGACAATAAATTGACAGAAATTCCTTTTGGAGCATTGCGTGGTCACGGAACTTTAGAACAATTACATTTGAATAATAATTATTTGAGATTAATTGAACGAGATGCTTTAATGGCGATGCCATCGCTGAGAGAATTGAGATTAAGGAACAATAGTTTGACTGATTTATTGCCGATGCCTTTTTGGAATCTTCCAGCATTGAAAGGTAATTCAAAGTTAATTTATTAATTTATTTTACTTCATTTTCATTCATGCAGGTCTCGACATTTCATTCAACAAGTTTCGTCGTCTTGAACCTGTTTTTCTTGCCGGTCTTCCATCCATTAGACGTTTTGACATCAGCGAGAATTCTCTTTCATTCATCGACATGAACGTCTTCCGTAACACTCCAATGCTTGAAACTGTCAACATTTCATCAAACGAACTTACAGCAATTGACAGAAACACATTCGCTCATCTTTCAAATCTCTATGAACTCGACGTTTCGAATAATCTTTTGATTGAAATGATTGCCGGACTTCCACAGGCAATCGAACGCGTGAATTTGAGAGATAACAGAATTCATAATCTTGCAACAACTCCGGGAAGTTTTGATTTACCAAACTTAAGAATGGTTGATTTGTCAAGTAACGACTTAGCAAGAGTTCATCAAGTGTTTATTAGAAGTCCACAACTTCGTGTTTTAAATCTCGCGAGAAACAAATTAGCGACAATTGAAGAAACAAACTTCTTAGGTTTGAATCGTTTGGAAGTTTTGAATCTTCAAGACAACCAAATAAGTGCAATGCATGATCATAGCACCGCAGCGATGGTAAATCTGAAAGAATTGAACATTCAAGGCAATCGAATGGAAATTTTTGTTGATAAAATTCTCGACAGCACACCAAACATTGAGCGACTTGATTTATCACGAAACAATATCATTGAAATTATGCCAGACTCGTTCAGGAAGACACGATCGTTGCAATTTCTCGACTTGTCAGGTAATTCATTAAAACATCTTCCAGAAAGTTTAGAGAATTTAGAAAATCTCAAAGACATTGATGTGAGTTTCAACCACATTGCTGAGCTTTCACCAGAAATCTTACAATCGTGGCGAAACATTGAAGAATTCCGAGCATCAAACAACAAAATTCAAGAATTAAGTCAGGGAACGTTTAAGAATCTTCCTTCGATTCAATACATGGATTTATCCAGCAATGACATCATCAGCATTCAACGTGGTGCGATTAGAAATTTACCAGAACTTCAGGAAATTGTCTTAGCTGACAATCGCTTAATCGAACTCAGGGAGCGAGTCTTTGAAGACCTACCAAACCTTCAAGCAGTTCATTTACAGCAAAATAACTTACGAATGATTGCACCAAACACTTTTTATAATTCACCATCAGTTTTGTATTTGAATTTATCGACAAATCAATTTCGTCACATGGAGAACATCAATTTACGTAACGCTCGAAATTTGGAAGTTTTGGACTTGTCAAACAATGAAATTAAAAGAGTCACGGCGAATCCTTTAAGGGGACTTGATTGGCTTGTGGAACTAAAACTTAATGACAACAGAATCTGCAAGATTCAAGTAAGTTTTTAATTCATTAATTAATTTTCATTCAGACTAAATTTTATCATCACGCAGGGCGAACCATTTTCATCAATGCCACGTCTTCGTGTGTTGAATTTAAGAAATAATCGAATGGGAAGATTACATGAAACGAACTTTAGAAATCTTCGAAGTAACATTGCGATACTTGATGTTGATGGAAATCCAATCGATTGTTCGTGTGACACGCTTTGGCTTCGTGCATGGTTGAAAGAAACAAATTCACAAGCTGGCCCGGTAAGATTTAAATTTGAATGACTTGTAAAGTTTCAAAATAATTTTGAATTCTTTCCAGGCATGTCGCGATGGGACAATGCTAAGAGATCTTGACTTAAATCGACAAGATTGTAATCATCCAAGCTCTCAAAACTTGAATCAAATTCCCTTAACTAACGAACATGGAGATTTGTTCTTGCGTCATAATGATTACGACGATTGCGGACCTGTGAGTGGTGAAGGTGGTTACGAAGATTTCCCTCCAAATCAAAATTATTTCAACAATAATCAACGACCATTGCCAGTAGAAAGTGATTACTTCTACGATCAATATGTTGACTTTCCCGTTAATGAAACTTTGAACAACACATTGCCGAAAATAAATCAAACTTCACCTTTTGTCGACTTCAATCAAAATAAATTTAACATGAATCATCTTCCACCAATTGGACCGCCACCCCCACCGCAATTTACATTCTTCGGGAGACCTTTGCCAAGTCTTTCGTTGGGAAATCTTTGGGGATCAGGTAGATCAGCAAGCAATCGAGCGAACTCTGCTGAAAATAATTCACGAGGGAAAGGACGAGTGCAAATATTCCGACCTGGTGATCCCGAGCTTGATGTCATAATAAATCGACCGAATAATGAGTTGGGACTTGGAGAATCAAGGAATCGTGAACCAGAAGCATCAGTAAAGAAACCTGTCATAGAACCTTTGGATGAAAAAATGGATGAGAAGTTTTATCGACCTTACTTCCAGACGCCTTTCTCACAACCAAAACCTGAGAAAGGTTTTTCACCTTTAATTCCTGGCATGACTGTCGGTGGTTTCATTCCCATTCACGATCCAACAAAAAACGATACGAAAACTTCACCAATAAGTCATGATTGGCCAGCAGAGGATAATCTTAAAGAGGTGCCACTTGTAACAAAATCTGAAACTCAAACTAAACGAACATCAACCAGGCCAAGTTCTTTTGGGCATATTGACAAGATTGGTTCATCAACCATAAGCCATTTGGCGACATCAATTTCTCCAATCTTATCCACTTTAGTTCCCAAAGATGAAGTATATACAGAAAAGTCGAATATTTATACAATTAGTGGTGATGATGATGACGAAGAAGTAGAAATTGATGTTACGTCAGTTGATTTTGAACCACGAAATCCAAATAAAATGAATTTCGAGCAAGAAGTTTACCAGCAAAATCAAGAATACATGGAAAAACCAACTAAATATTCTACAACCTTAGGAACTACAACATCAACAACAGAAAATGTCATGGTTAGTGACGGAAATGAACACGTTGTGCAGCCACCGATGACATCAACAACAACGGAAGCATTCCAACCAATCCAAGAATCAATTGAAACTTTTGATAACTTCAATGAAAGCTCATCACTTTCAGCTGATCATTTAATTGCTCCAGGTAGCATTGTATCATCTCAGGAAATTACAAATTCTACTCCGAAGTTTCCTACCAAAGCTGGAAAAATAACAAAAGTTTTCTCTCCAGCCCCACCACCAGCTGGCGCTGCCAACAGTAATGAAATTTCAAAACTTTTAAGTCCTTTCTATCCACAACAACCAACTACAACAATTGAACCACCAACAAGCTTTGATAATGAATATCAACCAAATCAATTTTATCCACGGACATTCAATGAGGATGAAAAGATCAGTGAAACGCCGCAATATGAACGTGACGACATGGAATGGTATTTCAACAATTACAATCAGTCGGAATCGAATCCTATTCTAAATTATAATCTTCAACCTTATGAGAATACTTATGAGAGAAGCTTAGCACCTAAATTCAATTCAATTAGCATTAAAAATCTTTTAATAGTTTTAATTGTGATAAAATATTTGGCCTTGTAAAGCATCAAACGTTGACGATAAAATAAGAAAATTTTAAATGTAAATAATTTTAATTTGTAACGATTATTATGTTGATTTTATTAGATATCTATGCTTAAAACGAATTTTACGAAAAATGTTCCACATTTATCTCATCTTTCTTGTATGTTTTAAAATGATTTTGTTAAAAGAAATTGAATTTAATAAATTTTCTGACACGGAAGAAAAATGAAGCTTTGAGAACTAAATTGTTCTATGATTCTTATACGTAACAAATAACTGATTTATATTGTATGTATGCTGTAGTTAATAGAAGGTCAACATAAAGGGGAATCTGTCATGATTTGACGTCGAAGATTTTTTCTATTGTTCACATGATTAATGGTAAGATTTGATTACGTTTATGTTTTTTTCAAACAACTATCGTTAATCGATTATCTTTGACAAAAAAGTTCCATTGACAGATTCAATTGATACTCATACTCAAAAATGTAATAAAGCCAAACACAACTCGTTAACTGAAAAAGTCATCAAAAACCTTCAATAAATCGGTATTAGGATTAAGATTAACCATTGAAGCTTAAGATTAAAAGCAGGATTAAAGAAATTATAGATTAAGATTTCTGAAATATGTTTTTCGTAATTAACAAAAATGCATTGTTTTGTGCGTCACTTCAACATTAAACTTTATTACACATTGATTACTGATTTTCATTTTTGCACAAAAATGTTACACAAAATAATAAAATATCGTTAATCCTTACAAATTCTTAACATCAACAAGGCAAGGCATTCATATAAAAAGACTTTAATTGTGCCAATTTTGTGTAAAAATATGTTTATGGCTTCCTTCTTATCAATGTTTTCATTTTATTGTTATGTTGTCTTGAAAAGGCACCAAAATTGCAAAAAGTGTTATTTTGAAATTTCTACAAGACAAAGTGTTAATGTTAACAGATTTCAATTATTTCGTCTTCCTCTAAACAGCAATATGAGTTGTAAATTGAATATATTTAGTATAAGGATGTGGGTGATGGCTTTAAGAGATTGGGATCTTCACTTGGACCTGTTGAAAGGTAGAAATATTGAATTAAATTATAATTATTTGTCGAAGTTGATTTACTTACATATGATTGTGGGAAATAACCAGTTCGACCATTAACCGTTCCTTCAAACCAGTTTTCATCGACTTTATTTACAAGCCTTATGATGTCATTTTCCTATGAAAACCAAAAATTTTTATTAACTTAAATTTCTATGACAAAAATAATCACAACAAACTCACTTTAAACGAAAGTTCGCCAGCATTTTCAGCTTCAAAATCATAAAGTGCTACACAATGTGGAAAGGCGCTTGATTGACTTCGATAATTGTTGTTGAAATTGTTTATCAAGTTCACTGTCGAGCTTTGCTGTGTTGTATTCATCGGAATTGGATTGGAAATTGTGGGCTTAACTAAAATTTAAGAAAAGATAGAAAAATAAAATATAAAAAATTGTAAAATTAATTCATCGAAGGCTAAATGATACGAAACATAATCTAGAATGGAACAAACATCTTAAAACTTAAGCTGCAATGTGAACAATGGAACAAACATCAAACATCGAAGATACAAAATCAAATTTGAACACTTTTTGACAATCGAACTTAATTTTAATAAAAGTTAAACATTTCCATCACCACCACATCTCACAATGATGATGACAACAAAGTCGTTCTCATGAACTTTACTAAGAGTGTGTGCAATATGTGCTGAGATAATAGAAGAATAGCAGATCATAATCTACCTGACCAAGGATCGTCAAATGGATCGTCAACATAATGATTCACCGATCGATTCGACGTCGACATTTGATTTTGATTATTTGAGGCACGCTTGAAATCATATGCTGAATGAGAGTGCTTTACAGATTGATTAGAATTTTTAGCAAGAGGAAAATGTTCACGATGTTGTTGTTTCTGTTGTTGATGATAAGAAGGAGCTCGAACAAAATTGTTGTCGTCTTCCCACGCTTGTTCCCATCGGTCTATACCCGGCGTAGTTGGCGAGTTTATGTTAAAGCTATTCACACTCTGATAACTGTTACGTTTTCCGCTTATGTTCGATTGTGATCCGTACGCTTTACTCGTACGACTGAAATTATTGTTGTGGATATTTTGGGAGGAAGATTTGTGGGATGCGAGGTTAAAGGAAGAAGTGGCTTTGGATCTTTCTAAATTATATAAACTCGCACCGTTAGAATTGTTGTTGTGACGATCGCTGTTGCTTCCCAAAGAAATCGAGTCAATGTTCAAATCAGAGAGGCTTGTTGGGATGAAATCTTTCTTCGGACGATTCATGGCTTCTGATTTCCTATGAGAAAATTAGAGTTATTGTTATATTAATCAAAACAGTCATCAATCAATTACTTCTCATAAAGTTTGTTTGTTAAATCTTGCATAATGTCGGCACACGATTGATAATATTGCATGAGACTCTCGGAAAACACACAAAGTTGCGATATGAGTTCAACGTCATTCTCAAGCAAATGATACATAGAAGTTGACGCATTATGAAGTGATTCTTTGAATTTCTCTTGTGCCATTCGAACTTCTTCTTCAGTCGTTCCGCGTCCCATTTTTCGACGTTTACCATCGAAATCTAAACGACGATTTGATAGCTTTTTTCGATGGTGCATTACTTCTTTTAAATCGTTATTTTGAAGATGGTTAAGTGGATCGAGAAAGTTTTGCTTAACATTGTTATCCAAAGAATACTTGACATCTGCAATTTGCTTTAGAGAGTCGCCTGCTTCCATGAGTGCCTGACCAAGACAATTATCTTCGCCAAGCTTCTTTCCATGATTAACCATCGCATTTCCCAAAATACCTTCAGTTTGAGGATATTGACTTTTAGCCTGTCCTGACGATGACAACTTTAATGCCGCCATTTTTGCTCGCGCTGCTGGATTCGGTTGAAGGAATTCTTTCGTCCTTTGTTGAAGATCATCTATCAAGTCAGCTGTTGCATCCGTTTTCTTTTCCATTTCCGTAAAATCATCGTTGAATTTCGACTTTTCTCCATTGAAAACTTTCTCTGTGATCAACTAAAATAAAAGCAGAAAGACGAAAATAAACAACTATTGTATAAGTTATAGATATAACAAGCGATGCTTTGGGTAAGTTACTAAAATTGGAAAAACAAAACAATTATGAAAATATTTAGGAAGGAAAAAATGAAAGATCCCAAGACCACTTCTGAGAAAAACGTGTATTTGAGATATTTGAAAGCAGTTTTCCCATCGAAAATATTTCATAATTGGCATCGAATAAATCTCAATGGCTAGAAAAACTCCCACAATTGAAAAGTGATAAAAAGAAGGTTTCATAATGGAAGATGAAGATAATGAACCGAACTTGCCAAGGTCATCAAGTATCTAATACTTGTGAAGTTGCCGTTCCACTTTATCGCGATTATGAATGAATGACCGCGATAAGAAACTGATTGTAATTTCTTTCTTAGCAAACTTACCTGATTTGCGATGTTCAACTGCTTTTGGATCTTTGCAAAAGCCATTATGATTTCACTAAAGATGTTTTACACTTGAATAACTTAAATCCACTACCCGAAAAAAATGATTAATTAAGCGAACGTTCACCGCGAAGCAATTTTTGCAATAATAAGCTTTAAAAAAACACTTCACAAACAATATTCTACTCGTTATCCCAACTTGGGAGCTATTCGAAATATAATTTTAATAATTTAGTAACAAAAATTCCTTTTTTTGTGCAAATAAAGAATAAATTTCGAGGAAAATCAAAATTGACCAAAAAGTAATAACTCAACAATGGCAACACTGGGAAGTTCATTTTTGAACTGCGCGACAACACTTAAAAATATATTGAAAAGCGCTTTCAACATTTCGCAACTCAACGTCGTCGAAAAAAAGCATCGAGATTGGAAAAAAAAGTTTATTTGAATTAAGGCGAAGCAAACAATAAATTAAAACTAAGAGATGCCCTCAGCAGAGAAAGTGTCCTCCGCCACGGTCGGTAAACTTGAAAGTGCGCCACCAAACGAGCCAAAAGCGGCTGAAAGTACAAATAAAGAACTACCGAATGCGGAACAAAATGAAAAGTCTGTACCAGCCATTCAGCAGGTCATATCGATTATTTCAAACAAAATTCGTAATTTGGAGAAGCGAAAGGTGAGTTTAATCTTGCTTTCTTCATTGAGACTAACGATTTTTAAGCAGAAATTTGACATTGAAAATGCTTTGTCTTCAATATGGCTGTAGGGTTGCCAGATTTCATTTCGTCTTTTTTTCTCCCAGAATTTCATGAATTTTCATTTTTTTTCGATTCTTTCAATCAGAACAAGCTTGATGGCTACATTAAGGAGGAGGAAACTGGTAAAGAGCTTAGTGCTGAACAGCAGAGAGCTGTATCGAAATACGATGAGGTCATGCAACAACTGAGCTTGTCCAAAGAGTTTTGCAAGCAATTTCAAGTAATCGCAACATCGGCTTCGAAGGATGCAAAACGTGAAGCACGAAAAGTACAAAACATTCAATTTTTCGCGTATTACTTTTAATTAATATCTGTTTCATCTTTTTTAAGAGTCTCTTTTCACGTCAACAACAAGAAAGTGCAAAAGTTCGTGAAGTTTTGATGATTCAAGATCTTCTTCAACGGCTGAAGGACGATGTCATTCGAAATGATTTTTTGAATGAACGAAACGGAGCTTGCTCTATAAGCAAAGTGGAATTGGAGTTTATTGAAAAGTTTGCGCATCAAGTCATCCCAGCACGTCCTAATTTCTCTAATGAACCGATTTTTTCGAGCTCAGCTAAGACTTCTGCTGATCATTTCAGCTTTTTAATCGACGGACGCAATCGTCAATTTATGGATACGGGAATAACATATGAGAAGGGTAAAGAGTTGTTCAATCGTATACAATCCTGTGGTTATTGGGAGAAAGACGTGAAAATTGTTGAAGTAACGGTAGCGGCGGAAGAGTCAAGTCGAGCTGAAACCGACACGCCAAACACTGAAGATCTCGAGAGTAAAGATGAGAAGAGTGATGACGCAAGTGGACCAACACGTCCGGTGTCAGCTCCAGCGCCGACTCAAGTTCCAACCCCAATTTTCAATGGAAATTTAAATGTTTTATCTGTCCAACAACGAATGCCGCAAGCACCAATGGGTCGTGTCCAACAACCACCTCAACCGCCACTTCCAACACCAACGAATGTTCCCTTAAACATGAAGACAACTGTGACTGCTGTCGAGAATGCTTACTTCAATCAAATGAATTATTCGCAAACTCAAATGATCGCCAATAGCAATGGAATGCCGATTGTAGCCACTCAAAATTCAGACTTTGGAACGAACTTTTCATTCTTACAAGACTCGGAGTTGGACTCACCAGCTGTAACCGGATCTCAGCAACAACAAAATATAGCAGTCAATGTGATTCAACAGCCGATAAATCAAGTGAAACATTCACCAGTTCAACATCAACAAATGCCGATTGTGCAAACTCAAGCAACTCATGCATTTAAAAATGCAAACTTCCATTCATCATCAGCTCCAATTGCTGCTATTGCTGCTCAGATAACATATCCACCGGGATTAAAAGTTCAATCAGCTCCGGCTACGCACATTCCAGTAAATTATCAACAAGCAAATTCATCACAACATCAACAACAACTTTGCCAAGTTGTAACAACGCAGCAGATGATTCCAAAGCAACAACAACAACCATCGAATGGTGCTTCCGTTCCTGGTTTTGTTCCATCCACTCAGACGCCTCCTAATACGCAACAAAATAATAATAATAATACATCACGTCCAGCATATCCAACGATGGTGCCAAAAGCACAATACCAACAACAACAACAACAGCAGCAGCAACCAACACAACAATCGCCAAACAACACTAAACAAATGGAAAATAAAACAAGTACAGCTCCAAAGCATGAAGGAACTAATAATAATGATGGAATGAAGTCAAATGATAATCGCAATCAAGTTCATGAGAAGGAAAAGAATCGCGACGATTATCAGCAACAACCACAAATTGATACGTGGACAAATGAAACGGCTGCAACGTCTGGTGGTGGAAGTAGTGGAAGCAACAATTATTCATCAAAAACAGGTGGTTTTAATAACCGCAACAATCGTGGTGGGGGTGGTGGTACGAAATATAATAATTACAGGTGAATTTAATTAAGGTTTTTAAATTTATCTAATCCTAATTTCAATTATTGGTTTCCTTTTAGAAATTCTCAGCAATCTCGTAATTACAACAATGAGAATGGTAATGGTGATTTACCACGTGAAGGATCTTCAAGCGGTGGAACTTTCTTCCGTAACAATGAACGATTTAATGGTTCAAGTGGCGGACGTTATGAAGGCCGTGGTGGTGGCGGTGGAAATTATAAGAATCGTGATGGCAATTATCGAACAGGAAGTGGTCGTTTTGCTGGATCAGCTTCTGCTGCTGCTGCGCATGGATCATCTAATCCTGTTCAGCGAAAGTAAAGTTTGCTTAGGGAAATCTTTCATTCTGCTAAGAATTTCAATCGTCAGTGTTGTTGATGATTTGATGAAACCTTTTTTGAATTGATTGAATACACGAATAGGTATTAACTAAACTAGAATTTTCTCGTAAAGGATAAGTCTAAAGAAAATTCTCTAGACTTTTCAGTCACAGTTGCTTTTCCTGATAATTTTTTGTTTGTTTTTTATTTTTTCATTAGAAGTTTTTTTTTGGTTTATAAAACAATTTCAACAAACTAAATTAAATAAAAACGAAATATATCTCAATTCATAAAAACATTAAAATTGCCAGAGTATTTCATTATTATTAGATGTTGAAATTTCTGTTCATTTCTTTAATATTCTTCTTTAGTTGTGAAATCAAAAAAAAATTATCTGCGACATTGCCAGATTTGCAAACTCATGCAACAACCTTTTAAAAAAATTTACTCGGTAGTCCAATTTCCAATTCATTGTCACAACCTATCATTCAATTCTTCAATAAATTGAAGAAAATTACCTAAAATAAGTTTTAAAATGAATAAAATTCGAATGATTTCACGTTTGCAGAATTGCAGGTTTAATGATTTAATAATTCCTTCGAAATGTAGTGTATACATTCTTCAAAATTTTCCAGACTTTTCACAAATCAACATTCGACTATGTCAATTTCTGGGAACATGGAAAATGTCAATGATAAAGATGTTCAACATCATGCTGAATTGTCAGAAAATTGGTGGGATTTAAATGGTCCAATGAAGGGTCTTCATGCATACAACATGTTGAGAGTTCCCTTTATTCGTGACGGGTTAATTTCCATGGGATCTCTTCCAGACACAAAAGCAAACAAAACAAATGTTTTGGAAGGTGTAAAAATCCTCGAGATTGGATCTGGAGCTGGAATTTTAACAAAAGCTTTAGGAACTTTGAAAGCAGATGTTACAGCCTTGGATCCTTCGGAAAAGCTTGTCACAACAGCCAAAGAACACCTTAAAGAGTTGAATAACATTGAATATGTTTGCGATTCAATTGAAAGTCATGTTAAATGTAATCATGAGAAATACGACGCTGTAGTTGCAAGCGAAGTTCTAGAACATGTTGTCGATCAAAAGTCATTCCTCAAATCATCAATTGACGCACTCAAACCAGGTGGTTCTATTTTCATAACAACTCTTAACAAAACACAAATATCATGGCTTGGTGGAATTATCATCGCTGAAAACTTTCTCAATTTGGTTCCCAAAAATACTCACGATTGGAATTTATTCATCAGTCCTGGAGAAGTTGAAAAAATCTTAAAAGATTTAAATTGCACAACAATTCTTGTTCATGGTGCACGTTACGAGTTTTGGAGAAATGCTTTCGCTTGGTCGTCTTGTACTGATATTAATTACGTTTTACATGCAGTAAAGAATGAAAATTGAAATTTGTAACCACAACAAGATTAATTAAATTAAGTTTTCATGAGATTTTAATTGTTGCTTGTTTTTTCTGCATTTCTTATTTCAAAAATTTATTGAAAATCGACTTCACGTAGAGAGGTTGAATTCCAGAATGATTTCAATTTCAGTACGTCGCGATGTAAAGACAATGCAGAACATGAAATCGTAATGTTCACATCCACGTTTTTTTTTTTCGTGTCTAATACTATTTTAAATTTAAATATTTGAAGATATATAAATATTGAGGTAAGTCAACTTCATCCACAGTTGAATAATCGTTTCTATACTTGGTACAACTAAATCATATCTAATCAAAAGATGAATAAAGTTTACTTTCTCTCATTTCTTGTCATAAATGGAATAGTGTAAGTTTATTTATTCCTTATTAAATCAAGTGAATTTATTTTTAAAAAAAATTCCTTTATAGAATAAAAGCACAACCTTCGGATACATCTTCCCCTACATCTTCTTCTACATCAGGTTTCAATTATCAGTATCGCAATTTAATTAAATAATTTTTGATTTTTTCAATTTATATTCTTATATACAGACTTTTGTACGTACAATGGAAAAACATATCAAAATTTTGAAACAGTTTACATTGGCTCATATGATGGAGGATCATGTCAGGGTTACTCTTGCATCAATGGAAATTTACAACCATATTACATTGATTGTGAAGAAATGTTTAATACTAGCGCCGGCGGCGATAACTGTGAAGCAATCTTTACAGAGGGAGTTTGTTGTCCCGAATATGATTGTTCACATAACAATCGTAAATGTATAACATTCCAATGAAGTAATTAATAAATAGAATTAGAAAAAAAATCTTTCAACAAGAAGAATATGATTATGATTTTTTTTCGAATGGAGCCACGTCTCTAATGATTGGTACTACCCGATTACCTTGACAATCAGTTAAAGATCTTGTTGTGGGCGTGACAACGAATTACTTCAAGCGATGCTAATATGAACTGTTGTGCTATTATTTGAAAACACCTAATTAACAGAAGCTCTTATCAGCACAATACCATTGCAAAATCCCCCTCTTCCTTTCCCATCATCAAAAAAAAGAGCGACATATGCAATAAAATATAAGAAAAAGGAAGAAATAGAAAATAAAAGTTTCAGTTTGAATTTTGAAACGAAAAGCTAAAGACGTTGTCTTTATTAATTAACCATTTTGAATTTTACATAACTTTTATACTTAGTATAACTAATCATCTAAATAATCAAAACATGAATGAAGTTTTATTTCTCTCGTTTCTTACCATATTGCAAGTTTATTTACTCCTTTTTAAATTAAGTGAACTTATAAAATAAAATACTTTATTCTTTTATAGAGTGAAAGCACAATCTTCGGATACATCTTCTCGTACATCAGGTTTGAATAATCAATATCAGAATTTGCATTAATAGAATGCGATTTTTTCAATTTTCTTCTTAGAAACAGAATTTTGTACATATAAAGGAAAAACATATCAACATGGAGACAAAGTTTACACTGGCCCATATAATGAAGGATATTGTGAGGGCTACTATTGCATCAATGGAAGTTTAGAACCATATTACATTGAATGTGAAGAAATTTTTGATCCTGGCCTCGTCGTCGATGGCTGTGAAACAATCTTTACTGAAGGAGTTTGCTGTCCCAATTTTGAATGTCCTTCAACTACTTCTACGCCTTCTACTTTTGGTACGAAAAATTAAAACTAATGTCCAGTAATAATAATTCAATACAATTTTTTGTCATTCCTTTTCACAGAAATTGATGGAACTTGCACATATAAAGGAAAAACATATCAAAACCGAGACTTCGTTTACTTGGGTGCGTTCGATGAAATTGGTTGTTCTTTTTATCACTGCATCAATGGAAATGTACAACGAGACCAAACCGAAGACTGTGAAGGAGCTTTTACTGACGAATACAATGGCTGCAAGCCAATCTTTACAGAAGGAGTTTGTTGTCCCAAATATGATTGTTCACATAAAATTATTATGTAAATGTTTCCAATGAAGTGAATAAATAAATTGGAAATGAAGATTCTTTCAATAAAAGGATAAATAATTGTAATTTCTTTCTCACAAATGGGTCATGTTACAATTACCCATTTATAACTGTTTATATCTCGCTTTCGAGTTTCTCTTAATTGCTATTTGCACATATGCTTCTTTTGACGTCTCTTTTCTTATATTTGAAATGAAATTTTCACTTGTTTTTGAAGTATCATCTGTATCAGAGGCAGCAGCAAAACTGAAGTCTTAAAAAATGATTAAATTCAACTCGTTTGTGTTTTTCTTGACAAGTTCCATCATTTACGCTGACGTGTAAGTTTTATTTAAATCTGTTTTGAGTAAAAATTTTATCTGTTTTACCACTTTAAAGTGTAACAGCTGAACAAGACGATCGTAAGTGCCATAAATTTTGAATGAATCTTGAAATAAATCGTGAATAATTTTAAAAATATTTCTTAAAGAAAACGCTTCTTGTACCTACGAAGGCAAAGTGTATCAAGATGAAGAATTTGTTTATCGCGAACAACATGGAGTGAAAGGATGTACTGATTATTATTGTATGAATGGAAGTGTCGAAGCCTATATGTTCCATGATTGCGCAGCACTACGCACTGACAAATACGACAATTGTACACCAATCTTTAGAGAAGGAGAATGTTGTCCTACATATGAAGATGGCTGTGGTGATGAACCTCTAGAACACAGCTCACCACAGCCCAACCCTGTGATAAAATGTACCCACGAGGGAAAAGTGTATCAAGATGAAGAATTTGTTTATCGCGAACAACATGGAGTGAAAGGATGTACTGATTATTATTGTATGAATGGAAGTGTCGAAGCCTATATGTTCCATGATTGCGCAGCATCATTTACTGACAGATTCAACAATTGTACACCAATCTTTAGAGAAAGAGAATGTTGTCCTATGTACATATGAAGATGACTGTGGTCATGAACCTCTAGAATACAGCTCGCGGCGAGCCCAACCCTGTGATAAAATGCGAACCTGTTCAATAAATTTGTCACCGTATAAATTTCAATTAATAAATTCATATCTCAACTGCAATTAAGAACATCTGCGTCTAATTTATCTCTCAAGATATTTTAATTTAGACTGCTGTTAACTTAAGGAACAACGAAAACAGTTTAATTTGAGCTTAATTAATATAAAACGAACACAAATAACAGATCTTCTTTTGATCAACTACACGCGTTGTCCTCTAGTTGTTTCAATAAAAAGTATTAATGAACTGGCAACAATTTTAATATTATTTGTCTTCAATTTTGTTTTGGATATGTTTCATCAGGAATTTTCTTATGTAGTGCCTTAAACCAGAAGAAAACTCGCTCTAGGAAGTCTCCTGATCCTCGAGTTCACCCTCCGGCCTGATTCCGGAATACGATGGCTGCAATCCAGTCTTTACTGAAGGAGCTTGTTGTCTTGAATATGATTGTTCACATAAATGTTTCAAATGTATTACAGCTTATAAATAAATTTAAATTAAATTGGAAAAGAAAATTCTTTCAACTATGTCAAACTAACGATATATATTAATTTCGCTTGTACTATCTTTGATTAATATTTGAACAAATGCTGTGTGACATCTCACTCCGCATGTTTTGTTACCTATATAAGTAAATTCAGATGATGTAGAAAATGTTATTATAGTTGAGATATCAACCTTTCGAAGACGTACAAATCCGAATGATTAAAGTGAATTTTATCATTTTTTTTACATCGCTTTAATATCAATGGTTGCACTGTCCCGAATATGATTGTTCACATAACAATCGTAAATGTATAACATTCCACAGTAGACTCAACGACTTAAAACCATCACTTCCACTTTGCACTCGATCACGCAACTAGAAGCTCAAACGTATTCAAGACGACTACCAGTAAAACAGACACCGGAAAACATTCACTATTTAATAGACTGATGAGATTGTACGAGTCTTACTTGTGCAATGATAGATGGCTCAGTGTACAACCATCAAACAATAAAATCAAACATGTGATTCGTGAAAAACTTCCTGTTAATGATTGAGTTTTTTTATGTTGTTGGAATGTTCTTTGAGGGAGGGAGTAACAAGGAGCTTGCCCTCAGAAGCATCACCGATAACTTTTTTCTCAATCTATTGTAATCTAGTCAACATTAACTCTCTCTTCATGCATTTTATTAATCAAACTTTACCACTGCACTGACAAACTTTTTAGTTGAAATTTTTAATTGTTTATGTTCCTTTTTTTTACAACTTTGACAATACTTTTAAGTTGAATTTTTTTTTTTTATTCATATTGACACATTTTATTTGTTATTTGTTAGCATTTAAAATATGAGATAGACAACAATCTTTTACTTTCATTCAGCAAAACTCATGTAAATACATTATTTAGAAAAGACAAAGATATGCTGCATCATAAGGGTTCGCCTGTTATTGCAGCTCAAATGCATGAATAAAAAAATAATAAAATAAATTCCAAGGGATTAAATAAAATTGGAAATTTAAATTCTTCCAATAAAAGACAAATAATTTTTTTAATTTATTAAAAAACAATTAGGGTAGTTGGCTAGTAGTGACACCACCCCCGAAAACGCGTCCAGTAGTGACACCACTCTATTAGTTTAATTTTAACAGCTCTTAGAGCTTACCGGAGGAATGTGTTAATACATAACGGTAGAGGAAGGTTCAAGGATAAATAATTAACAAATCGCCTTTTCCGGTAAGCCCTAATCGCAGATAAAATTAAATCGAAATAAAGTGGTGTCACTACTGGACGCGTTTTCGGGTGGTGTCACTACTAGCCAACTACCCTACTTCTTATTTTTGGACACAAGTGCAAATGTCTTCTTAGAGTAAATTTATTTCGGAGATTGATAAGCATAACAAAACTAAATCACTAAATGCTTCTTCTTCTTCCGTTTATCATGTCACTTGAATGTTCAAAGAATACAACAATAAATGTGATGCGCTAGCTGATGCAAAGCAATTTATTCCAATTTTCATAATAGTCTGTCAGTCATGTGGATATGTGCTTGGACTTAACACATTTACAAGGAAAATAATTCCACAACCAGAAGCATTGCAAGGACATTGAAAGTGTAAGAAAAAAAATCCTAAAAACCTAGATTGTTCGATATTTGTCGATACTAAAGAGAAATTGAAATGTAATTTCCAAATTTTCAGACT